ACCGAATTGCATGTGTCCTTCCAGATGAGGCTGTTGCGACCGTGCTAAAGCGGCCTTTGATTCAGTAAAGAGGAGACTATCAGGTTTCCAAGGAAAGCCCTTATCAAAGAGAGACTGAACACCAGATCTAGTTTAAACACTATGCATGCAACATTTATTCTATGATATAAAGAATTGTTGTTGTTGTTGTTAGTCGCGAAGTTGTGTCCCACCTATCACGACCTCATGGACAACATTCCTCCAGGCCTTCCTGTCCTCCGCCATCCCCCGGAGTCCACTTAAGCTCACACCAACTGCTTCAGTGACTTCATCTAACCACCTCATTCTCTGCCATCCCCTTCTTCTTTTGCCGTCAGTTGTTCCCAGCATTAGGCTCTTCTCCAGTGAGTCCTTCCTTCTCATTAGGTGGCCAAAGTATTTGAGTTTCATCTTCAGTACCTGGCCTTCTAAAGAGTAGTCAGGGTTGATCTGCTCTAGGACTGACCGGTTTGATCGCCTTGCAGTCCAAGGGACTCGCAGGAATCTCCTCCAGCACCACAATTCAAAGGCCTCAATTCTTCAGTGCTCAGCCTTCCTTATGGTCCAGCTTTCAAGCCGTACATTGCAAATGGGAAAACCATAGCCTTGACTATACGCACTTTTGTTGGCAGGGTGATGTCTCTGCTTTTTAGTATGCTGTCTAGATTTGCCATAGCTTTCCTCCCCAGGAGTAGGAGTCTTTTAAGTTCTTGGCTGCTGTCCCCATCTGCGGTGATCTTGGAGCCCAGGAAAAAAGAATACAGAAGTATAAGAATGCAAGTTCAGCAATCATCAGCAACAATATCAAGAGGCCTCGTACACGCTCCCATTCATGGAACACTCATACTCACAGCCAACAGACCCTCTCGGTGATCCATGGGGACTGTGAGTGACCAGCTGCAGCGCTGTTCTGGCACACATGGGAGCTGGAAAACCCGGATATTTTATACCTTTAAGTTGATGCTATCAGCTTAGTCCAACTGGATCGAAGAGTGAACTCCTCTGAGCAGAGCTGACACACAGAACGTGCTGGTCCTTATCTTGAACACACACACACGTTCCATTCTCTCTCTGGATGGTACAGCCTGGGCTTATCTTATCTGGTATGTTGCATTCTCCAACCACTCCTGGCTTTTTCTTTTCTTCTGGGTCTTAGGCCTTCAGGAGCCCATGCACACTGTAACACTGTTAGTTAATGAAATGAAATGCAAGAACACAAAATGAGAAATCCATTGAGGAGGAAAAGATGGAATAGCTGGGCCCAGGCAACACAATAACCCACACCAGGGTTGAATGCAGATTGCTGTTGAAGTGAGGGTTGTTGCTGGCCTGAAGCCAAGTGCACTAATAAGCCATGGCTTTTTAACCATCAGCAATCCACAAAAAGAAGCCATGATTTGTTGTTGAGTGGCGAACTGCAGGCTGCTGGCCATGGTTTGTGATCTTGGCTGGGGTGGGTTAACACAACAACCCACTGGGCTTCAACAACCCAGACTCCACCCACCCTCAGCCCTTCCTCGAGGTCATTGCATTGGTTGAGCCCCTGTGGCTTAATTGGTAGCACGGGGCGTCTGAACCAAAGCATCCTCCTGGTCTGAAAAGTTGCTGGAAAGCGCTGACAAGTTCTGGCACTCGCTCGCATTCCCGATCTCGCCCGAGAAAGGTCTGCTCGCGATTGCACGCATCCACACGCACACGCCGCCGCCCGTGCGCAGTCTCCTAGTCTCTTGGGGAGAAAGGAAGGCCATTGCGCGGTTTGGGGAGGTGAAGGGCAGCTCTTTCTCGCAGGCCCAACTGGCCCCGATTTGCAGCGTCTTGCTAATACCGAGTCGGGTTGCAAAACGGGACTCCGCGATCCGAAGGGAGGTGAATCGAGGGGCAGGGGCATTGAATAAACACTCATTTCTTGGGCGCGAGGGGGGGATAAACTTCCAAAAGGAAACAGAGGCTGAGTTTGCTTTGTTCGTGACCCGTTTCCCAATTATAGCATTAGAACGCTGGCGAAGCAGATCTGAAAATTTCCTCCAGAAAAGCGACCTTTAAGTCCTCTGCAGTGGAAAGGGGGCTTATTGTGTTTTGAGGATGGGAGTGAGCGAAAAATTATTTGTAGGTGGGAAACCTTCGCAGCGAAGAGTACAGTACCATTCATTTGGATAGGCAGAACTGATAGGTGGCTCCATAGCTCAGTGGTTAGAGCACTGGTCTTGTAAACCAGGGGTCGCGAGTTCGATCCTCGCTGGGGCCTGCGGCAGGCTCTTTTTCTTTCCCCATTCGCATTTATTTTTAAAGAAGTCAGTCCGAATATGATACGGTGCAACCCCATTTTAGAATGAGAGCCGCCGATACTTCTCTGTGCTACAAAATCAACATTTCCGTCTTTGCATAAACGAAGAAACTAGGGGTAGCATGATTTTTCAGGGCTCGTAGCTTGGTTGGTGCAGAAGTATTAAAATCTGGATGTATTAAAAGCTCTTAGATCCTATTTGCATTTTGACCTGGTGATTCAAAAGTGTGTATAATGCTTGATCAGCTGCGGGCCGAAATGGATTTACTCGGAGGAGCGAGAGGGCAGCGGCAGCATGCACTTTCAGCTGCCGTTCTGCACTACAGCCAGCAGGTGGCGGAATAAGGCAAGAAACCTACTGCGCTCTCAGTAAAACCTGGCACTAGGATGGGTCGGGCTTAAGCCATTTGAAGGGGCAGCACGTTGTTATTTATGTATTCATGAGTCCATTCTGTTAATTTCTTGCCTTTCCACTTAAAAGTAGTGCTCAAGGTGTATTTTAGTCCTTCTCTGCAGTTAGGGTGGCCAGTTATGTATGGCCAGCAAGCTTCCAAATGAGGCTTTTGCAGGGCCATAGTCCTGTGCTATTCGCAGAATATTATGGGGTAGGTGGACCTGTATGTCAAAACCTCACTTTTCAAAGAGATTCAGGCTGGAGCTTCTTTCAGCCAGGCATGGCATCTTGCTGTGGCACAATCTCAATAGAAACAGACCTATATTCTAATACAGCAAAGATGAGATCTCCAACACTCATTCTGGGTTGTCATCCTGAACGTTGAAGTCTCTGGCCCGCCTGGAAGGTCCTAGGGCAGGGGAGGCAGGGGAGGTTTAAGACTAGGAAAGAGAGTCGTAGTCTTAACCATCCCCCCTCCGCCGTGTTCTACAGAGGGTGCTTCTAGATGGAGGGGTCCCAGCACTGGCTGTCAAAAGGCATCCTGCGGCCAGTCTGTCTCTTCTCACTTACAATTCCCACAGCCAGAAAAAAAAGCAATGAGAAAACACAGAAGGGTGTAATAGGTGGAAGATTTTCACATACAGGCCCACCTACCCCATAATATTCTGGGAATAGCACAGGATGATGGTCCTGCAAAAGCCTCATCTGGAAGTTTGCTGGTCTTGCTGTGAGGTTCTAGAACTTCAGACATGCCAGGCCCAAATCAAAACATTGTATAACTTATGTACAGCAAGTACTGGAGGAAACACGGTTGTGGAGATGTTGCGACATGGGTTCTGATTCTCCTTCTCCCAGCTGCCAGGGCCTGGAACAGGCTAGTTCCCTCTCTTCCCCCGCCCGTTATTTTGCTTTGTTGTTGACTGGATCCACACAGCAATCCAGACTGAATTAGTGCAGAAATAGAACAGAGGGAGTAGATACATGGAATTATGCACCCACGTTCCAGGGAATGCGCCTGAGAGGTCTCTTTGGCTTGGGCAATGTTTTCATAGGATACAGACCATAGTTCTGTCTATTTTAATGTTGCCTACAGTGGCTGGGTTCAGACAACATGATAACCCATAGGTCTGCAGATGCTTTGGATGTCAGTTCCCGGTACCCTTGACCATCAGCAATATTGGCAGGAGTTGAAGCTCTGGGAGTTGAAGCTCAAATTATCTGAAGACCTGTCTGTGGCCCACCCTCACTTTTGATCCTTTTATCCCGCTCCCCCATAACAAGTATCCAATAAACCTCAGCTGAAAGCTGTCAAGGCCTCCTTTATGGCAGGAACATGGCAAGAATCAAAGGTGGGCTGGGCCAGAACTAACTGTTGTGACTGCTCTTCAGTAGCCAGCAGAAGCCAAATAGCAGCTCAGAAAGATGGGCATAGAATTGCAGAACAAGGTATCTCAGAAGAGAATGTGCTTCGCTCAAGAATCATCTCCAGTAGTAGAAGTGGAGCTCATACACATGTCCTCGCACATGTAAAGCTACTGCTCCTTCCCCTCAAGCTTCCCTAATTTTAGCAGCTGAATTTAGGAGGAGGAATGGCTTTGTGAATTGGAAACCCTCATGGATCTACCACAAATACCCAGAGATCTCCGAGTAGCTCCCCAAGGTTGCCATCTTCTCCAATGTGTCTGTGAATTGTGGTGCTTCAAGGCAACAGAACACTTCCACACTTGTAGAGGGACTTCACTTTGTGCATTCTTCCTCATTCCTTTAGTGTGCCCTCTGGATGTTTTAGACTTCAGCTCCCATCAGCTCCAGCCAGCATGAGCAATGGCTAGGGATGCTGGGACCTGCAGCTGAAAACAGCTAGAGGGTACCAGTTTGAGGATGCATGACTATAAAGATCATTTGCTGATATTTTAAAAATCCTGAACATATTCCATAGACACATCTGTTTCGTAATTGAAAATATTCCAACATATAACACTGGCAATCGAAAAGTATTCTCTTGCAAGAGATTTACATGCACACAAACACATGCACACATAACACAGAGATTTCCTTGTTATAGGTGTGGTTTAATTGAATTGAATTGAATGAACAGAGAAAGTGAGAGAAAGATAGCTCCTTTTACTGTGTGTTACAGCTGAGAAAATAAATTCAACTGCCTAATAATGTCATCAAAATACAAACAGCTGGCAACTTTTTAATTTCTGTTCCTTGTTGTTAGAATGCAAAACTCCTCAAGAATCTGAAAATAGTTAGCCCTCGAGGTACACCCAACATGTTTTAAGTTGCAACCCTACGCAAATTAAGGTAGAAAAAAGTCTACAACTCATAATCGCATGCATGTTTAGACAGGGGGCAAAAGCATGGTGAACGTTGTAGGCCTTGCTCAGCCAGTACCAACCTTCTTTTTTCTCAGACTGAAATATTGTGTTTTATGCCACAAAGCATAAACTAGACTTCAGCATATTTTAGTTATGTTGTTTGCCATGGAAATCAACAAGGAACAGACGAAGGTGCAAATCAGTCACCACATTGCACAGACGTGGTCTCACTGGGATCACTGGCCCTGCACGACTGGAATACGTACTCACCAGATTGCTAACTTAAACGGATTAAATGGTCCACGGAGTAAAGTTTGTGCAGAGCAACACCCTGGAAATGGCCTGAGGCAGTTAGTTTCCTAATTACTGTACATGACTGTATCGTATCCATTACAGTCAATGGCCCAGCAGCTGTTTGCACTAGGGAAATGCTGGGGGGCTGTTTGCATGCAAACTATAAACAGGCCTGACTGTCCTAGCTAACTGCTGAATAAAAGCAAAATGAGTCACCCGACCATCTCATCTGGTCCACACTATATGATTCTTGGTTACATTTTGGAAATTCAGATTGCACTTCTTACACTGACCCTCTGTCTCCTCTTTTTATTCTTCGTCTGTGATTTTCCCTTAGTTGCTGACCTCGGTTTTGGTGCTGATGGAAGTTTCTTTTCCACTCTGGTTACCTGAGAGCTTTTTCTCTTTGCTGGAGAGGATGCTGTGTTAGAAGCACGCTGAGTGTGTGCTGGTCTATCCGACTTCGTCTTGGATCTCCGGGCTTGTGGGGATTGTGTAACCTGCTGCTTTTTACCAGGCCTGGTAGGTTTTTGTGACTTATGCTTAGCAGAGCCTTTGCGAGACGTCACAGGCTTTGTAGATTTGTGGCCTGAAGAAGTTGGTGGCCGTTCGGTAGAGTTTGTGGCTCTTTGAGGGGACTGAGCTGTAACAGCTTCCTTGAGCAGTTCGGTGACAGTTTCTGCGGAAATACATTTTAAAAGGTCACCATTTGTGTTTTGGCAGATTAACTTGGCACAGATATTGGCCTGATAAGACTTTCTTCCCACGTTTTCCCTACCGGAAATGAGAGAATGTATTTTTATTTATTTAAAGTTTTTATAAACCATCCCATTACTGGCATCTCCGAGAATACTGCGAATAAGATCATGCCATTCCTTGCTACCTATTGTGGGTGTCTGTTCTTCAGAATTCCCTGTTCCCCCTCAGCTTAGAGCACACCTCATGGTAGACCAGGTGGGGAATGAATTTCCCCAGCAACAATGTTTTGCTTTCCATGCTAATGGAGGGATTTTCTATACAAAGCTCCTAATCTGCTGCATCTGCTCTCCGTTTCATTTCAGAATTGCAATCTGAGCACTGCAGAAGTTTCTTTCCCTGCTGTCCTGGTTCATAGCCTCTGTGTGGCATTGCAGTATACCAGAACTGCACAAGTAAAGAAGTAAAAGCAAAAGTGGCCTCTTTCACTTGTACACTTTAATTTCCCCCCTCTAAAAAGGTCACCAAAAATGTTCTTCAGCCCTGAAGAGAAACTGGAGGGTCACATGATGTCATCTAAAAAACTGCAAACAACTGTGAGTAGGGCATGATGCATACCACTGACACTGCTTGTGTTGTGGGAAGATTACCACTGGAAGACAATGAAGTCTGGAATCCCCTATAAAATGTTATGAATGAGGCAAGGTGAGGCAGTCTCACATGGAAGCACACCTAGTCCACTGCATTTCAAATAGGTTCATGTCATTCAAACCTTCCTTTCAGTTTATTTCAGTAACTGCACTACACAGTCAAAAGGGGAGGAAAAAAAGACCAAAACCTTTATTGACTTACTTGCAAGTGGAGTAAATGGGATTCGCTTACTCTTTGCTTTCACTGGAACAGGCTTCTGCTTACATTTCCCTGGTGGAGCTCTCCTAAAAAACAGATTTGGTCACACAGATCACACGTGGACCTCCAAGAGCAGGCTTGGATCTCTGTTGCCCTTGAGTCTGCAGCAGAGGGAGGGGAACTTTGCATCTGACTTGGAAGCTATATTCTGTTCCAGGCTGGCTTTTTCCAGATGTTTTGGACTGCAAGTCCCATGCAGGCTGGGAATGATGAGAATTCCCAGATGCCAGGTTGGGGAATTCAAATTCCTGCTTTGCTCCCTTTCCACGTGCAGAAGTGAATTCCAGTTGGGGTGAAAACGTGAAGTCCTGATTTTGTACACATGCAAAGTCATTTGTATGGAAAGTGGCTCTGCTGCTGAGGCACGTTTCCCGTAAATGAGGTGTGCATGTCAGTGGGCTAGAGGAGAAGGTGGGTGAAGCAGAGCTGGGGGACTCCATGAAAAGCTGTGGCACCTGGGCAGGTGCCCAACCAGCCTTTGATGCTGGCACTGGTAGAAATATAGTCCAATCACCTGGATATTCTGTATTACAAGGGTGGGGAAACCTTTGCAAAGCTGAGCAACCCTTGGCCTGATTTCCAGAGGTCTCTGCACACAAGCCATTCGGACTCCGGGCGAGAGGGAACTGCCCCTTCCCCCTGCAGACTTCTCAGTGGAGAAGACGAGAGAAAAGAGGAGGGAGGGCAGGGCAAAAGGGGGGAGAGGGGGAGTGGGGTGGCAGATGGGGTTAGAAAAGGGGTTGCTCACTCTTGCTCTATGACTTCAAGCCTCCCCACTTATTCATCTTTCAAATATACTTTCAGAAAAGGAGCTAGAAAACCAGAAAATAGTTAATTTGCCTTGTTTTTGCTTGGAAGCACTGCCTCTTTGACTTCTGTCAACAGCTTTCCTGTTTGTGCTAGACTAGTTCCTGAAGTTCAGCTGAATTCAATGATCTGTCTCAGCTTCAAAATAAATACAAACTAAAAATAAGTGCAAAGATGCATTTTGGCCGCTTTCCCTGCGGTGGATGCGCCAGGGCTCCCTGCATGTTCCTTGGGCACAAAATTCCTCACAGCAGTCTTCCTCAACTTGATACCTCCCAAGTGTAGGGAAACTACAACTCCCATCATCCCTAGTCATCACGCTGGGTGGGGATGATAACCAGTGTAGTCCAACACACCTCGAAAGGGCTGGGTTGGAGAAAGATGCCTTACAGTCTGTCTGAAAGCAAGGCTAATAGAAAACAAGCGCTCACTATGCCCAAAACGACTGGAGCACGGCACAACCCAAGTACTGGTTCCAGACGGCTGGGGGGGGGGCAGGCTTTCTTCAGTGCTGCCTCCTTGCCCCCCCGCCCAGGGTGGCCACCACTTGGGCCCTTGGCAGTGGGGCGCTGTGGCTACAATTGCCTGCCTCCCCCTCCTGTGTGCTCGTGGCCCATCCTTGCACCACCGCAAGGGCAGGGAGCGAGCCCCACCTTCCCCCTCACTCACTTGCAGGCTTAGCTAGTAGTGGCACTTTAAAAGGCCAGGGACCCGAATGGGTCCATTGCAGCTACACCTGCACGCCTGGGAGGGAAGATGGAAGCCACAGCAATGCTGCTGGAGGAGAGCCAACAGAACAGGTAGGTGGGTGAGTGTCAGTCCTGGGGGCCCTTCAGGTGCCCCAGCACGGTGGATGCTGACACGCAGCTTGACAGTGGCTCCTCAGTCAGCCTTCCTGTTCTGTGCACAGGTGAGAGAGGTCTGTAGTTTTGTGGATTCTGAGCTATGAAACTGCCTTATATCTAGTCTGGCCTTTGGTCCAGCTAAACCGGGTTTATCTGTTCTGCCCAGCAGCAGCTTGATACTTTGTTCCTCATCTAACTGGCTGCTCTTTTCTGTTGTTTCTAAGAGATGCTGACCGAGTTGCCGACTGCAAAGACCAGCCATGGATCTCCTTGGGTGCCCACGGGTCAAATACTGTCTCTCAGCCTGAACTACCTCCCCTGGCTATAGTAAGGGTAAAACCGGTGATGGCAGAAACAGGCATGTTACCCTCGAACTCCTTCCAGTAAAGGCACGACAGAAATATAGCATTCAGTGCTTCTTTCGGGAGATGGCCAACTAACTTGGAGAAGGGGGTAGAAGAGCATATTGCGTATACACTGATGGTTGCAGAATCAGCAAAGAAGGGCTACTGAAGACAGTACACAGGAAGCAGTCCATTGCGCCAGGCTTCCTTGACTGGTAGACAAGCAAAGTGAGAAGAGAGAAGGGTACTGTAGAGATGCAGACGGTCCCCGCATCACCAGGTCAGGTTTGGAAAGATTCCTGCCTGAAACTCTGCTGCCAGACAGTGTTGACAATACTGGGCTAGATGGACCGTGGCCTGACTCCGTATACGGCAGCTTCCTGTGTCTCTGGTGTGGTTTTGCAGAGTGCAGACTATTCAGGATATTAGAACAAGATTGAGCTGTGGCCTTGGCTTTGCCACTTTATTTTCAGCCATTCCTACGTGTACCGTGCAATTCTGGGATTGCTTTTCCTAACAGGTTTTGTTTTCCTTTTATTGCAAGCAGCTCTGGGTGGCTTCCAGGTTGCGTGGACGACTGGGGCAAAGCGGAGTCTGCGTCCTGTGGGCTGCTGGTCCTCTGAAAATCATCCTCACTCTCAGAAAAAGTAAAATAAAGCTAGATTTACAGCCACAGGGGAAAAGGTACATGATTGTGCAGCTTTTCCCAGCTGTGAAGAAAATGAGCTTGTGTTTGGAAAATATTTTGAGTGGACAAATAGTTACCAAAGAGAGGACTTAGGAGACCCTCATACAGGAGACTCTGCTGAATCTGAAGCTGTTTTTAAAAAATGCATATATATACCACCGCTTTTCATTTTATGAAACCCTCTTGACTGCTATGTAGTTGTTTGGTGGCTGCAGAAAAAGCTTTCTTACCATTATTATTCTTTTGGGAAACCTGAACCCTTTCAACTAGCTAATGCCTGATGATTTAGGTGGGACCCCACTGCTTTATAAAGGATGGACAGCCTGGTACCCCTCCAGTTTGGTCTACAACAACCTAATTCCTGGCCACTGGCCATGGTGGTCTGGGCTTAGACTCTGTTCAGTCTGCAACTCCAGTGAGATGTTCACTGAATAATCATACCAGTGCAAGAAACTGCAGCTTTCCAGAAATACATTCCAGCAGCAGGTTTCACATATTAAAGCTGAAACCCAATTCTGTGAATCCAACTGTCCCTGCTGTTACTGGTGCCCTGGAAAAAACTGATATGGTTGTTTTTGTTTTTTCTAAACTATATCAACAAAGCAAGGATAATCTGGGATTTCAAAATGTACCAACCTTGCAGGATCCACAAATTTGTAGAGAGCGCCATGGGGAGCATAGGCACTAGGGTAAGATGTTGCCATAAAATAAAGCTCGCCTGGAGACAACAGAGATGGGAAAGCCAGGAACATAAATGGTTTCAGACAAAACTGCACAAAATGAACCAACACTTGGCAAGTTGCACTTGCTCTCTACATAATCCAGGCTAGCAAAAATGGTGACCCCACCAAGCTGAACACAGCCATATACAGTAACTTGCCAGGGACCTCTTTCTCTGCCATCCCCCCGTTTTTGCAGTTGCACAGGCAGTTTTGAGCCAGTGGCAGGACACCATATCTGAAAAAGGAAATGGCATTCGGCGTCATTGGATGCAAGCTGAGCAAGCCTGTTCTGCAAAGAGCCCTGGCAGCCGGACCAAGGGTGCATGTCATGCAGCTTCTTGTACCCACAGTGGCCCACCAGAGGTCTCTGCAAAGCACACAAGCAGGGCACGAAGAAGCAAGATATGGCGGTCTTGGCTTGGGCAGGTGCAGGTCACCCACCCATCCTGCTGGACTAGATGGACCTTTGGTCTGATCCAGCACGGCTTTGCTTATGTTCTTCATGTTCCCTGGCAAGCGGCGTTCAGCTGTACATGGTCCCTCTGAATGGGAAGTTTGTCAGACTTCCCAAGCCAGTAGCCATCAGAGTGCTGGGCCAGCCATGAGGCAGAGTGTGGCAACTGCATCGGGTGGTAGACGCAGCGGTAGCGCCGCACACGGCAGCCGGGCATTCCAGCTGGGCCCCTGGCCATTCTCAGCCTCTCCTGCCCTCGAAACTAACCTGCTGTCCTAAGGTGTGGTGGAGGGCACGGTCCCATTGCCAGCACCAACGTAAGGTTTGACTTACAGGGCCTGCTGGCTTCTGCACGTGGGGCAGGGCAAGGAACTGCCTTTGGGCCAGCCGCTCACTCGCGGCCTAACATACCTTCCAGGGCTGCTGGAGGATAACATGGAGCTGTGTAAGCCACCTAGGATTCCTCAGCAGAGCAGAAAAAAGCAGGATAGAAATGCAAAGTAAGAGTAATAACTGACATGCAGTGGGAGTGATGGTTTTTACTGAGAACTCTGCTGGGAAGGGAAACTAAAACTTCCCCTTCCTGTGTGATGTGGTGCTGACAATTATTGCCCCCACCCTTGCACCGGGTGTGTGTGTGTGTGTTTAGTGACATGACTGCTGTGTCACATGCAGTTAGGCTTGGCCCTACTACTGGGCCAAATGAGGCAATCCCCTCAGGCAGCTGACTTTGGATGACCTGGACACACAGCAAATGGCTAGTTACTGGATGCATAATCGCTGCATTTTCACTGTGAGGGCGGCAGGGACTTCAGGGCCTTTGGGATTTCCTGCCAGTTGCTGCTCTGTAATGGACTAAGTTTGGTTTTCATTTAAGAAGGTGTTGCCAGCATCACTGTAAAGCAAAACATCTCGCAGCTGAGCTAATGTGTACACACACACATTTTATTTGTGCAATAATCACCAGTTACTATTGCTAGATCAGGGCTGGAACACACCCAAGGCCTCCTAGGAAAGGAGTAAATCCATACACTGTCTCATCACTTTCTCTGTTGTGAAAGATGGTTACAGCTGTTGACTCGGAAGTCTGCCTTTACCAAAAGTTGGAAGCACACCTTGTGTTTGTCTTCACTCACTGAGTGAAATAAACAAGCTAGTTTCTTAGGCAAAAAGATGCAGCAACAGCCCTTACCTGCTTCATCTTCTGCAAAGGAGATGATGTATTTGTTGTAAGTGCTGATCAGCCCTGGAAAAGCACAGGCTTTGGTGCTGCCAATGCAAATGTCTTGCTTCTTCCATTTATTTGACCTCTCATCTTCATGCAAAGCCATCAGGCGACTGCAAAGCAAAAACGCATGTTTTATAGTTTCATAACTCCAAGTTTAGGAAAATTTGGCTGGGACATCCCTATAAGGGAGAGAGGAAACCAGATCTCTGGCCCATAATTCAAATTAACTTTTTCTTCAGCAGAAATGAGGTTGAACAAGAGTTCAACTTTTCTGTCACAACAAAAATTAGTTTGAGGCATCACAGTGTTGTGCATCTTGTGTACATCAAGTGGTGACAACGCTAATTAAATCCATTTCATTTCCAAGTTGTAACATAACCAAAGGCAGAAAAGCTGAAGCAGGGACAAATAACTCCTACAAGGCACTCTATAGTCTTGGGAATGGACCACAAAGAATTACAGTCTGAATACCTGGATACTTGGGAGACTTACTCAAGAGGAACAAACGTCAATATCTGTTGAGACAGCATCTAGGAGCCCCACAGTGCCCTTAAATATGAATGGAAACTAGTTTCTTCCTTACCCATTCATAAAATCACCAAAAATGTAGAGGCCATTGAGGTTTGGAGACTCACATCCTCTATACACATACCCTCCGGTGACTGATTTTCCCACAGAGTGTCCATAGGCAAATATGGGAAGTATGTCATCTGTTAAAACAGGGAAAAGAGAGTGTACTCCAGACCATTTCATTATATCTTTTTTATTTACTAGCCATTCTGAGATTAGAAACTTTCATCGGTTTTAACAGTCACAGTCACTTTCTGATTTTGATTTTTTTTGCTGGTATTATGTTTTTGTTGTTTATAGTTGCTATTTGTTGTTATAATTTTTGTAAGCTGTCCTGGGATGTTTTTTTCATATAGGACAGGATATAAATATTTTAAATAAATAAATAAATAAATAGGAACTGACATCCCCTGAGAGCATCACCACAAATTTTCTGAGTGCCCATCCGAATGACCCTCCAGCCCTCCCTCCCTCTCTCTCTCACTCACACACACGACCCAGGATGCTGGCTGACTGCTGAGAGTGGGCAGAAGACAGTCGGGGAGGAGAGGGGCGGGACTGGAATGGAGTGTCCTGAAGAGCGGCCCTCTCCATTGCTGCTTGGTTGCAGTCCCCACTTTTTCTTTCTAATGTAAATTGGGTCTCTCCGTACAAGCAGGACTCTTTCTCCAGAAAGTCATCTGGGCTGAAGGGATTCGTAATCCAACACCCGTGAGGTTGGAGAGGCTGCCCTAAGTAAAGCCCCCACGTGAGCAGCCAAGCAAGAGGAAGCGTCTGTAAATGTTTCTGGCAGATCATCCCTTACTACTACTTCAAGGTACCTTGTGTGGCTTAATATCTGTGGGAAAAGAGGGATGTAATGGCTGTGGTCGATCCATTCCTTCCCAAGACATTTTGCACAGAATGGCACCCCTGCTGAATCCGGGTAGAGAATATCATGCATGGTAAAGTGTTCTTCTTGCTCGCCAGCAGGAAAGAAATAGAACAATAAAAACAACCATTTGCTGCCCTTTCATGGCCCCCACAAGTGGCTGCCAGGCGTGGCCACCTCAGTCTGGCCGTGCATTCTTATTCCTTGGGCTGAGTCAGCATTCCAGAATGACTTGGGGCAGAGGGGACATAGGCTGGTCCATGCGGTGCCCAGGCTTGGCATGATCAGGCTTCTCCTGAGGCCCCACAGCCCAGCAGGGACCTGCTGGCCTGAGCCCCTTAGCCCGTGCCTCCTCTTCATCATGGCGGGCTGCTTGTTCACTGCCCTCTCATGCTTGCCCAGATGAAGGTGGTGGGGAGAAGGAAAGTGGGGCGGTTCATTTCATTAACTGTTTGCTCCCTCGTGGCGGCAGTAAGAGAGCCAGTGTGGCGTAGTGGTGAAGAGCGCAGGACTGGGACTCGGGAGACCTGGGTTCTGGGGCTGACTCAGCCATGGAGCTCAGTGGGTGACTTTGGGCTGGTCACAAACTCCCAGCCCAACCTACCTGACAGGACTGTTGTGAGAATAAGATTTTTTTAATTTTTATTTTCTTAACATACACAAATGCATAGAAAAAATGTAGAATTGAGAAAAAATAGTATAGACAGAACAATAGTATAGACAGAACAAACTGAAGTGAACAAGATAAACAAAATAGACAAGATTGCCAAGGGAATTTTAAACAGATACAGCCTATATTATAACCCCACAAAATTACTCTCATTCTATCTTCCCACACTTTATTAGAGTTTACGGAAAAAAAATCATTATTCTATACATCAACAGACACTGCTTTCCTTTTTCTTTTCCTAACGCCCCTGAACTTCCATTAATCATGCAGACACAATAAAATTTGCATTTATCATTAAATTCTTCTAACGATCTTCTATTTACATAGTTGGTTAGCTTTGCCATCACTGCATGTTTTGCTAATCTATTTCTCCATTCCTCAATAGTTGGGAGCTCTGGTGATTTCTATTTAGAAGCAATTGAGGTTCTTGTTGCTGTGGTCATATACTTAAATAATTCTGACATATTTTTCAAAAGGGTCTCCTGGATGATACTCAAAAAAGCATGTTCTTGGGACTCATAGGAGACTTAATTTTGAAGATTTTCTGCATGTATCAATTTCCAAAATGTTTGTGTTATATCACATGTTGCATTTCCAACATTTCCGTTATAATTCTTATCTATTTTTCCAATATCTTTTGGAGTCATATACCACCAATAAAACATCATGAGGATAAGACTGAGAGGAGGAGAACGACAATGATGTAAACCGAGGCTTCGGCGAATGGGGCGGCATAAAAATGTTTTAATAAATAAATAATAAATAAATAAATAAATAAACTGCCTTGAGTTCCTCTGAAGGAAGAAAGATGAGATAGAAATCTAATAAATAAATAAATGGAAGAGAACCCAAAGGAGAAGATGCTGGTAAGAAGGCTGACTTACTGAGGGAAGGGGCCATGAAGAGTGTTATGCCCAAGGGCCCAACACCCAACACCTAAGCAGGCACCAAATTCATTCCAAGAGTAAGGAGAACTGCCATCCTTCTAGAAGAAGAATTTGGCATTTTGCGTTTGCTGTACAGTCTGCATTTGCCAAGCCTCTTCTGCACCCTGGACCCTCAATCTACAATAGCACTCAAGGGGCAAAAATAAGCTGCCACCCCCAAAATGTGCTTAAACCTTTATCCAGGTACCATGTTCTCAATCTAGTTCTTAACTCTCCCACTTCACCTCGCCAGGTTCATTAACTGCCCAAAGAACTGAGGTGCAGCTCTTTATAAAGTCTTCATTCAGTCCCATATCTTCACACAGTCATATAGCTCCAGCATGATAACAGACTAAATAATTTTACAAAGCAGAGAGCTTTGCAAGAGTTGTACTGAAACTGACAGGCTGCTTCCTTACCTAAGGAGGAGTTTTGGCACAACTTGATGTCATAACACTCAAAGCCTTCCTTTGCTCTCCAGCCGTAGTTCCCTCCCTTGACAATGATGTCCACTTCTTCAAACTTGTTCTGGCCAACATCACCACAGAATATTCTTCCCCGTCCCTTGTGGGTGAGTGGATCACCTCTGTCCACAGAGCAACGCCACATGTTTCTCACCCCATAAGCATAGACTTCTGGGCGTGCTTTAGGGTCAGAGGAAAAAGGGTTGTCCGGCGGGATGCGATAAGGCTTCCTGTCTGAGCTTTGTCCATCCACATCTATCCGTAAAACCTTTCCTAATAAACTACTCCTGAGAGGAAATCAAGACATAGAAAAGTAAACATCAGAAGAGATCAAAATGGTTCACTGTACAGATATTTGTTTAAATGCATTGTTCAACTAGCAATGGGTTAATTGCCAAGGCAGGTCACGGCAGAGCAATGCCTGAGTCTAAAACCAAGATGTGTACAACCCATGTACAGAGTTAAGCCAGACTGAGTTAAGTCAGACTATTTAAAAAATAGTTACAGAACAGATTAACCTTATTTACATTGAACCTTATGGGGAAATGTGACTTGGCTCGTGACCAAAAATGGGCTCACAAGCACATTTGGAGGGGCCAGAACTGATTAACCTTATTTACATTGAATCTTATGGGGAAATTTGACCTGGGTCACAACCAATTTGGGTCACAACCAAAGTCGTGGAACTGATTAAGTTCATGAGCCAAGGTACCACTGTATTTTATTGTATTTGTGGTGTGTGTTTCTATGAATTGATGTGAGCTGTCCAGAATGCTTTGGTAATGGGTAAAATTAAATTAAACAAAATATAAACAAAATAATGTGTCAGCATTTATTTAAAAGTTGCTTAACCTACCATTGTGTTGACTGGTAGTCTGAATTACAGATTTTTTTAAAAAAATCAAGGGATGAAAAATAAGATAATTGTGAAACTAAATTGTTAGAATAAGGAGCATACAGTATATATAATGTGGTTCCAAAGACAAACCTAGCCATCTTGTATATATAACAATCACATATTGTGTGTGAGAGAGAGACAGAGAGAGAGAGATATGAGTGTGCTGGTCATCTGACTTACTTGTTCTGAGCGTTCCCAAATTTACCAAAAGGGTCCCCAGCTTTCCCTCCATCCCCTGTGAACAGGTACATGTAGCCATCCAGGCCAAAGAGGATCTGTCCCCCATTATGATTTGCAGCTGGTTCTTCAATCTCTAAGAGATTCCTGAAACAGGGGGGACAAATAACATTCAGAAAATATGAAAAAGAGCAGAAAATGCAATTGAATCCTTTGGATGAGATTCAAGGTCTCACTGGGTTCAAAAAGACACAACTCGCTTGATCAACATGCAGAACATCTTGTCTGCACAGTACTTTATGTTTATTTTTTCCTAGACTAAGCAAAAAAGGACCTCAATATTCCTTTGCAAATTGTATTATTCTGCTGAAGTCTGTCAACAGAAGATCTGCCAGCGGTGGAAAAGTCATGGCACTCCAGCTTGTCCCTCTCAGAAGATGAACTGGGTCAGAGCATCGGGTCTGTCCACATGCATACCGGGGCCAACAGGAAGGGTCCAGAGCCTTTACTGCAGCAGGCAAGTGCAGCGAGACCCATGTCTCCACTTCACCCTGCAACACACTTCTTTGCCTTCTCCTTGCTCTGGCCCAGGCAATGATGAAGATGTGAACAAGCACTAATTGATACTTCCTCATTGCACTTATCAATGAGGAAGAGCAGCCACTGCTGACAGTGCTGCTGAGGACCAGACCCATAGCTGGGGGTGGGCTAGGGAGGCCTTCCCCATGGTGGTTTTCTGCCAGCTGACTTTATCTTCCCATGAACAGTGTTTTAAAAGTTTGTGATTTTGTCTTTGAAAGGTCTGCACACCAGAAGAAATGCCCCCTATTTTCCGGCAGCCCCCAGCTCCTCTGGTGAGACAGGTGACTCACGCAGGGAGGGGACCTGTTGAGAGCTTCTGGCCAAGGCTGCTCCAGAACTTGGAACTGATGGTCCCTTCGTGTGGACTAAACTGCCAATTGCTGGCTTAGCACCCAAGTACCATAACTGTCTTATGTGTATATGTTGCACAACATCCTGAGATTTTAAGGAGTACAGAGAATAACCGGGGGCTACAGGGCTCCTGCTGCCTGTCCTGGAGTGGGAGAATTGTCTGTAGAAGGTCCTTCTGCATCAGGCCATTCCTACATCACCATGTACTTCAACCCACATCATGGCACATCTTAAAATGGCAGTAACTGGGCATGGCTGGAGGAATGTCCAGAGTAATGCTGTGCAGCTGTTACTCTTATTTTTATTTTATTGTATTAATTTGTTGTAAACCGTTCCAAGACTTCTGTGGTGGGACAGTATAGGATAGTTTTACATAAATAAAGAGCTCCTTCCTTGGGAGGTCCTGTGGCCTAATGAATTAAAAGAGGGGCTTTCACTGACTGCTGCCCTCCAGTTGTGTAGAACTCCATCTCCCATTGATCAGCAAGCATGATCAGTGGTCAGGGATGATGGGAGTTGGAGTCCAAACTATGTAGAGGGCACCCGAATGGGGAAAGCTGCTTAAAACTCCAGGACGTTGCTTGATCCAACTGGTAGATCAAGAAGTTCAAATCTTGCACAAACAGACACCAAACCTTAGGTAGGTCCTGGATCATAAAAGACGGAAGAGTGTTTCCCTAGAGGAACTTGAGTTCAGCTCCCACAACTCAAGTTTAGATAGACTCTGCAGCCATGGGCAACAGTGCTGCTCCAGTCATGCATCGTTCTTGAGAATTACGCTCCCCTTCTTCAGCAGCAGGGAAAATAAAGTATGTGCCTCATCACGGTTTATACAGATTGCAGTCTCGGCACCCGGCTGGCTTTGTTTTAGCACAGGGTGCACAAGGCCTTAGTTACGCTATCTCAGCCTAACGCATCACAGCGTCGCTGCAAGGACAACATGGGCTCATGTGGCCTTAGGATAACACACAACAGACAACCAAATGAAGAGGTAAGCTTAGGGGAAAAGGTTACCTTTCTGAACTTGCATCGGCTCTGTTGAGGTCTGATGCAGAGACCGTTAGTTCACTGATCCTGATTTTCTCCACCTTCTTTTTGTCTTGGAAGGAGTAGTAAATGTAGAATTTCCCGTTGTCTTTGAACTTGGGGTGGAAAGCCATCCCAAGGAAGCCCCTCTCATCCCCTACCCAGGGGGTAGCCAGCACCAGGTTTTTAATATCCAAGAAGGGTTCCTCCAGGCGACTGCCATCTGGAAGATAGACCCAGATGATGCCCACCTGCTCGGCCACAAACATGCGGTGGGTGTTGTCGTTGGCATGCACCATCAGCACCGGATTCCTCAGCCCATTGGCCACCTCTCGCAGGCACAGCTGAAGGCAGCCTTTCTTATCTGCCACCACCGAGCCCAGGTTGCGGTTCAGGTTTGTGTTCTTCAGCACATCGGGGAAGCAGTAATCTTCATCCTGGATGTTGAGGAGGTTGCAGAAGCGGGTCTTGTTCTTCTCACAGCACTCGTGGATGTGCTTGTCGCTGGTAAGCAACGTGATGGCGGAGCGGCAGTAGAGGTGGAACTCGGAGCAGTAGTCGAAGCAAAGGCCGGGGAGGTTGCGAAGCGGCGTCTGGGGGTTCTCAGCATCGTAGAGATGAGCTGCATAGGGGGAGCATTCCTGTTGAAGGGTGAACATCCATTCAGTCCTGGTCTGAGAAACTGCTGTACCACTCCCAAATCAACTCATCTCATTCTGCATTTACAGCCCTCAAATGCCACTTAATGAATCAAATCTCTAAGTGATCCACACACAAAATTGTTTAAAAATACCATTAAAATGCAACAAGCAATTAGCATGACGGTGACAAACATATTTTAACCATCAGTGAGAAGAAACAATAACATGGAGCAGATTTAATGTGCAAATGTGGTGTCGTGGTTTGAGTGTTCGACTGGGACTGTGAAGTAGGTTATGTAGGCATCAGGTAAGAGGCCATTTGTCACTTATTTTTATCAGGTTTGGAGCACTGGAGATCTCCTTCCCATTGGCTGCTGCACTGCTTTCAACTGGAGATGCCAGGACTGAACCTGGTGAAGCAAACACTTTCCCACCAAGCTCTGGTCACTCTGAAACTTGAGGCTGAGAAAAAAGCAGCCCAAGATCACCCAGCCAGGTTCAAGTCTGAGTGTGGAGGCTTGAACCTGGCTCTTACTGCTCAGTTCCTAGAAGGCCAGCCTAAGACCCTTTGCCACCAGAAGCAACAGGAAATACAGTATGCCCTCCCACCCTTCCATCCTCAAACACCAACTGGGCTTACTTGCAAACTGGTAATGGGGCAGCATCGCCATCACACCTGAGGGTAGGAGGCTAGCGTGTCAGGGGTAGGAGTGGCCACGTGGTGCTCACCGCCTGCCCTCCAACACCGCGCTGCCGTCCCCACCTCGCCTAAGGCAGCTGTCCCCATTTGCCCAGTAGTAGGAACGGTCCTTACAGCAAGTGCGAGAGTTGTGAGCAAAGGCGGTGGTGCACAGGGAATCTTAGACGTGAATTGACAGCTCCGCTGGGGGCACGGCACTGGGCTCTGGGTGACCACGGGGAGTGTTACTGCTCATTTCCTCCTCCACTGCCATCCCATGCTTTACAACGGCCTCTACATCCCTTCTATATCCATTATAAAAAGAAAAGAAACGCTCTGGCAAGTGCAGTTTCATATTTAAAACATGCTTACTACCTTGATGTTACAACCATTTGGAATAAGTACCTTTGGTTGGGTTCTGACGATATCAGAACGTATATTCAACCCATACACAGTCCTGGAGCGTGGGTCCTTGTGTTGACTAAACCCAATCAATTTGTTATAAAAGAGAAGAGGGGATGATATGGATTTAAAATAAATAAATAAATAATACTTTAGCCGTGTATCTATAATTGCTGAAGGCCTTGGCAATTATAGGCAGCCTATAAATATATGCAAATAAATATGTCTGCCTGGCTACACCTGACTATAAAATAATTTGGAATTTAAGAAGAAAGGCTACTGTGCTGAGCAGGGCAGGGCCAGCCACTGTGGGTTCTGGCTTTTCCATGCTGGCCCCAATCCTTGCACTAGGCCTGCTTGCTGCTGGCCCCATCACCCACGGCTCGCTGGGTGGTCAAAGAAGGGCTAGTTATTGGCCCCAGGACCCAGCCCTGGCTGCCCCTCTGAGCAAAGACATGGCCTGCAGTGCTGTGGGACCCTAGAAAGTGCCTGGTAGTGGCTGCCACATTCTTTTAAGCCAGCCTTAATTGTTCAGCTGCTGGATGTGCAATACATGGCAGTTTTTGAGAACGAGCGATGTTAACTCTTCATGGCTCAGGGTGCTTTTGTGAGCCGTCCGGAGGCTTTGTTGCTGCGATGGGGGCGGCATAGAAATGTTTTAAATAAATAAACTTCCAAGTGCAGCTCAACAAAATGTCCCTTTGACCAACAGAGATCCTTTCCCCCACCATTTCTGTTGGATCTGACTCCAAGGCCAAGCTTTGTTTCTGCATTATCTCTGTATGCAAGAATGCAGGCAACATCCATTGTGGCGAAACATGCCTGAGGCTGAGACCACATTCCTTAGGGTCTACATAACCTTGCTGCCTTACAGGGAAAGGTTGGCTCATTGGTTGCAAGGTCGCAGAAGAGGGGAGGCATTGGTCATTGCTCCAACTTCTTCCTCAGAGGGCAGATAAAAATGAAGTCATTTGGTGCCTGGATCCTTGACATTTGCTGTGCTATAATGATCTCTTCCCAGGTCCCTTCCATGAAAAGCGGCTTCCACATAACTTTTAGCCTGGAGCCATACAGAATTAGCAGTTGTTCCCAATTACAGTGGTTAAATCTGTTATTTCGTTTCCTTCATCTTTTTCCACCATGAGCAGAATGCATTAATTTTGAACACTTATACACTGCTTTTCATCATACTAGATTTCAGGGTAACGTGCAAGTACATTCTTCTATTTACAACAATAGAGTGGCTAGAAATCTGGTTCCCCTGGAACTGCAGACTTTAACCCACTGAACTGGTAGGTTAATCAACTAAAACATCAGGGAGCAATACCAATGTGCAGGCTTGCCAGCTGAAGGGGGTTAGAACAAGGAGGATGTTCTCCTCCACCATTGGAGAGGAGCTACAACAATGGGCACTGGGGGGTATGTAGACCTACCACTATTCATATTTCTTCTGGTGTTAGGTCTCAAAATGGGGCACGTCAGAGGTGAGTTGGAATCGGTATTGGATCCCCTGCATCCAAAGCTCATTGGCTCTCCCAAGAGGCCCCAGAATGTAGCTGATGTGGTGAATTTCCTCCCATTGATTCAGAAGAAGGGGCGGTTTCAGGAGACATGAGATTCACTTGGCGATTTGTGGGAAAGAAAAACCCACCTGCAATCTACCCATCTACTTCACTCCCACCTATTCACCCAATTGTTCCAATATATTATTGATCAGCAAATGCCTAATAAGGCCACCGATGTGAGGCATCTAAACAGAGTTTTAGAAACTTTTGGGAGTTCTGCTGTGTTACTGTATTAGTGGATGCAGAAAAATATTAAAGTCTACTTCGGCTTCGGCGAATGGGGCGGCATAAAATGTTTTAATAAATAAATAAATACTGTTCTAACAATGAATGGTAGTTTTGTTTATTAAATCCAGTGTTGTGTCATATTAAGTAACTAAAAATACACCTATAGAGATATTGGTACTATGGAATATGTTATTTTAAGTTATTTGTTTAAACCATTTAGAGAGCTGATTATTACGCTCATTGATTTATTGGCTGACAAATTTACAAAGACTCCTTTTGCCTTATGGGTTTGTGTAGCACTTGAAAGTGAACAAATTTATTCTGGTATACACTTCTCATGGACATCTAATGAAGTGGGCTGTAGTCCACAAAAGCTGGTGCCAGAATAAATGTGTCGGCTTTTAAGGTGCCACGAAGTTCTTTGTTGTTTCAGAAGTTCAGGTTTCTGCGGCTGTACATTTTCTCTGAAAAGCGGTTTCATTCTGACTTCAGCATCTGAGCAGTGCGCCCCACCCCCCTGTAAAGAAGTCATATTCAGTACATACGAGATAGTAGTGCAGGATGAAAGAGGCTGAGCTGGAAGAATATTAAGTGTGGATTTTGGCAGCTCTGTGTTGGCAGATGGTGAATCACGGGCTGCCTTATGCTAAAAGGGGACCCCTTTCTAGCCATAAATCAACCGATAGGCGGGAGGCCAGGAGGAGGGGCTGCTGCCCCCTTGGCTCATTGTTCTTCCCTTGCACCGGCCTGGCTGCTCCCTTCCACCAGAGCAGCAGCCTCAAACCAGCGGGCCAAGCGGGGCAGCTGCGACAAGAGAGAGGTCTGCCAGCCACTGGCTTGATCTGAGGCAGCTTTCAGAGCCGCAGTCTTTGCAGGACACTAGGCAGGAGCACAAGCGAAACAGGTCCTGTATGGCATCTGAGAAGCAAAACACCACGGTCCACAGGCCGACTTTATTCAGGCCTTCATAAGCTGCAGAGCAGCCAGTTGGCCTGCATTTGCAAAGCAAAATGAAGAAGAATCCATTTTCTTTTGTGCTGCTTGCAGACACAAAGCCTGCACCTCTCTAGCACCAGAAGACATTGTTGCTCCTTTATTGGATCCAGAGTGTTACTATGCCTTGCAATTTCAGGGTATAAAATAATTCATCGTTCCCACTGAGCCCCACAACAACCTTTCAAAGCAGGTTTAAGTGGATGACAGATTGTGACTTGTCCAGGGAGGTGTAAGCGATTACACAGAAGAGAAACAATCACTTTAAAGAAGAGTTTTTAAGTGGTTTGAGAAAGGTTTTTATATGGGGTACACCTGTATTCCTTTTGTCATAGTACTGCCAAATAGGTTTTCAAACAGGTTTCCAGACTGATTTCTTTTAAGCTCTACAAACCTGTTGACCAGAGACTAAAGTAGCACAAGTGTACACACCAGAGAGGGATCAGTCTTTCAAATCGTCCTCAAATCTCAAGAAAAACGCAACCGCCTCGACTCTACAGCAGGGATGGGGAATGTTCACACTCTAAATGTCGGAATGCAACTCCCGTCTTGCCTCACCATTCGTGATCCTGGCTCAGGCTGATGGGAGCTGTGGCCCGACAACATCTGGAGTTTACACTGTTGCCCCTGCTGTACTGTTTTCATTTGTAAGAGCAAGGATGCGGACTTGAGTTTCCCACACATCCGAGCCAGAATTCTGTTCACTGAATCACGACAGCTTCAGACTCTTTTGCAATGCTTTAGTTTGATTACACAGCTTAAAGCACCTTGATATCTGTATGCTTGGCAGTTATATAGAATGAATCAATGCACTGGAATCTCTTTGTCTCTACTGAATAATACTACAGAATTCTTTTAGAAAATGTGGCTGGTGTATTTCCCCAGTAAACTCAGAGGTAAACATCCACTCATTGAGTTTTGTTATGTTTTGCTCCCCTGCTTCTCACACAAGCCATGGTAGCTTACAGCAAGTCCGTAAAAATGATGCACCTGAAGGCCAGCCACTTGAAAACATGACCTTACCTGGCACAATATGTCCTTGATGTATCCTCCGCACAACTTGTGGGCGTGGGGATCAATGTAATCCATGATCTCCCAGTACTTGGCTGCGATGGTATTATCCTTGTCCTGGTCACAACAGCCAAACGTCTCATAGGCAGAGCAGAACTCCAGGTGGAAAGGTGGCTGGAAAGGTGGGCCATAATCAAGGCACTGTGGGTGTCCCAGGAGCACCCCAAATTGGCATAGCAGGACAAAAGCGACACAAATAAGCCTGGAAGAATTTAAGGAAATCCTGGAGTTGTTGTTCTTGTAGGAGGCTGCAGTACTTTTCTTCAGTGGAGGTTTCCTCAGGTCAGATGAATCTGAGATGCAGCCACCTAGAAGATGAGGGCTATTCATCTTCTGAGCTTTGAAACATCCCTGCCAGTGCTCCGTGTTTGTTCAGGTTTGCTTACACCCACTCTCTCTCACTCCTCAGGCTCCCATTAAGTTTACTATTGGTTAGTTGAGAAGCAACCCTTCAGACCGCCTCTTTGCTATTCCACGCCTTGCACCAGGAAAATCCTCCCCCTCCTTCTCTTTTGCAAATTGATGACCCCCCCCCACTCCTTTGAAGAGCACACAGGGATGCAAATACCTTCAGCCCCCCAATAGCACAGGCCTTCTCCTCTCAGAGACAGGGAGAGGCCAGAGAAATGATGCATAAATTATAACCACAGCAGACATTCTGTAATATCTTGTCGACAGCGATAGGAAAAGATTACTTTTCCCATTCACAAAGCTCAAGATTCCAACACTCAGCAAAACAGCCGAGAAGAAAGATGAATCATTTTCATCCATTACATACCCCTCTTAAATGACTTGTGCTTAGTCAAACAGGGATGGAGTTTGAAAGAAATAAAGCAGGATTCTTCCACACACACCCCAAATCATAAGCATGTGGACATGAAAATAAGGCTTCAATCATCAGGACTTCAGAACAAAATGCCTCCTCCTACAATAGCTTTGGACTCACAATACTTAGTACATTCATCCACATGGTAATATTTTTAAATGACCACAACAAAATACCTTTTATACTCCAGATGGAATCTGGGAAATATGCAATACTTTGCCAGAGGCTGCCCAGCAAATCTATACAATTGGGAGGAGGGTTTCAATCTTTTAAATTACATTGTTATAATTTATTTCATATTGAAATGATTTGTGCCAAATTGGGGTGCGTGCATATTCCAGCACGCACACATGTGCATGCAAACTGGGTTAAAGCAAAGGTGAGCATCCTGACAATTGGAGGGAGCAATCCTATGCCCCCCTACTAGAAAGATGTGAGGTGTCACTGGTTTGTTCAGTCACTTTCCAGTGGTCAATCAGAGAAAGCACGCAAGTCCCTGAAGGGGGAGCCAGAGAGCTATCCTTGCCCACCTCCCAGCAGATAGGAAAGGTCTCTTGCTGCTGGATGGCTTCTGAGCTTGAGCATCAACCTCAGAGAGGGTGAAGAGGGAGTCATTTTGGTGTCCTCTGAGGGAAGGAGACTAGAGAGGCCAGGATACAAGCTATCCTGAGTCATATCTAGCCTCCTTCTACCCCTCCTCTGAAGCACCTTCACAAGTTTCCTGCCTGCCTGAAGGAGACTATTTTATGGTCCCTCCTCAAGAAACCTAATTTGAACCTTGTGGACATCAAGAATTTTAGACCAGTCTCAAAATTTCTATTTCTTTGTAAGGTGAACAAGAGGGTGGTATCTCTCCAGCTCCAGGCAGACTTGAGTGATACTGATTTTATGGACCCCTTTCAAACTGGCTTCAGAGTAGGACATGGAGCTGAGACTGCTTTGGCCTCTCTATTTGGTGATCTACGACTTAAAATTCATAGGAGGAGTGTGTTCCTGTTGGTTCTGTTGGAGCACTCCGTAGACTTCAATACTATTAACCATGGTATCCTTCTGGATCATCTTAGGGAGCTGGAAATTGGAGGCACTGCTTTTGCCCTGCTTCTGTTTCTACCTCTGGGGCTGGTTCCAGATGGTGATACTTGGAAACTATTGCTCCTCTAAGAAGGAGCTGACTTGGCGAGTCTCACAGGGCTCCATTCTGTCTCCAATGCTGTTTAACATCTACATGAAGCCACTGGGAGAGGTCATCCAGATGTTATGACCTCTCTGTATGTTATCGGTATGCTGATGACACCCAGATCTACTTCTTACCATCATCTGCTGCTGCTTCTAGAGACAGCATCTCCTCTCTGAGTTAGTGCCTGAATCTGGTAATTTGCTGGGTGAGAAAAAAACAAACAATCTGCAGTTGAATCCAAACAAAACAGAGGTACTTGCTGATAAGGGTCCAAACTTAGGTTCAGTTTTCCAGCTTTTTCACCCACAGGCCTTCCAATTAATTGTGTTGTTGTTTTGTTTTGCTTTGCGTTGCTCACATGCCAATACGGCTACTTCTGTTATAGCACCACATCAATTTCCATGTTCCTTTTTGTTGGCATTCATCTTTGTCCTTATTGCCAAACTGCCAAAAGTCATCACCACCCCCACAAAGGTGTTTCAAATACTGTATTATTAATATTGTTGGTACTTTAAAAGACAAATTGGTAGGTGGCAGCTAAGCAAAAGATCTGTCAGTTGAAAACACATCACCAGCAGAGCCTGGGAACAATTTTACAATGCATATTCACGGTGTATTATTTGAAACAGAAGATTAAATTCCATTCCAAGCAAACAAGGAAACTGATCTAAACCAGGGCAGACCGTTGCTGCACCTGATTGGCAATGGCTCTCCAGAGTCCTAGCTGAGGTCTTTCTCATTACAGGTTCCTGCAGGTCCTTTTAATTGGAGACACCACTGGCAGACCCTTTTGCAGGCAAAGTGTACACTCTAACCTTGAGCTATGCTGCCTTTCTGAATTAACACTGCAGGGACAGTCTGCATCAGGTTCCGCCAACCTGGTGCTCTCCAGACTTGTTCGGGACTTCAACTTCCAGCATCTCTCAGTGAATGTGGTTGACTAAAGGATGCTGGGAGTTATAGTTCACCGCATCTGAGGGCCAAAGTTGGGAAAGGTTGGTCTATATGATAAAAGTTATGTATGGAGGCTGCCTAAAAGAGTGACCTTCTGGAATCACACTCTTCATCAACTTAATCTCCTTCTGGATCATCAGGTGATGGAACCAGTTCTCAGGACAAAGTCACTCTTTCTGTGATGGCTACCAGATGCAACAAGCACCCTGCAGAGGCTCCTGCATGTAGCCTTGAAAGAGGGGTGGGGTGACAAAGTAAAAACTAGAAGGTGCAAATTCAAGTGCCAATAGGTAGACTGAGATGTGGACAAGCTCCTCACAGAAAGAATCTTCCCCACAGAGCAGCTAGTTGCTGACTTTTCCTTGCAAAGTGAAAATATCAAAAAGGTTTGGGCATGCAAGAGTTCACAAATCCGCTTGCCAGCTCACTCCTCCTCTCCCAAGCAGGTTGACTTGACTTTACACACTTGCTACCTGCCAACCATATTTGGTGGCCTGCTCAGTGCTGCATCCTTTTTGGTTGCCCATGGCAGGCACAAGCATATCCGCTTGTCAACAGCACCAAACAGCCTGCTTCATTATTTGCCTGCCAGATGACCAAGTTGTATAAAATCACACCAAACTGTCGCTTACAACTACCCACCTTCTGGACCACTTTACTAGTGAATAATTGGCAGACTCCAACTATTCTGATGTGTTAAAATTCAGTGGGCTTTCCTTTCAGTGTGTTCCAGCCATACCTATGTGCACACTTTTCTTACTGATTAATCATATTATGTGTTTATTGCTTATAGTTTTTATGTCATTGTATTTTATGATCACCACTTTGTTACATTTGTGAGAAGGGCTGTGTAAATTTGAATAGTAAAACAAAGAAAAACTACCTGGTTTTTGTTTTCTCTCTCTTGTTGTTGGGTTCATGAATTACCTGGAACAGAAGATATTCTCTAATACGCTCTGACCTTTCATGCAGTTACTTGGAAGATTTAACAAAAACAGTTTGCATACTACAATTACTGATGTGCAAAGTGTCTCATGAAACGTTTTGCTGCTCAGACACTGAAGTCCAAAGCTTTGTTGGTATCTGCCTTGGCACTCCAAAAATGTTAATTGCTCTGTGATGCAGAAAGTATTTCAGGGTCAAACATGCCAGCAGCAACATGCAGTAGTCCTTCATTTAGTCAGAAACACGAAAAAGCCACGAGAAGGGTCAGCATCTTGAATGCTGAGATGCACTCTCTGCTGCTGCTCAGCACTGGCTAGTCTAGCCCCTTTGGTAGCAAATGTGTGATCATTTATTTATTTATTTGGGGTATTTCTAACCCGTCTGATCACTACACGACTTTGGATGGCTTAAAACAGTAATTCAATAAATACAATGGTATAAAATGTCATACTAATAACCCAAACAATAATAATAGTAATAACAGTAATAACTCACAAATGGAATAAAAACATAATTAAAATTTTAAACTTTAAAATACTGGGTAAATAAAAAGGTCTTGACCTGGTGCCAGAAAGCATATAATGTCAGCGTCAGGTGGACCTCTCTGGGGAGCACATTCCATAGCTGGGGCGCCACCGCAGAAAAAGCTCTCCTCCGGGTATTCTGTCTCCTAATCTCTGTAAGGAGGGTTCCCAGAGCAGGGCCTCTGCTGCAGATCTTAAGGGGTGGGAGGGCATGTAGGGAAAAAGATGTTCCTTCATATATCCTGGTCCCAAGCCATGATCATCAAAGGAGCCTGTTTTTATGTTGGTAGCAGCCCATTTAGCCATCACCCAGTACAGGCAACGCCTGAGGAATTCCCTCCAGCTGTAAGATACAAAAATTGGGGAATAATCGGTTTAGTGAGCCCACTAAACCTGTCAACTCGAAAAACCAAGCAGAACACGTTCTACGCTAAAAGGAAACTACTTCATGTAGTAGCAAAGATAATTCAGACAGGAGACCTTTGCTAATATGTGATCACTTCTGGAAAGACCATGGAACTCATGCTGTGGAAATTAAGAAATAAAATAATAAGGGCGTCAGAAAAAGCATCTCATTATTTTATTGGCTTTTTCTGACACCATTTTTCTTGAAAGCCATCCTGAGATGCTAGTGGTGGAAGGGGCAGAAAAGCTTTTAATAAATAAATAAAATTACCTTAAAATGGTGTAATTTATAAGAGACAAGCCAAAGTTTGATATGTGAAAGAAGCCACATTACAATTGCTTGTCTACTGTATTTTTGGTTTGAAATTTATTTAAAAAGTGAAAGATCATGTTGATTTCGAACTACAGCTGCAAACATTATGAGTAGCCCTTTGGCCTCAAGGGCTGCATCCAATTTATGCCTGCTGGGATGGGATTAGTGGGTGGGAGCCAGAGTTGGCGAGGGCCTTTCTTGCAAAGGTCCTTATCAAGACTGCTGCCCTGCACTGCTCACAGTGGTGCCCTTTACCCGTACACCAATTAATTAGCCAGGCGTTGGGGGAAGTGGGTGGCACTCCCAGGCCACACAGAAAGCAGCAGGTGGTCATGGGCCGCCCACTCCTTATCCAAGAATTCTTGTGCTTGATTCACTGACAGTATGGTTAGCTGTTCCATGGTAGATCAAGCACTAACATTTGGTCTTTTTGATGGCTTGAGAAATCTAAAAATAGGACATTCAGTCTTTTGTCCCAAATTCACAACTTAGAAGTCTACCATTTCATTACCTGTCAACACACCGAGCCAAACTTCTTATGGAGATACAATAGCCTTTGCTTCACAGACCTCAACTGCTCCATACTGGGTGGAAGAACAGGGTTGGTCAGCAGACCAACAGTGGAAGGCAGGCAGGCAGGTTTGAAAACGGTGCAAGCCACACATGCTCACAACAGACTGGTGTATACCTTTCCACCTGTTAACCATTCCTGGTTCTGGGGGCAATCAATTCTTATGCACCATCTCTTATGCACACGGAAACTCTGTTCAGGAGCATATTCAAAAGGTTTAAAATGAAGACTTAGATATATAAGCAAGAAACTTTTCCTATAAAAGCTTCAAGACTCAAGTTTTATTTTAGCAATAACTCAAAGTAGAACAATGCATTTCTTTCAAACAGATTTATTATAAAACAAGAACTCTGATAAAAAAAAGGTTCTCATTCATGTACAAAGCTTTTGTGCTGAAGTAATTATTTGCAGGAGAGATCTGTATAGAAACTGAAACCTATAAATCTATACTAATTATTTTTCCAGATTATAATTTCAAGAAGGCATTTGACTTTTGAAGTAATCAAATATCAAGCGCACAATCTCTGTGCAACCCAGCTGTGTTCTTTTATGAAGGTTTTCAGTGTTTTGAACTTTCTCTTCTTGGCTTTATAGTGTTCTTTCATGATGTACTTAAAATATTTGCAATCTAGACACACAAACACAAAAACAAAATGGCATTAGAATTACTGGATTACATATTAAATGTAAAAGAAGAAAATGCAAAGCGAGTAGGGTTCCACTGAACACAATAAGAAGACTCAGAGGGATGCACATTTGTGATTTTATACAAAAGGAGAAACAGTTTCTATTCTGTCTCTCAGACTTTTGTGCAATTGGTTTAAGCATGAACTGGTTGGAACGTCCAGTGCATTTAACTGTACACAGGCAGGACTGTCATTCCTGCTCAGAAAAGCTCTGCCCTATGAAGTGTCATTAGCAAACACACATACACCATGCTTACACTCCAGAGAAAATAATCCAGACTATCTTTTTCACAAGCTGAACAAGTTCCTATCACTGCTTCCCTCAGTGAATCCTGGGAATTGGCCTGCAGTCTCTGAGAAATCTCTCTCCCAGAGAAATCTTGGCAATTTTACAACATTGTAGTATGAAGCTTCCTTAACCTGGTTTAGCTTTGGAGTGTGGCAGCAGCTTTTCCTCAGGAAGACAGTGATCACTTGTATCAGGGGTGGGCAAATTTGCTCAACAGAAGAGCCACATACGGTAAAGGTCACATGTTTCAGAGCTGCAAGCTGCCACTCGTGGCTGGCGAGCCACAAAATAAACTCAAAGAGCTGCATGCGAGCCTTAGTTTGGCCACCCTGACATATAGCATGCTCTTTGGACATCTAGTGGCCAAATAACTTGAAATTAATTCTGCATGGGCAATGGGGCTTTGGGCAAGAGTTTCCTAAATAGGAAACCCCCGATGGGTTTTGGCAAATTGCAGACCTGAAAAAGAATTTTGTGATATGGCATGAAGGCTGCCTGGGTTTTTCTGAGTGGAGATAAAGAGGAAAGCATCCAACTGGGCACTCCACAGTATGCGGACCTCCACTGTTAGCCAGACTAACAACAGGCAACAAGTAAATCTAAGCAAGTCATCCTGTGTGAGCAAGAAGTGGACTTTGATGGCAGTTTTCTGGAAGTAAAGGGTCCTTCATATTGAAAACAGTCTCACAGGAGCTTTGGAAGTATGTGTAGTTTAAATGCTGATAAATCAGTAAGTGACAAACATTATCATTCATCCAAAGACTATGTACTGGTCTGCCAAGTTAAAGATCGCCATTTGCTGTCTGGGTGAAATAGGCCAGACTGCTAAGCATAGTCCATGCAGCTAAAAAGCATCATCATGATCAGGTTGACACCATGGAATGGTGCCCTTGAAAGGCAATTAAAGCAATTAAGGCAAATTCATAGAGGACAAGCCTACCAATGGCTGCCTGTCATAATGACAATGCACGACCTCTGGAGTGGGGGGGGGGAGGAGGAAGAGGGGGAAGCCATCATCACCATTACCGCTGCCACCTATGTACGTAACAACATTTCTAGAAAAAGAGAAAAATACCTTTTCCCAGCAGTACCCCAGCTACAAGTAACTTTTCACATGCAAGACGTTCGTTATCCTGCCAGTTTCTTTTTGCCAAATAAACACTGAAATGGAAGGCCGGCCACCAGTCCTTGCGGAAACTCCACTCTTTTTTGAGCCAGTCAAGCTGCTTGCCACAGCTGGCAAAGAGAAGAAAAGGAAAAGAGAATAAACAAGATCCAGACCCAGGGGGATGGAAGGCACAATCCTATGCATGCCTTATCAGAAGAAAATGGCCTACAGTTCCCAGCAAGGCATGCTGGGAGTCATAGGGCTTTTTTCCCCTCTAATCACAGGTAGGATCACACCCTCGATCTTGGATGCTGGCAGAGGAGGGTGGACATGATCAGAACACCGATGAGGTAGATAAAAATGTGTGTTTCTTTTCCCAAGCCTCTGCTCGGCAGCCTCCGTTTGGCTGCCTGCAGCTTCATTCTGTATTAGCAGAAAGATGTACTGTTCCAAGGCATGCCATGCAGTTCTATTTATGTTCTTGCAAGCTGGCACAAATCTGCTTTGAAACACACACAGTATAGATAAGCAACATGTATAAAATGACCAGCAGTAATCTAGAGCAGTCATAAAAAAGGTTTTGGGGGTGAGCGGGGGAATTTCATCCAACATTTACTAAAACTAAACATAAAACTGGGGTGTTCTTCTCCAGCAATTGTCCATTGGGTTCAAAGAGGTTCCACAGGGCTTGCAGTTAATAGGTTGCCTGGACACCAAAAAGCATCTATAGGTGAGCAGCTAGTGAGTCAATTCCAGATGCAGCATCATAAATCAAACCTTTTTCAAATCAAGGAGTTCTGTTTCCTTAAAAAAAAACATAGTAGGACACTGCCATCATCTCCACCAGGAAAGTCTGGTTCAGAGTTGATTGAGTTCTCACTAGTCACGCTGAAACTTCCTGTTTTGGCCTGCAAAGTCCCCAGCCATTTGTATGCAAGACCCACTAAGCTGTTAGAGCATGACTGGCTGTGCTGTTTAAAATTATTTTAAAATAAAAATACATTTTCCTCAAAAAGCGTTATTTTTCCTGCTTTTAATTCCAAAACTTTCATTACCTTATATGCAGAGTTGAAAACATTAAGAATAAACAAACAGTTGCTATAAAATAAAACAAGACAGTGTTTTGTGTCTTTGGTTTATAAGCAATCTGAAATGGATTCTAACAGCAGGAGCAAGTAAACAGAACCTTCCCCTGACATGACAGGTTTCTGTTTCAGGGGAGGTTATTGTATGAGGATGTATTCAAGCTCCCACACTCTGAAGTGGTACAGTCTGACAAAAGCTGTAACGTGCTGAGTGACCCACTGGGCCCTTGACCACTTACTTCTGCAGGATTTCTACAATCTGTTTTGCCAAAAATCTCCAAGCTTTTACATTTTCCTTCCAATCGGGATAGTCCAAAACTGCAAAAATAACCCGCAGCCGTAATTTATGTTTTCTCTTTTTTTCTGCAATGAAAACAAGAGACATGACATATGAATTAGAGGTACCAAGGTCCACTTTACTGCATATTCATACCAGATGGGTGGTACATTTCTCCTTATCCTCAAGCGGAATAATGGAGGCAACTGTGCCATCCTGGGCCGAGCAAGTACTTTGGAGCAGACCGATTGAATGCAATTGTTTAAAAGATGCAGCCCTACCCCTATCTAGAATGCATTACAGTCACTTAGTCTGCATGCAGCCAGCTGAAGCCAGCTTTGCTTTTTCTAGACAGTGTTACAGCCGGCAAACTGTAACCGAGGCTGATAAAAGTTCCTTTGCCACTGACACCACCAGCTTTCCTTTACAGCTTTGTTTTATGCAATCATGCTCAAGCATCCAGTCCTCTACTACTCTAGAACTGGGATTGGAAGGTAGTAAAAAGGTCTTACTTGACTTTTTAAGTAGGCTGTAAAATTCCAGCATCAACTCATGAGAAGGAACACGCTCATGCAAGACCTAGGAAGAGACCAGCAGTGTTCATGCACTTGGATAAACACACACGGCTCAGTGGAGGACTTAGTGCCAAAGGCTTGTGCCAGAGTGAGCTATAGCAGGAGGCAGGATGCGTCACAGATGAAGTATATGTAGGCATAACAGTTTCCCATTTTTATCTTTATAAAGTGCAATCTTTATAAAGTCTATTATTCCAATGGGTATGAGACAGACGGGCATCAAGAAAAACTCAGAAGAACTACTTCCTAGGTATAGAAGTGATCACAAAGTAACCTTTTCTCAGAGGCATGATCAGAGACCTATTCCTATCAGAAATCAATGGGACTCCTTCTGCTGTGTGGAAACTGAAGGTAGGACAACTCACTGGCATTCTGTTCAGATGTTCCAGACACTTACGATGGCTATTGCTCTGTGACTGCAGTGCAGTACTATTACTGCATTTCAGTTGACTGTTTTCTGCTTTTGGAAAAAGTGGTAAGTAAACTGTGTCTATAAACATATTTTACTTGTGCATTTTATGTGTTTGCCGAGAAAACCACTGACATTCCCCAAAGCCGCTGTACTTGCAGCACCATCCAGACAAAAGATGGCAGCAATCCTGGAATGACAGACTAGATTTGGAAAATTCACACTTGTTTTTATTGTTCTTGGTCATTTACAGCCATTAAGACAGACCTATGTCCCATACCTGGAGTACAGAAATCTTTATTTTCCTCGATTCACCCCTTCTCTTTAGGAAGTGATAGAAGAAGACATGAGCATTAGGGTTGGAAGGATATTTGGAATTATAGGCATATTCACTTAGCACTTCTTTTGCTTCTTCATACTTCTCATAGTGTTCCAGCATCTGAACGAATACAAATACGTAACCAATTATTTCAAGTGGCGAAGTGCATTTTCATCTTCAGATACTCCCCGTTTTACAACATAGTCAACACATCAAAGGCCAGTGGGGTTTAGCAGCAACAGTGTTGGACTAGCACTCAGGAGATGTGAGTTCTAGTCCCCAGATGGCCCTGAAGCTCACTGGGTACCTTTGGGCTCGTCACCTGACTCTTAGCCGAGCCTACTTCACAGGATTGTCATGAGGATAAAATGAAGTGGAGGAAGACGTTATGCAAACTACCTAGGGTTCCTTGCAGGAAAAAGAGATAAATATATAAGAAAAGTAAAGAAAAAAGAAAAGCTTCCCTTGAAAACAATTTAATTCAGCAGTCAGGAAATCAATACAAGGCGTCAGAATTAACAGTTTTAGATTATACTTCAAGCAGAAGCCAGATGGAACAAATGCCTGGATATATCACCAAACCTGTATGTATTGGATAGTTTGGATCAACCTGCCAATCCATGGTTTGGCTACTGGGTATGATGGTTGGACTTGCATGCTCCCTCCCACTCTTCCTCCCCCATTTCTGTCTCTTATCAAATGATCTGAGTCTGCTGAAAATGTTTGCCAGGCTACCAAATCTTGAACTGCCAGCAATACTCAGATCAAGAACTTAAAGAAGTGGTAAGCTAGTTGTATTGGTAAAATGGGCTCTTACATCCACATAACACATCACAAAAGGATCCCAGACTCCAGGAAATTTAATAATCTCCTTGAGGCTGCCTTTGGCCTGCCGGTATAAATGCTCCATTTCCTGCTGAACAGAAGACTCCGCATAGCTGCCTTCATCTGTGGAAAACAAGACATCCACCTCTCATGTTAGGTACAGCAGCTGAAAACTAGTCTTGGATTCAAAGCAGCTTTCCAAGCAGCCCCAAAAGGCTTAGGAACAGCAAAGAAGCAAAATATCACAGTGGTAGCTTTTTCTGCATTTGAAAAACATAACATACAAAAAAGTCATACAGGATCAGACAATGGGCCTCTTTAGCCTAGCACTTTGCTCACATGGTGACCAACCAGAGGGAAGCCCACAAGTGGGACACAAATGCGTGGCACGCTTTTGTTTGTGCTCCCAACAACTGGGAGATCTCCTGCCTCCAGATCTGGAGTTCATCGATACCCATCAGGACAAGTAACCAGGGGCATGCTTCTCCTCTGCAAAACTGTCTAAACCATCTGAATAGAGAGCCACCAACACATTGTGTGGCACCAGCTTCACAGTTTAATAATGTGCTTGTGAAGAGGAACCTTCCTTTGTCTGTCCTTAATCTCCCACCTTAATTTCCTTGGATGACTCCACTGGGTTCAATTATTACTACAACTATTATAATTGCTCCGCATTTATATCCTACCTTTTTCCTCTTGTGAGGCATCCAAGACAGCTTGCATAGCTCCATTTTGCCCTCACAACACCAGCCCTGTGTGGTAGGTTAGACTGAGAGTGAGTGACTGGACCAAAGTCACCTAGTGAGCTTCAAGGCCAAGTGGAGAGCAGGACCCACATCTCCCAGGTCCCCAGCTCAGCACTCTTGCCACCACACCACACCGGCTCTCCGAGAAGATGAGAGAGGAAGAGCAATAGCATCCTATCTACCTTCTCTGCATCATGCAAAACGTTGCACACATCTACCAGACTCACCCATTTTTCCAGAGTTAAAGAGCACCAGATATTATAACTTTTGCACTACCCCTCTGATCATTGTGGTTGTCCTTTTCTGTACCTTTCCCAATTCTGTATTTCTAGATTCTGGTCCCAAAGCAGCCATCACAGAGATTATGCATTTATCATTTATGCCAGGGCCAACCCCAGATGCTTTGCTTCTTGAAGAAGTTATTGATATCCCACTTTTTCTTCCAAGCAGCCCAAGCCAACACCTTCAGAAGAACCAGTGGTGCTTCCCCTGCAGTCACGGTACATAACTCCAAACACTGGCAAAGTTACTTAGGCACCAGAGGCAGAAAAACTGACAACTGTCTCTCCCAGATATGTTAATTAACCTACAATCAGCCATGACACCCTGAATCAGTTGCCAAGGTGGGAGGGCAGCTGTTGGTTTACGCAGCTGAAACCATGCATGGTGATTCCAACAGCTAACCCCCTGCTGCTTCCTCAGCTGAAACCATAGCAATGCCCCGGTTCATCCAGAACCAGCACTTGCTATCACAAACTTGGATAGCATAGAAACTGCCTAGTTAATATCTATTTCAGTTTTCCATCAACCCAAAAGTCTGTTTGGTACATCCAGAGAGAAGACAACAGCTGGATTTCATACCTTCCAAAGTGGAAGCTCACCAATTGTTTGCTACTCTTCTCACTGGTCCTGGGGGCAAGGAAGTCCTTGCATCACCTGGCAGAACCCAATTTGAAAGTCTGCAAACCCTCCTCCTCCATACCATCTGAAGACCCTGACAAAGGGGGTCTCAAAATCCAGTCTGGTTCCTCCCCACTCACCCTAAGCCTAACATGTTGCACAATAAGCAGATCTGAAGAATGCAAAAACTTGCACATTTTTGTCATTGACCTAATAAAGGTATGAGACTACATGGATTTTTTTCTTACGCCCAACTCAGTTGCCTTTTTGTACACTTAACCCATGGCTAAGGATTACCTACAAGCCAGGATGCAAAAATATGAAGTGTACATCTGTGCACCCTACATCTGTGCAAAGCGGCTTTGGCTTCCCTCACCTGAATACCTGCAAAGTGACAAGCGGGGCTTATTGGTCTCTCCCTAAAGTCCCTAAATGGGAATTAACTTGGCAAACCATCATGGCATGTATTTTGGAGATCTTAATTAGGCTTAAGGCAATGGACCATAGCTAAGCATTACATTTATCCCAAGCTAATAAATCTGAGCAAGATTATCAGTGAAGCAGATCAATTTTTTTTCTATCAAGTAATTTTCTTTACTAATGCTGCAAAGCATGTTTAATCAGAACTAAGTTGCACAGTGTGGAATAGGGCTTATTCCCTTATAAAATACACTTAGGATTGCAGCTTCAGTTTCAAGAACTTAATGTAAAAATCCATGGCCTTCTGCACGAGTTACCACTGCATGCAGCACTGGTGTACTCAAAGGTAGGTACCCACCAAGTTCCAGCAGGTCCGTCTTCCTTTTCAGCCACTTATAATAATCCAACAGCCCCCTGTAGCCTTGCACAAGCTTCAGCTCTTTTTCATGAACAGCAGTTTGTTCTCCATAGCGCCAACTTTCTGCCAGGACCAGGTGCTGATAGGCCTCATCCAGAAATCCGCTGCACAGGAGGTGGAAGGCATGCTCTAAAGAAACCTGTAGCCATTAGTTAAAAGCTGGCTCAAGAGCAAGCTCAAATGCAGGGCTGCACACCCCGACAGCAGCTCACTGCCAACAGCCCCTGCAACTGCTCCTCCTCGCCACTGCCGCCGCCTGCTTGATCACCTGCTGCTTGCTCTGGTAGGAGAAGCTGCAGAGGCTGTGCCTGACTTCTCAGCAGCTTTCTGCTCTCAGCAAACGAAGCGGGAGCAATGAGGAGAAAGGGGACGAGGAGCAACAGCACTTGGTGATCATGGTGGCAAGTAGGCAGAATTACTGCAGAAGAGGACCCATTCGGGGTATCTTGCCCAGGGGTCCTCCAAACACCTGGAGCTTGCAGTGTGTGCATGGTTTTCAGCTTCAGCCTGGATAAGGAACCCCGGCTTGATCTGTACAGGTGCACCAATCAGGCCTTTTGCATGTACGTGACGCTGATTTGCCCAGTGATCTATCCTTGTAATTTATGTGATTATGACTGGGTAATACATCAGTTTCCAGTGTTCTGAACACCTGTACAGCCATATGTAACAAGCTCTACTGTCATTAAAACACAAAACTGTATGTTTCCCCAGATAAGTTTCTGCATGAAACAGCAAAAACATAAATACTGCAAAACACTAAAAGAAAAAAATAGTTTCAAAGGATCCTAAGGAATCTTCGAATCTTTCCACACCTTTAAATATCTTCCAACTCCTGAATTTTTCATCCGGTCTGCAAAGTGGTTGGTCTCATCGATATTGCTCCGTGGATGTTGCTGCAAAATCTCAGTTCCTATTCTCCAGATTTCCTATTAGGAAGAAGATGTGTTCTGAATAATAATAAAGCCAATGCAGACAGCGAACTATCCATACAAACATGAGCATGAGGAGGCATTTAACAACAAGGACAGAGACACATGCTCCAACCACCAATAAAGGCTCCGTTTCCACCCATTCCCTAAATGTGTTCAATAGAACTACAGGCTGGAGAAACCAGTTCAACATATCTCCAGAGTTAGAGCATTAGTGCATCAAAGATGTTGCTCGGGGCCATTGGATGCAGAGAACCTCTCACTCCAAGGGTGGAGACAGAGCTCTGAACTCGGGGGGGGGGGGGTCCTGCCTGCTGATCCCTGCCCCTTCCTGCTGCTGCAGAAAACCCCACAGCAGCTCCCTATCCTGAGGTCACAACTCCATCAGAATGGAGGGAAGAAGGATCAGAGGCGTATCAGTGTATGGGGAGAGATCATGGACCCAGTAGACTCTCAGTGCCCATTCCCAGCACAGAGGAAGAGTTATCTAGGCTGTGAGGCCAACTACATAAACACCCTCCTTTTGGCACAAAGTGAGGCTCAAAATAAGCCTCTGCTGTACTTCCTGGCAGGGCACCTGATGCTCTGACGGCGCGGCACTCCATCATTTGGGTTTAGCCCGCAGGACTGCTTTCTTAAGCGTGTCTACTTGCCTCATGAGCTGCAAGCTGCTTTTCCCGACTGGTATTCTCCAGTGTCTCTAGATAGCTTATCATGAGCTCTGCAGCCCTCTGCCACTGTCCCTGTAAGAGGGCCTCCTGTATGCAGTTTAAGCACTCTTCTTTCACCGTCTGAAATTCCGAGGGTGTGTTATTCTTAGTTGCTGGAACAGAAGACACACGCTGATTAGCAGGTAGTGAGATGCATCTCTTCCTAGCACAATTATGGACACAGAGAGCAGTTGACAGAAAAACCCGCAAGCCCACGCCTTCCAGATTGGACATGGCACACAAGTAAATGCTTCATCAGCTTTGGACATCAATTCTTGATAACATCACGCAAATGTTCCCTCACCACCTTTTAAGACTTCTTGTAAGTACACTGTAGCCTCCATTTCTTGAATACTTTTGCTGGACTTTGGCATGTGACAAACCATTCTGTGACAACTGAAAAGCAATGAACAAGAAAACTTGTCTTTCTCCCTCCTGGTATGTGCACAAGAACTTGGAATGATTTAATTGGCAGCAGTTGTCAGCTCTCTGCATGTAACGTAATGATGGAGCAGGAAAAAATGTCACTGCAAGACCCATCATACCCTGCCAGCCTTAGCCAATGGGAATTGCAGTCCAAGAACATCTGGAGAGCCACAATCTCTTTGCCTGCTGCACAATGACAACGTATCATAACAGCAATCCTCATCTGAGTCAAATGCATATGAAAAGACTTGAGAGTTACCACTGATGTAGTCTCATCCAAACGTAAGTATGCAGGTCTTTCCTAATTAATATAAAACTGCATTCATTTTAAATAAATGTATTGGCTTTATCTATCTTATAGAACATTTTTATAAGCACTTTACAACCATGATAACAGTACAATTAAAATCACAAGAAAATCTATAATCTAAAACTAACAGACATGCCAACACGGCATGAAATATAATATCACATTGCAGGGGCTAGAATAAACAAACCTCATTGGAGGACTAAGGTAATAAAACACAAAAATACTAACATGTTTTAAAAGACTTGGAAAAAATTTAAAAGCCTGGAGGACGGGGGCACTGCTAAAACCATCTTCTTTTGAAAAAGTTTCTTGGCCAGGAAGAAAACCATTTAAAGCAAAAATGAAAAGCTATTCAATGCTAACACCTCATCTTTTGAAGTTCCCTCTACAGGACTGGCACTCAAGAATTTTATGTTAATGTCCAAGGGGAGAGTCTTATCAGTGTCTAGACAGAAACAGGTCCTACAGTTCCCAGCATGCTGCAGCCAACAGGGACTGTTTTTCTAAAAATGCCCAAAATTACAGCAGAAGATTCTGAAGGTGCCTTTTAAAAAATAATCCCATGGCAAAGCATTCTGTACTAAGTTTGCTAGGTTCTTGTCCAAGCAAACTGGCTATACCTTTAAATTAATTCATTGCCCTAGTATACTACATCCATAATGCCTTGGATGCACATGGTGCCTATGTCACCCTCTCTGGTAAACGTAACTGAAGAGATTGCAATTGCTAACTTTTGCTGCAAGTGTCCACCTTCTCCTACCTGCTGTTGTTTGCAGAACCCACAATTTGCCCCCGGCAGGCAAGGCTGCAAGCAGCCAAAGGGACATATGGAGGAACAGGATCGAAAATGCAACAGCTGTGACTTTGCTTGCAGCATTGGAAGGCCATCTTTGCACAACTACAAGATTCTGGAATGCCAACCTTCAACTGCAATCTCCTTACACCCAAGTAGCATCGCTTGGCACAGCTACCTGAGGCCTGCAGCACATCACAAAGTGTGGGTAAGGACCACAGGGCTATATTCACATTGCAGGGAGAAAACATGGACGACAGAGCACAGGCTAGGCTGGAACGCCTCTGCTTGACATGCCAGCTTTTCCACAGGCCAAAAAGGTTTCGTTTGGAACACAGGGCTCAAATGTGACATCCTCCAGCCACATTCTGAAATTACACCATGACGATACTGTTACACAATTCTCCAGGACAGACAGAATGACTCTGAGAGGTCTCCTACAGAAGATTTAGGACAAAGAAGGGCTAAACAGGTGTGTGCACCTGTTTCCATTCTTGCCAGCTCTATCATGTTACACAGAGCACTGGCAACCATTGCATTCAGCCGCGTGCACCAGTTCAGACTTACTTGGCTGGCGAAAACACAATGGGAGCAAAGGTAAATACATCCTGGGAGAACAGCACTCATTTCCTTTTCTGAGAACACATGTGGTCTTTCATCTATCAGTTCTTCAGCAATGCTATTTATTCCTGAAAAGACCAAGAGAGAGAGAAATAATTATGCTTTAAGAACAGAGATGAAATTTAGAAAGAAACAAGGGCGGGGAGATGCTGCAAATGTCATCAGCAACAACTGTAAATGGCAGCAGAAGACTAGCTGTATGCTGCCATTCAGGAATGCCTCTTTGCACAGAAGAAATTAAACAAAATAACTCACACAGGAGAGGGAAATACCACCCCACAATGTGGTGGGGAAAACTGCAAAGAACCCATTTTAAATTTAACAGGTCACATAGGCAGTTGCCAGCTGGCTCTGCTCCTGCCCCACTTCCTGAAGATAATAGAAACTTCTGCCAGTCCATTCAATGCCTCAGCTCCATTCCTGCTGAGAAGGAGCAGCAAGCTGCCCCAGAGAGACCACACTGCTCCAGAAATGCAGAAACATCTGAGCTAAGCAGCAGCAGCCAGGCTAGCGGAAGGGTGAGGATGGCAGGTCCCTTCCAGAAGAAAATGACACAACTTTCCAAATTAGGGCCTTCAGGCACAACATTCAGGGTCAGGCAATATTATAACCTATACTCAAGGAGTCAAGTATGCACTGTGGTTGAATGTGAGTTATCATGTTGCCTAAACCCAGTTGCGATAACAAGCAATTGTTCATTAACTATGAACATTTCAGACTTCATAACCCAACAACAAATCATGGGTTCTCTTCATGGGTTAATCATGGTTAACACACCAAATTGTTAGTGCTGCTGGGTTCAGACAACATAAGTCACATTTCAACCACAATTCGCAGTTCAACAGCAACCTATACTCAATGTTGGACTATTGCTTATCATGTTGTCTGGGCCCTGTGTCACCCATTACTCTAGGGAACAACTGGAGACCCTGGCTGGTTTTCATAAAAATCAGGATATGGTCACATCTCCCTAGGACAGCAGCCATGTGTCCCAGTGATGTAGTCCTTAGCAGCCCCTTTCCAGAAACTCCTACTGGTAGGGCGACTGTCTTATCTTGTTTTCAGATTATTTCCTGCAGTTTAGCATGTGCAACCAATTCCAACCATCACCCTTCCTGCAGAGGTTATACCAGAGAAGGGCAACCTGTGGCCCTCAAAATTTTTGACAATTCTGATCATTTCTCACCCTTGCCTATGCTAGCTAGGGCTGGTGGGAGATGTAGGCCAAAACACCTGGAGAACTGCAGGTTGTTTATCCCTGGGCTACATTCTGCTCCTCAACTTGACAGAAGCCCAGTGCCACTGCTGACAGGTGGAAAACAAAGGATCAAATTCTGCAAAACCTGACATGAAACTTGTGGGACCTACTTTATTTTTATTAGGCCCATAAGATCCATCAGTTTGGAGCCTGTTGAAAAAGAACTACCCTTAGCATTAAAGAATAGCCCAGGAATGTGTTTTGACTAGACCAATGAACCTGAACGGGACTCACATTCCTCCTGTACATAAAATTCCACTGCAAGTGTTCTTCATTTCAATTTATGGTGATGGGACGGTAGGGACAGAGGCAGGAGGAAGAAGAGTAACCTGGTTGCTACTATTGTTAAGTAAAATAGGGAGTCAGAGATCCTTGCTGATCTACTGCAAATCACCCCAAGATCAGTCAGTTCTACTTTCTGCCACCCTGAGCAAGGCACACTTTGCCTGTGAGAAGCATTACAAATCTCAACACAGAGACTTCCACAACAAATCTAGTGCACCAGACTAGAGCTGAACATTAGTTTTGCCTTTACATCTGTCCTCTGCCTCTCAAGGGATCTGGATGCTCCATTTGGTTCTGGAGACAGGTTCAAGTAACTGCTGGCATTTGAATAACTTTGGTGAGGCAGAGAAAGAAAACAACTATCACCACATATTTTTCCCAGCAGTGCATGGTCAGTTGTGCACCTAGCAGGGCCTAGTCCAGCCTTCCACAACCTAGTGTCCCCCAGATGTTTTGGACTACAACTGCCAGAACACCAGACCATTTGGTCATGCCACTTGGGACTCATGGGGAATAAAATCCAAAATGTCTGGAAGGCACCAGATCAGAATAGGCTGGCCTATGTATCACCTTTTTAAAACTGTTATAAAAGGCAAACACACCTTGAGTAAACTTCCAACCTGATAAAGAGCTCTGAAGAGTTCAGATGCTCACCTGCTATTTCATGAAACTTCAATAAACCATTGTCATCATCAACATCCCATTATGTTTATATCCTGATTTCCTCCCTCTTAATAAAGGTATCACCCTCTTACAATGTTCATATTTTGTTTCATGGGCCAACGTAGCTATGGATAAATTTTGCATACTTTCCTTATCCTCTTTCTGTGATACCACCCGATGGCATCAGAGAACTAAGTTGCCTCAACACTTCCCAACCTGCCATACAGAGAAGAAATACGCAGAGGATATAGAATCACACAAACTGCTCAACCTCCAGGTTGACTTTAATGCTGTTTTGACCCATCCCCTGAAGAGAAGTGAGAGCTATGAAAAGAAATTAATTGTGAAATCCAGGGTTTTGGTGTAGCTGTGATTAGGTAGCAGCATGGGTTCTTCCCCCAACACAGAGAGAAAGTAATATCAATAAAGGAGTTCAGGTTTGAACCCACAAAGTATGGGGTGAGGCAGGGGATAATTTTTAATTGGGTATTTTAGGATGCAATTCAATGCATGCTTAGATGGAAAGAAGTCCTACAACTTCCATCATCCCTCAGCCAGCATGATTTGCTCCATGCAAATCAATAGAGCCCAAGGCTTCTGCCTGAAACAAAATGCTAAAGTTTGGTTAGAAGCTAGCTAAGGCAAACTAATTAGATTGATCTTTGAGAGATGCTTTACAAAGAAAATTAGACAGCCTAAAGCTGCACCTTTATTTATTTGGCTGACGTTAGGACAACACGAGCAAAAGCTTTGCCATAATTTGGCTGCTAAAAGTCTGACACTATAAGAACAGTTTTAGACTTAAGATGAGTTTCCTGCTCCAATCAGGAATCCTTGTTACAAATCTTGCTTTCCATACACACCTTAAAAAGGCTAATGTCCCTGTCCTGAAAGACCTGTCCTTTGGAGGTACACTCTTAAATATGCTAACTGTTTACCTTTCTTTCTCTGTATTATCTCAACCCCTTGTTTTTGTTTTTCATTATTAATGTGTCTCTGGCATACTATGTATGTGACCCCTCCACCCCTCCTCTCAGTATATAACTGATATGTTATAAAAGCATCTTGTCCATCTTGGTTGTCCCTTCCGGGGTGCCAACATGTAGCATGTACGAGTATTTCCTGTATGTCTGAATAAACTATAAATGTTCTTTTGATTTACACCCCCAGAGGACTCCTGAAGGGTGTTTTTTCACTCCTTTCACTGATTTTCTAGGTGCACTTCAGCATGAATCTCCAGGACTGTATGTATTTCCAAGATAATGGGCAGCACCTAATCCTACGTGCATGCCAGCAGGACACACTACTAGTGCAAGGGGAGCTAGTGGTTCGAAATGCAACCCCAAATGAGCAGAAATGCTGGATACTGGAAGGGGGCAGGGCAGTGGAACAGTCCCAAGAGCCTGTCCTGATCCAGAAACAAGCATTTCAGCTAAGCTGTCTGTTATGCAGCCAGTGTGTTCCGCGGGCACAATGGACTGAGTGCCCAGCAGTGGTATGGATACTGTATATGGAAACAAATATGAGTTCTACATTGCAGAAGTAGCAGTGCCTTTACTGGACATGGAGCAGCACAGGAAACGGTTCCAAGAAATCCAACAATAGCTACAGACACCTGCCTGGACATTTTTTTCAGTCACTGGTACTAAAATCATATATTTTATATAACTTATTTGGAACATTTTCATGCAACCCTTTCTCATGTCAAATTTCAGGGAAATCAACAGCATAGAAGTTAGAATGTTACAGTGAGACAGAAGATGGTCACCCAGATTCAAGCACTCGCTCAGCTGTGAGGCTCACTGGATGACCCTGGGGCAGCTGCAATCTCTCAGCCTGTCCTACCTCACAAGGCTGTTGTGAGAATAAAATGAGGAGACAGTCATATGTCCTGCCTTGAGCAGTTGCGGCAGAAAGTATATATTATTCAGATCTTAACAGCAGGCAACCCTACTGGGCTGTATGTGCGTCTAAACACACAATCTGCAGTATGGCAAGTCTGGACTGGCAATAGTAGGACAATGTTTTGGAGGGGGGCAGTTAAAACAAGGTATCATCTGACTTCCAAAGATCAAATTCCTTTGCTAATGCCTTTCGTTTCTCAGTTGCCTAACCACTTCTGCCTAATCACAGCTAAGCAAAGGTCTTAGGTTTCTCTACTAGTTCTCACCGAATGCCTTCCCTAATCTGCTCTGATGAGAAGGACATCACTCCAAGAAAGTCTGTGTCATAATGAACTTCTCAAACCTTCCGGGAGACAAAAAAACTCATTGATGCTTTTGCCGCAACTGCGTAACAGGGTTTTTCCTTCCTGGTACGGAGATAATTGGACGGTCACGCGACCGCTTCTGTCTCCACACATAACAGCCTAGAAACGGCAGTTGCTTTGGGCATAACACTAGCTCTGGGCTGCCACGGACACCTACCTACCTGAGCTCCGGTCTTCATTCTCTCCCACTGCAACCGCTCCTGGCAGAAGGCACACGTGCTCCGGATTACAAGAGCACGACGCTTTAAAGGCCGTTTTCCTTTACGGCTAAGGCACTTTCGCAGCCACCACCATATTTGCTTAGGGCATGCCCGAAGGCTTCCTTGTACTTGTCACGTGATTATCTACGCATGCGTAAAGCGTTGCTCGCTCTCGCTCTCCCCCCACCCCACCGCCTTTTGGGTGTGATTTCGTCGCCCCCGCATGGCCGGAGGGAGAAGTTTCTTGCGCTTGTTTTGAACCGTGTTGGAGAGATTTAAAAACTAAAGAAAGAACAGAGTACAGTAAGATGATAAAGAGCTTGTTTTTTCTTCTTCTTTGCTTTATTGCACCGTTTGGAATAATTGATTCTTCATGGGCTGGGGTTGTACTTTAACCTCCTGAAAAAATTTATATCGAAGGGGAGTATAGACGTAAGACGTTTATAACTGCCAGAGACTAACTTCACCTGATGCATTGATTGTTACCAAGAGTTTCGGGTTTTTATACAGTACAAATGGCGCTGTGGGGCGGGGGGGGGGAGATTATACCCCCTCTTTTCTTCTTATTAAAGAACGCAAAACATCTTACATAATTCTTTTCCTGCTCTCATTCTTATCCCCACAACAACAACTCTGTGAGGTAGGCTGGGCTGAGAGCCTGTGACTGGCCCAAAGTCACCCAGTTGGCTCCATGGCTGAGTGGGGAACCCAGATCGCCTGAGTCCCAGTCCCACTATATCACAGTGGCTCTCTGGTTTTTCTCTGTCTAACCAAGCACAGGATTGTTCCTAAGGGCCTTTTGGGAAGCTTCCATGCTAACCACACAGTCCTCAGGACAATGTCTCATCAAACTCAGTGGAGCTTACACTGGAGTAAATACACAAAGAATCAGGTGTGACCTCATGACTTATCACAGTTATCTGCAAGTTGCTTCCAGAAGTGTATTTATTTTGCATTTTAAATATATCCTGCTTTATAAAGTAAATCAAAAGCAGCTAACTTACCACTTGCTTGCACTTAAAAAAGTGCAGTCTAGATAATCCGAGTGACTGAAGTTTTGTACTACCTTTCATCTAGAATTTTGAAGCCTGAGATGTACAACAAATGCATAGGAACGACAAGTGCTTGCTGTAGCTAGAGCGTTGTCACACATGCACCAGAATCCACACAGCCTCTCATCAGTCCACACAAGGGCCTGCATACCAGAGGAGTACATCATGCACCTGCTCTCATTTCCAGGGTTGTATCAGTTACTGATTTTTTGGCTGGCTTCTTTCCTACTGTGGAAACCTCTGTAGCACAGCAAATCAGCAAGAAGAAAGAGTGGCAAATGGGCAGTGCACCATTTTCAGAGCTCTTAGTTCTTAAGATGTGTAAGAATCTGGTGTTTGTATGAAATGTTAAGGATAAATTGTGCCAATGACAGCTCTAGAATGCTTGAGATACCTTAACAAGGTTGTCAGAAAAGCCATTGAATACAAATATCTATACCCATACTATCAAAGGCTCCTTTACCTGCACACTCGCTGATATTGTATATGTAACCACCTGCCAAATCTGTCCTTTTATGACTGCATGCAGCTGGGGCTGCAATCCTATACTCCCCCTTACCTGTGAATATGCCACGCTGAAGAAGACTTACTCCTGAGTAAACATATATAGGAGTGCATTGTAAAAAGGATAATGTTAGCAGAGCACAAATTAGGGAAGGGATATATTCCATTTTGTTGGGCTTTTTAAAAAATTAAATTTACAAAAAAGACTCATATGAGAACATAGAGAATTTGATCTCATTAGCAAATTCAAGAATGAATGCCACAGTTTAAACTTTAAAGTAAAATGGATAGCTACTGAAAAGTAACTGGATGGTATCCAGTCAAAACATCCTGCCAACAGATAGGCGAAACTTCAACATTCAATATTATTCTTTCCTAGCATACACCATTTTGCATTTCTGAATATTCAGTACCCTGTGTGCACATCCACACACATGCATATGCAAAGTGGAAAGTACTATTGTGTAAACAGATGTGTATTTGTACAGTCCTGGATTTTGATTGCGGTTCCCTCCAGGTTGGGTTCAGAGTTATACTAGAAAACATCTAATGTATATTGCATGTATATGGTTATTTGTATTTCTGTAGGCAAGCTTTTACACTATTTTCTTGATACTTGTATTCCTAAAGGCACAGTCCTATGCCTGTTTAGACAGAAAAAAAGTCTTACAACTCCCAACATCCCCCAGCCAGTTATGCTAGGGAATTATAAGATTTTTTCCTGCCTAAACAGGCATAGACTTGTGTTGTAAATTAATTCCATGTGTCATGTCCGTTTCATTTGATTCACTTTATATATCATATGATATAGCAACAATGTACTACATGTGAGTTGCATTGCTGACTCTAATAGAAACTTCCTATTGGTTCCAGTGGTTGGCTTTTAGAAGCCTAATTGTTGGGCAGAAAAGATGGACCTCTGAGTGTGTCCCTGTATGTGGGGGGTGGCTTTAGCTTTGTCCACCACCGACATGTGAGCTTTAGAAGGCTAGCCATAAGTCATGGGGGCAAGAAAGGATCCTCACCCTGGTTTAAAACATGGGTCAACTTTTCTCCTTCCAGCTATGGCCTTCTGCACATGGCAGTTACTCTTTATAAAATGCTTCCACACTGAGTTAGTATACAAGAGAATACTTTACAGCCAAAAATCAATAATTGCTATTCTATAAGAACATCATCCTCATTTCTGCTGTGTTCAATAGCGATTAGTTAGCAATTTAGGATAAGAAAGTAACAATTTCTTATCTGAGCAGAGCAGAATGCTATGGATACAGTTCGCTGAGTGCCCAATTAGTTCATTACTATTTTTATGTTTGAATCAAGGAACTCTGTGTATTTGCCACATTTTAATGATTTTAAAATAGCTCTTTTGCCAAATGTGCAAAGAAGAAAGCATTTGCATCTCAACCACAGGTTTCTTCCGCTATGTTCCTGTATACATTAGGATAAGGGTCCAACAGATAGCGGCTTTCTTTTGTTAGAATTCTAGATAAACCTATATTTTGCTCAATAGAACACATCATAACTTGTTTTACGATGGACAGTTCAACAGTAGATGTATTATAAGAACAAATATATAACAGAACGAAGCAATTTATTCCATGCAAGCAAATCGAAAGCACAGAAGTGCTCTTTGCTAATTTATTAGATTTTTTGTCTTTTTCCTTACAAAGAATCCAAAGTGGCTTACATAAATTCTCCTTCTTCTCCTCACACCAACAACCCTGTGAAGTAGCTTGGGCTGAGAGATGGTGACTGGCCCAGAGTCACCCAGCTGGCCCCATGGCTGAGCAGGGACTAGAACGCAGAGCTCATGAGTCCCAGTCCTGCATTTTTAGCCACTACATCACACTGGTCCTCACTGTATGACCCTGCATAAGGTAGCATAACAGTGTTCTGAAAGCAGCAGGGCTCATTTGACAGCTCTTTATTATGTGCATTAGCCCAAACTGCATATTCCTGATGGACAGCAGGAGGCCGCACAGTGTAGCCACGTTTTCCACTGGCATTTGAAAGACGTTTGGCCACCTGCATGTGGGGCTAACCAGGTTTACATCTGTTCCCTACAGACAGCATTTGGAATAATAGCAGCAAAGGGGACCTGAACCTGAACAAGCCATGTAACGCTTCTGAACATTATTAAAATGCAATGGGATAAGAAGAGGTGAGTTATATCATAAGAACATAAGAAAAGCCCTGCTGAAGCTGAGACTTGAGGGAACTGAATCAACTCGTAGAACTGCAACACTTCAGATTCTAGATAGAAGATCGCATTTGAGAATCCTTCCCCATGTAAAGTTACCTCAGCCTTGTTAGTTATGGGAGCAAAAACTTGTGGCGCATTAAAGACGATTCAAATGGAGACGGCAGCCAGAGACTGAAAAAAGACTGAGACTTGGAAGGGCAACAGTGAAGAAAGTAGAAAAGAGCATCAAGTTTTTGCTGGCAACAACGTATTCTCAGTTTCTGTACATGGGTGTGAACGCTGGATAGTGGAGAAAGCCAACAGGAAGAAAATGGTTGTGAACTGCCCAGACAGCTTTGGCTATTGAGTGGTGTAGAAATAAACAAATAAAATTGACGCATTCAAAACATGGTGCTGAAGGAGAGCTTTGCAAATATCCTGTATGAACAGAAAGGTAAACAAGAGAGTCCTAGATTAAATCAAGCCAGAGTTTCCCCCAGAAGCAAAAATGACAAAACTGATGCTGTTGTACTTTGGACACATCATGAGAAGGCAAGACTCACAGGAGAAGACAATAATATTAGGGGAAGCTGAAAACAGAGGAAGAGGAAAACCAAATATGAGATGAATTGATAAAGGAAGCCATGGCCTTGGGTTTACAGGAGCCGAGCGGGGTACATTTTGGAATGCATTCATTCATCAGTTGGAGATAACTTGACAGCATATAACAATAAAAAGACTATCGAATTTATTTTGGCATAAGTGGACAGCTTCCAAGAAGGCTCCTGCCTCATTAAACCTGTTAAAGGAAGAGTTTCTATCTTGCCATGTTGTGCTAGATTTCTATTTGTAGGGGAAATGTTCCTTTAAACTCTCTCCCCTTATTACACTGTATCTCTAGACCCTGACTAAAATTGTTCCTTCCCCCATAAATGCATTCCACCAGAGCCTTTAAGATTGCAGTTGTGATGAAATTAGCCTCATTTTAGGACATAAGCAACACCCACTCTGAGCCTGGCTCTCAAGTAAGTAGCCACATGGCCTCTTTTACAGGGGGCAGTTCTCTATTTGAATGGCTGCCAGGAGAGAGTCCTCTGTTTTATTTATTTATTTAAAACATTTCTATGCCGCCCCCATTGCAACAAAGCCTCGGGGCGGCTCACAACAAAAACAAACAAACGCATATAAAATTATACAATAAAAATATTAAAACCTGGTGCATCTTGGCTTAAAAATTTTTTTTTTGTTAAAAAAACCTACATAATAAATTAACAATTAAAATAAGTTTTAAATAAAAAGGTCTTAGCCTGGTGCCGAAAAACAAACAACAAATATTTTGTGGCCAGCTTCTATCTGAAGGGCTGTCCGAGCTACATTCAATTTAAATATAAGCATCAGAAGAAGAGATTCCAGCCTAAAGTTGCACATCAACAAGACAGTGAGCAAGGCACACCCAGGTCACTCAGTCACAGGGCTTCAGACTATAGAGATGTACTATATTTCCATTTATATTGTAGAAAGTCTAATTCAGGTAGCTATACATAAAAATGAGCATATGTGAATTTTATGCAGATTGATTTTCCTCTTTTGTTGCATAAAACAAGAAGAGCCCTGTTGGATCAGAACAAAGATCCATCTAACTGAGTTTTTTGATTGCACAATGGCCAATGAACTTCACGTGGAAACGCCCCAGGTAGGAGATGGGTGCAATGTTTTTTGCAGGGATTATAAGTGGTCGTCCTAATAACGATGGTGAGTGAATTGCAAGTTTAAGCACAACCCTACATCAAAAGCCAAGTATGACACCTGGCGAAGTTGCCAAGGCTAAGAAGGTAGGAAGTCTCACCCAGCCTTGCCCTGCACCTTGGTGCCCCCACCCAGCAAGGGGTTGCTGGGGCTGGGAATGTAACACCTCTGGAGGCCACCAGGTTGAGGGGGGAGCGAGGGGCTGTTCTGGCCTACTGGCTTCACCTGCCTGACAGGCAACTGTTAAAAGGTTTGTGGCAAAAGCCAAGACGGTGCCCCTTGGCTGAACCCCGTGCAGAAGCCATCTGACCCAGCCACTGCCCCTTCCTTCACCGGACCCCATCTTGGTCTACATTTAGGGAATCCAAGGTAGTTCGCCTCCCACAGGCCAGTCCGTCTTCCGACGGTCAGGGACAGACAGAGAGCTCAGGAGAACAGGCGGGGGTCCCCTGCGTCCGCGCCCGGGGCGCCTGCCCCCCTCTGCCGCATGGGAGGACCGGCCCTGGTCAAAAAGCGGCGGCGGGGAGGGATCGCAAAGAGGGCTGGAAGCGAGGCCCACAGAAGGACATAAGGCGGGGGGCGGGAGTTTCCCGGCCCAGCCAGCGCCTCGGGCGCCCTCCTGGAGGGACTGAGGAGCGCGCTCATCCCTGCAGCCGCCTCTGGAGCCCGCACGGGGCGCGGTATCCGCCGCCTCCGCCCGCCTTCCGCCGCCTCCTGCTGGCTCCTCGGGAGAGAGGGCGAGTCTCCTCCTCCGGCTCCCTCCTCCTCTCCTCTCCATATCCTTTTCCAGCCCGGCTCTGCTGACGTGTCTGCTCTGGCCCCCGCGCCCGCCCCCGGCTCCCTGCGCTCCTGCCAGCCAGCCAGCCAGCCAGCCAGGCCGGCAGCCTCGCTCCCCAAACATGGCTGCGGCGCGGCGGCAGCGGCGCCTCCCGCTGGCGCTCGCGCTCCTCGCCCTGCTGCTGGGCGCCCAGGCGCAGCCGGACCGCCGCTTCGCCGAGTACAAGCGATGCGCCGACCCCGAATGCAGCAGTAAGTCGCGGTGGGGAGGACGAGGCCGGCGCGCATCCGCCGGGTCCCTGCGACTGCCCTCAGCGGCGCCAGGCGCGGGCGGGAGGGGACCTGTTGGCATCCTACCCAAGGCCACGCAGGGAGAAGATCGGGCTCGCCCGGCTGCCTCTCTTCCTCTGGAGGGGCGGGAGAGGACCGTGGCGAGGTGTCCTTCGGTGCCGCGCCGCTGCCTTCCGCTCTGTTTGCCGGGATGGAGAGGGGCGCCGGCGGGCGTCCTGCCGCTCGGCCTCCTCCGCTGCCAGGAGGAGGAAGATGCTGTCGGATATTTCCTCCCTTGCACTGCGTTGGGCCCACTGCTCCTGGCCAACTACTGATCCTGGGAAACTTTGCGCTTTGCTTCGCCTTTTTTTCCCCTTTTGGAGGGAGAAGGTACTCGGTGGGGGTTTTCCTTTCACTTTGTACTAATGCAAAACTTACTGGCAAATCAGTCTCGTTGAACTTGGGGGGAGTTAGTGCCGAGTTTTAAAAAGTTTCCTTGCATAGGATTGGAAAAAGCTGGCAAATGTTGCCTCCCTCTCCCATGTGTCACTCTGTGTCACATTTTCAGTTGTAAGCTCCTGCGGGCAGGGGCTTGCCGGCCTTGAACTCGATGGGACCTAACGCTGGGGGTGGGGAGTTGTAAAAAATGGGTTTCCACTTCTAGAATAAAGGCTGAAGCTGGGAAATGTTGCCTTCCCCTCTCGCCATTTCCCTTACACTTTCTAAAGCGCTGTGCACATTCAGGACGCAGGATGCTGCCCTGCACTGAGTTGGACACCCGATCCACCGAGCTCAGTACTGCTAACACAGGCTAGCAGCTGTTTTCCAACGTTTCTGGCGGGAGTTCTCTTCCTACTGATGCCAGGGATCCAGCTTGCATGGAAAACGCTTGCCCTGTCGCTGACCTACAGCCCCTCCCTAACTGATGGCGACTACCTACGTGTAAATCTTCATTCTTCCTAAAGGACAAGGAAACTTTATCATCACTGCGATACTTTTTTTTCCTACGTATTACTTACTTCCATCAGAGGGCCTTCAATACCTCCAAGCAAACTGCATGGCACAATATGAGTTCCCACACTGTGTCCTGAGAGGTCTTAGACTAGGTCTTTTGGGTCAACCGTGACTTAAGTTAAAACCCTAATACAGTGCCTGGAGTCGGCCGCACAGGCTGCCCGTGCAGTTCATCCAAACCTGGGTAGTGTTTGAAGCAGAAGCTTATTAAAAACGACTTGGTAGACCTGTTTGTGTTAATGCTGTTCTTGAATTCACACTGTTCAGAATGAGATTAAAAAAAAAGGCCTCAAACATTTGTCTTCCCTGCCCCTTTGCTTGTAAACAAACTTGCAACTTCTCGAACCTGGTTTTAATGAGAAGCAAATTATTGACCTCATTCTCTTTTCCTTCTTTCTGGCTAGTATCATATTGCAGAGTAACCTAATAAAGGGAAATATGTTCTCCTGGAAATAGACAAATCAATGGATGGTTCTTTGACTTCCCTGAGAGTTGCATCTAGACCTTTTTTGGGGAGGGGGAGCAGGTTTATTCTTCTGATCCAGAATATACCATGAGACTGTCTCAAATGGTTTAGACTTATAGATGGAGATTGTTTGTGCTTAATCTGTGTCACTGACAATACTGACACTGAAAAGGCCTCACAGATGTTCTTATTTGGAAGGAAAGGTTTGCTACTTCCAGGTAAATGTGCGTAAGAGCCAAACTTACGTATACTTACTTGGAAGTAAGTCCCTCTTAATCCAATAGGCATTCTCCTGTGTAAATTGAATTGTCTGCCTTCAGTTGTGAGCAGCCCACACAGAGGAGTAAGCTCCACTAAACCCTGTGAGACGTCCAAGTAATATGCCCAAATTTGCATTATACTAAATTACTGGAATACAAATAATACTCCAATATTTTAATAGCCTGAGGCTCTAATATTCAGTTAAATATTTTTGAGAAGTCATTTGTTTAAAAACAGAATGCTGGCTATACCAGTTTTCAGAGAGGTGATTGCAAATTATAAAATATTGTGATTGCTTCATTTATGTTTTTTATGTGCATCTCTGTTAGCCATAGTGGACCTATTTATGAAAGCAGATAAATGTACTGTATTCAAGCACAGCATATAAATATCAACAAAATAGAAATCCAAGTTAAAGCCAAGCAACGTTCTGTGGATCTACAGGTATTATTTGGTTGTGAAAGCGCAACTATGTTAATTTAAGAAGCAGTTGATGCTTACAAATGAAACATTGTAACCATGAGCTCCTTTTTTTTGGCACTGTAGTTCTAAAGACATTTAAGTTGGAAACAGTTTGACTTTGAACAATTAACAGATTTCTTTTGCCATTTAAGATTAGAAAGTGAATGTGCTAAGAAATTCTGCTTAGCATCTGATCTTTGTGCATAAAAGCATCTCCCTTACATTTCCTCCTTTGTAACTACTTCTAGGAATGGAATGCCAAAATATATTTGTAGTCCATTAAACTAGGCAAGAGTTTTGCCATTCAAGAAAATGTTTAATTTGAAAAGAAAGTCATTTTGCCATTTCCTTGCCTCAACAAATAATTAAGGCATACAATAATAGTAACATAGTCTTTGTACCAGGCAGCATCTTGTTCCAGGGCAGCAACGATTCTTCTGTGTATGTGATGGACAGCAAGCTATTGGCAGATATCATTTACTGTTCAGAGAACTTTAATCTTTATTTACAATGTCTTTTTCTCACTCTCTTTCAACAGTGCTAATGTGTCGAGGGAAGGCAGTGAAGGATTTTAAAGGTCCCGATTGTCGTTTTGTAGATTTTAAAGAAGGAGAATCAGTGTATGTGTATTTTAAATTAACAGGAAGAACAAATGATCTTTGGGCTGGAAGTGTAAGTTTTTACATATTTTATTTGATTTTATACATGTTGGGGAAATATCTGTCTCTTCTGATAATATTTTAATTATTTTGCTTTGGCTACTTTCACCAGAAATGCTTATGATGGTTGCATTTCCTGTGCCAATTCAATAAGGTGTTGTAAAGAACTAAGCAGTAAGCAGTCCAGGTGTACAGAATCTACAGGGTTTTAGCTTCTTTTGCATGAACACCAGAAACATATTTTTAATTAATAGTTCCTCTGTTTAAAATTATATAAGCAAACAGTACTGCAAGGAAAGGCTATTTGAAGTAAGCAGGTGACTACAACCACTTTGCAAAGTCAGGGACCTTTTAGATTCCCAGAGGAAAACAGTGTGGAGTCCTAGAATTGTAAAGTGACTTGCAGCCAGTTAAACTGAACAGCTTCCTCTGCCTCAGTTCAGATGATCATATATTGGCCTAATGGACCAAGCAAATTAACCACAGTTTTCCATCTTGTCTGGACCTTGAATTTGTGGTTTCCAAGCTTTGGCACAAGCTAGGATAGTCACACTGCAAGAAGAGCAGGTGTAGAGCCCTACCTGGTCTGGCATTCTGTTCCTACAGTGGCCAAACAGATGCTATGGGAAGCCCACAGGTGGGTCATGAGATGAGTGCAATGGCACCTCCCTTTCTTGTTCCTCAGCAACTGGTGTTGGAAAGCATACTGATTTTGATACTATAAGCAATATATAGCTCATGATAGCTTTATCCTCGATAAATGTGTCGAATCTTCTTTTAAAGCTCTTCAGGTTGGTAGCTCTCCCCTTGCGGTAATACATTCTGTAGCTTAACCAGCCAGTATATAAAGAAGGCCTTCCTTTTGCATGTCCAGAATCCCCTTCCCACCAATTCTCTTTACTCTTGGATAAAGCATTTTGAGGGAGAAAAACTCCCTATGCATTTTCTCCACGTCATGCATAATCTTACATACCTCATCATGTCCCCTTACTCACTCTTTTCTGAAGTTACAATCTTTTTTCGTATAGCATTTGTACTTGCCTTTTAATTGTTTTGGTTGCTCTTTTCTGCCCCAGTCATCTTCTAGCAAACTTAGAAACATAGAAACAGAGTGAGTCAGAAGGGGTCTCCCAGGCCATCTGGTCTGACCCCCGGCTCCAGCTGGCTTCACTCATGACACGCCTACCATGTGCATGTCTAGCCTGTGACTTAATATCCTGGCTTCTTCTGAAGCAGGTAGTCATCTTTTCAAAGTTCAGACTGTTCACCATTTCCATTTCATTTTTGCTTTTGTAAATAATCCAGGAATGCCCCATTCCTGGATTGTACTTTGTGATATCTGGCAACTATGGGTTGTTTCTCCCTCAAGAACCCAGAATGTCAGTTGTGGACATCAGTAAGTACAACACAAGAGCAGGATGTTTCTGGGTTTAGCAAAGCAGGAATGAAGTGGCAAGTGGTCAGGAAGCATCTTGCTGTCTGGTTCCCACATGGTCACAGATAACCCATCAGGTAGATACCCAGATTTTGGCACTTCAACTCCCTGGAGCCCCTACCAGCATGGCCAGTGATCAAGAAGGTTGGGAGCTCAAGTCAAAAGCCTCTGGAGAGCTATTTTCTGACCATCCCTGGTTTAAATAACCTGGCATTATTGTGTGAACTGAATCTTTTTGCATTTGTGCTAATCAAATTATGACCTCTACCAATTTCTAATATAGAAGAGGATATGCCTTCAGGCAGAAAGCTTTGATGTTACTTCCTCTTCGGGGGGGGGGGGGGGGGGGAGGAATAGTTGTATGTATGTATGTATGTATGTATGTATGTATGTCTATACTGCCCCATAGCTGAAGCTCTCTGGGTGGTTTACAGAATCGGTGATGATGGTGAAGTTGGTTCTTCTTGGCTCTGGGGAATTTGTGGGTGCTGTGCAAGTGAATTCTGCTTGTGTGGCAGAGCCTTCCTCTCCTCTCCCTGCAGCTGGCGGCATCTGTTATGCGCAGGCTCTGCTGCAGGAGTCCCTCCAATGGCCCCCTCAGGCACTGGACCAACCACCGTGCTCCCTGCAGCCACCTATTTTGTTAACCCATATTTTTAAATATACACACATACGTGGCTTGTATGAAATATATACAGTTCCCTAGCAACTATACATAGGATGTAACAAAAGCAAAACACATATTTATATAATTAAGTATACATTTAGAGTCTATATGCTCCCCATTCATGAACTGGAAATGCTGTAAGCTCCTCAGTCTACTGCATTATAGGAGGTGAGCATCTGCCCTACACTTTTTAATATCAGTCATTTAGTTAGGCATAGAGAATTTAATTATGTGTTATATTTATATCCCACCTTTTGTCCTTCCAAAGAACTTGAGGCAGCTTACATAATCCCCCTCCTCTTCTCAATATTATTCTTCCAACAATAACCCTGTGAGGTAGGTTGGGCAGAGAGTCTGTGACTTGTCAGTGAAAGGTGCCCAGTGAGCTCCATGGGATCAGAGCCCAGATTGCCTGAACCCCAGTCCTACACTCTTAACCACTATATCACACTGGCTCGCAAGGGGAATTAATTCTCGGTTTGTTAATGAAGCAGGTAAATTACCTGCTTTTCCATGAAACAGGTAAATTATTTAAAAGAGAATATGCATAAGTGAATATACTGTTCTAGTATAAAATTTATCACCATAATAACCTCCTCCCATAAAGAAGCAAAATGGCTCAAATATTGTCATTGTCAAAATATACATTTGAAAGAAGCATTAGCTATATTGCACTGTAAGCAGTTAACTGAATCAGAACATTATTTATTAAAGAGACATTGCAGTGTCCAACAGACATGAAAAAGAGGTTTCGCTGAACAATATTAAGCCTAAGATGCATAGCTCTGGCAGGCCACCACCAAGAAGTCCCTCCTGCTTGCTGCTGCTTTCCAAGCCTTCCATGGAGGTAGCACTTCAAATAAGCCCTTTGATGTTGGTCATAGTGATGTTGAGGGAGGAGCTCTGTCAGCCATTGCAGTCCTAAGCCAAGCTGGACTGTACCCATGGAAGAATATGCAATAAAAATATTATTCACACAAGATGATTAAGTCACTTTCTGTGGGATAGAACTGCAGATATATATAACTGTGTCATATTTGCTCCTCTAATTCTGCTTGATAAAAATGTGGTACACTCACAGAAAATGGCTCAGCTGTACAGAAAGATGCATTTAAATTCAACTGAAATCAGTGGGAGAAGTTAGTTGCAACTGACTTAAATACTTGTGAAATCAGAGTATCTAAAATATAATTCTCTCGGGATTCAGGTCTCTAGTAAGGATATGCTGGTTTTAGTTATGCAGGTATTGTGGTTTCTATCGAGTTGTTTTTTTCCTCTGCAATGAGATGTCAAGAGAGGTGTAGGACAGTTTTCTTGATTCTTACCAGGCAGTAATTTCCCACTGATATGTTTGCATGTGAATAGCTTCTTAATGGTGGACATTCCAGCTGATAGAACTCCATGTTATTGCTCTTAAGCAGAATTTTTTTCCCTCTTACAAAGGAAGAACTATTCATTTGAGTCATGCTAAAACCATGAACGTGCTGCTTTCATAAAAATAAGCAAGAGGGATTATGACACAATAGCCTCTGAGCAGCAGGGCAGGCCAATTAAAGTTGCTTAGATGAAACGAGGAAAGCATTTCCCACAGTGAAAGTGGCAGAATGGAATCATTGGATCACACTGGCAATTCCCATCGGATCACTACTGTGCCACAAAGAACCTGGATAATTATGAAGCATCTGTTTCCAGTGTTGCAAGCTCTTTATAAACACAAAATACGAAGAATGGTTTCAGCTCTGAAACATGGCATTAGATAATTAGAGGCTCAAGTTTTTAAACAGAAGAAACTAAACCGCTAACATTCACATTAACCAAACTAATTTGCAGTCAATAGTTGTGAACAACAAAATGTTAAAAGACAACTGGGCATTTGTAGATCTTTGAATGCAAGTAGCTATCTGTAGACACCAGTGATGTGTTCAAGTCCTTTACTTTGAGTTTTGAGTCAAGTCTCAGGCCTTTACTTTCAAGTCCACATTGAATCTTAAATTTTTGCAAGAAAGTCTTTTCTCAAGTTTCAAGAGCCAACATTAACAGAAAAAGGGAGGAGGAGGAGGAGGAGGGATGTGTGAGGGAGTGGGAGAGTTGTAACCACCCCTGCCCCCACATTCCCATCTGTACTTCTCTCAGTGGTGCATTGAAGTCATTAGAGATATTCCTATAGGGTTTATGGCAGTCTTCACATTTGTAAGTATGTAACCCAGGGACTACCTGTATCACAACCCTCCTGCCTCCACCCCACCCTCTTGTCCCTCCCACCCACCCACCACCTCCCTTGTGCCAAAAAGCATTTCAGTTGTAAGAACAATAGAAATCGCAAGTGGAATTGAGTCACTCCCTCATTGCTCTCAAGTCAAGTCCAAGTTGATTTGCTGATGTGACTTGAATCAGACTCTGGAGCGAGTCACTTGATTCCAGTCCCCAACACTAGTAGTGTTTTCACATTTCAAAGTGCTGCACAGTTCTGATCATGTATATCATCACCATCATCACCATCCTTTTGAATTGCTTGACTGAGAGATGGTGGGTCTTAAACTCAAACCCATTAGTCTACTCATTATATCATGCTAATTCCTGGTAAGCTGCCTCATCATGCAATTTGTGTGTTTGGATATCTTTCTTCAATTTAGGGAGAATTTTTTTTTTATTATTCTCAGCCAAGAGATGAACAAACGAAAGTGAAGCCTATAGGTCTCAACAGTAATCCTTCATATGTGGATCTGAGTTATCAAGCGTCCTAGCTTGAATCAAAAATAGCAAAACAGCTTCAGTTTTGCATACCCTCTTGAATATGCAAGTATACATGCAAAACTAGAAGCTTATATTTTGTCCTGCCTTAGGAGGTCATACATAGGATGAATCCTGCAGTCTGTTTCATTGAAGAGATTCACAATTTGTGAATCTGAAGTATGTCTTATGGCAGGGGTTTCCTTGAACCAGGCAAACTAGACCTTCCTGATCTATGGAGTGGGGAGCACATTGAGACGGGCTGGTGGATGTAGAAGGAAGTTGGGGTTTGCCTTTCCCTGCCTTTGGCACAGTGCTAGTGAAGTCAGTGTTCTAGGCATGTCTGTGTGGAATGTGGAGAGAAACATGTGACAATAAATGTTTGCCTCTTGCCAGCATGAATGACAAGTGCCTATTAACTTATATATAGCTTGCTGTCAGGCTGCCCTGCTTCTGAGCAGTGTGAAGGACACTGAGGCTTGATTTACAGTGCAGCTGAACAGCTCCAACACACTCTGATCAGACTCTTAAAACCTTCAAATGACAGGGCAGAAACAACTGCATTTATTTCTTTTTCTTTTTAAATTGTCAGCAGAAATATCTGTCAGTAGCCATTGAAGAGGTTGAGTATACAAAAGCTGTTTACAGACATTGCTGTGCTGACATAGGCTGAGACTAATCCAAAGTGGAACTAATATAGAGATTTGTATTTAGTCTTAGTGTCTTTGTAATTGATATCAGCTATTAAGGGCAATCTATAAGAAAGCTACTTTAAAACTTTGGCTTTTCATTTGGAAGGTTATTTCTTAGAAAAAAAATGCAACTGCATTATACGTTATCAAACCTGTTTTGTCTAGTCTTTACACTGGCTAGTAGTGGCCCTCTGACTCCATCCAGCCACCTCATTCAACTACTACTGCACTTTGCCAAAACATATGGCTAAAAGAAGCTCTAAAGGTAACTGTTGTTGTTATTTGTTGCATCCCAAAACTGGATGCTATTGTGGCATTATTTTCCCAACCTACACAGGGCTGACATCTAAGAATTTAAAACATTGTAGCTAGTATCTAGAAATTTTTTAAAAATCACGCCTTATAATGAGACCTCTTAAGCATATGAAACCACACATAACTTTTATTAAATTAATTTAAAACAGAATTTGGCCCATCTAATTATTTGTAAATATCAAAAATGTTTCTCTAAGAAATAGGTTATCTTCTCCTATAATAAAAACATCAGGAAAGAAGTCAGTGCTCACAGAACACATTCTAGTATCTCTAGAGGATGTGTTTACATTTAATGTACTCTGCCAGTTTCTAATTGCCTAGGTTATCTAATCTCAGTAGCAATTCTCCAGTGTTAATTCTGGCCTCCTGACAACGGTTGTAAGAACTTGCAAGTGAAAGTGGAAATATTTTTCTAGACAGCATTAAGACATACAGGTCGTGCAACCTATGCATCTACTTAGAAATAAACCCGACTCTGTTCAACCAATGTATGGCTGTGGTTGCAATGTATGGCTCTGAAAGCTGGACCATAAGGAAGGCTGAGTGCAAAAGGATTGAGGCCTTTGAATTGTGGTGCTGGAGGAGACTCCTGCGAGTCCCTTGGACTGCAAGCCGATCAAACCGGTCAGTCCTAGAAGAGACCAACCCTGACTGCTCTTTATAAGGCCAGATCCTGAAGATGAAACTCAAATACTTTGGCCACCTAATGAGAAGGAAGGACTCACTGGAGAAGAGCCTAATGCTGGGAACAATTGACGGCAAAAGAAGAAGGGGACAGCAGAGGATGAGGTGGCTAGATGGAGTCACTGAAGCAGTCGGCATGAGCTTAGGTGGACTCCGGGGGATGGCAGAGGACAGGAAGGCCTGGAGGAGTGTTGTCCATGGGGTCGCGATGGTTCAGACACGACTTCGCGACTAGCAACAACAACAACAAATGTGTTTAGGATTACAGCTTTCGCTGTATTTAGCTAAACTGAATTTGGCTAGAGCAGCAAATCACCTATCCCATGTGAAAACAATGACTCCTCATGGAATTGTATATGTTAACAAAGAAGGGAAGAGAGTTGTTTTGCATTGATGTTGAGTGTGAATAGCTGAACGATCGAAAGGGGGCTGAGTAAAATTGTGCAATCTCATTCATTTCAATTATTGAGCTTTTTTTGCAGATGACACTTTGCTTATTTGAAAATAAGAAAATAAGTGGACTTGATTAAGATTGGATCTATTACTTCACATGTTGTTTGCTAGAAAATAAGATCTCATGGCAAATGTTAAAACAATGAAAATGTTTCATTATTATGAATCCGTGGGTTCCGTATTAGGAAAAACGGATAGAGAGCAGGCTGCCTTGTATGTACAGAACACAGAAAATTGCTTTCCTTGTGCAGAAGCTGGAAATTCCCGCCACGCTTGCTCACATGTGCTGCATATAGGATCCACCTATTTTTAGGCAAAGGGAAGAATTAGCCTTGCCTCTCAGGGACCAGCTAGAGATTTCCTTCCCATGCAGATTGCACCTCTTGGAGAGCAACATTTATTAGGATTGTAGCAGGGGAGGACAACCCTCCCCCACTCCAAACCCCCATAATGCTCAGTCTCCCTTACTGACTGTTGTGTTCATTTATAAAATGTTTGTGTTAAATGCCAAACAAAAATGTTTTTAATGCCATGGCTTTGCTTGGCATTGACTAGTCTTATTGCCTATTTCTGTTTAGATTTCATGTCATGTTTTATGTTTGATTAAGAGTATGGGTGTTGAATATGCACAATGAATTACACTATGATTGCGCACAAGGAAGGAACCACAAATGTGAGCAAGAAGGGCTCTGTAGATGAAGTTTTGGGCATGGCTGTGTCTCAGGAAAGCCTAAACTGTATGCCAAAGACTATAGTAAGTTTCAAGAAATTTTAATGAAACATACCTGCAACCCAAAGAACTTAGTGTAGCCCTTGACATACAAGCTTGAGCTTTTTGTGGGATATAGGCATGCCCAAACTGAACTTGATGATTAAAGAGACCTTCAAATAAATATATATAGGTGAGGGGGTCACACCCACTGATTTCACCGGGACATAGAATTTCTGACCTTTTCTGGAGCTTGTTCAATAATCTTACTCATAGTTTTTTCTTGGGCTCTGAATGGAAGTGGCAAAATGTCACCTCTTGGCATAATGTTTCAGTGCTCTGCTGACTGAAATTTCCAAGATTTGCTTACAAGATGCTCAGTTAAAGTGAAGGCAGAGCTGTAGCTTGTTCCAGATACCCCAATTTGTTATTGAATGAAGTTGCCTGTTGGGTTCATCCTTTAGAGGTTGTACTGAGAACCTGAGAGATCCTGGTTCTAGTCCCTTCTCAGCCAAGCTCACTGGGTGACTTTGGGCCAATCACAAACTCTCATCCTAACCCACCTCACAGGGTTGTTGTTATGAGGATAAAATGGAGCTAGGTAAGCCACCTTGAGTTCCTCTTAAGAGGAAACCAAGTATGGAACAAATGCAACAATGGTGTAAGGAACTATTTGTAAGCCACCCAGAGAGTCATTTGGCTAATGTGTGGAGGTAGAAATTAAATAAATATTTGCCTTTTGTTAAGTTATATTTGGTCACATGTTCAATAGTATCTCTTTAACAGTGTCTTTCATTTCAATTCACTTTTAAATGCATGAATGCTTGCTTTATTCAGTGGTTCAGATCCAAACACTTATTGGAACTAAAATAAGCACTAAATAGGTCGTTATTATTATTATTATTTTTATTATTATAACACTTCTATGCCGCCCCTTGCCGAAGCCTCAGTTGAAGTGCTAAGTGTTAGAAGTACCTCTCTGGATGTAGTACAATTCTCCTTCTGTTCTTTTAAAGATTACTTAAAGGCTGCATGGCACGTGTGGATTTTAAATACATGCATCTTTGGACTGGAGCCCAGGTTTGCTTTGTAAATCCTGGGCAGGAACAGTGTCACTCTTGCCAGCCCCTGTAGTACAATTGGCTCTAAGTTGGGGCAGAAATGGGGGTGGGGGGAGTTAAGTTTTTTAATGCTGACTTTAAAATTTTCTCTTCCTTATGCCTGGCAGGTTGGAAATGAATTTGGATATTTTCCAAAGGACTTACTTGAAGTAAAACATATTTATACTCACGATGAGCTAGAATTGCCAACAGATGTAAGTTGTTTGTCTCTGTTTGTTCTATATACCATTATACTGTGAGGATTTGGGCATATTATGGAGGGGGCTATAACTTCTAAAGAAATCACAATTTAAAACACACACACACACACACACACCATATACCCAAAGAGGAGGAGCAGTGTGACATGGGGTGAGAAAAACATTTCTTTATAATACTTAATGATTTAGACCAATTGACTGAAAGCAATTTGTTTTTCTGACTATTTGGAGAGAGGCTGTGATCTACTAGCTGCTAGCTGACCAAATGCACATACATAAGCTATGATCCACCAAGCTGAATGCAGTCTGCCAGCCATGTCTGAAAACTCACTGGGGGTTCAATAAGTTATTTCTTACCAGGACTTGGAGAACATGCAGGTTGTTGAACACCTGGCGGCCACAGCACAAGACTTTGTGGATCATGTTTTATAGGCCTGTGTACTATGGGGTGTTTTCCTGCTCTCAGTGCAATCCTGTGCATATTCATTCAGAAGGAAGCCCCTACTTACACTTACTTCTTGGTAAGTGGTAGAACCATAGTTCAGTGTGCAGCACAAACATTGTGTGCAGAAGGCCTGTATTCCATCCCTAGCGTCTCTAGTAAAATGCAATAGGTGATGTGAAAGGCCTCTGCCCAAGACCCTGAAGAATTGTTGCCAGTTCATGTAGACAATACAATGGTCCTAAGGTAGCTGAACACATAGTCTGAGCTGGCCTTGGACAGCTTCCTAATTGTACAGAGCAGAGTTATTTGCTGCACTCTTGACTCTTTTTTTGCTAACTGCCAGAGACAGATGCTGTGTAAGTGTCGATATGATCAGTCTAGTAGAGTTCATGCTCTTTGCAACATCATGCTTTGCAAATTTACTGATGTCCTACTGTATTTAATGGGTTTCTTCCCAGATAAGCACATGCAGAACTGTAGTGTAAATTTTGACTAAATTCTAAACAGTTCTTATTTTTACTTTTAATCAGATAAATCACGAGCAGTTTTTAGTAAAAATATTTAATATAAATTGTATTTAAGTTAAAAGGAAACATGATAATGGTAAAATTTGGGTGGGTGAAGAGCAAGTTCCCTAAGTAACTGAAATATGTTTTTCTTTCAGGAAACAGATTTTGTATGCATTGATGGAGGCAAGGATGATTTTGACAATTATAATGCAGATGAGCTTTTAAAAGGAACAGAGAATATGGTGACTAACCGTGCTGAAGCGGACTTCGGAACTGAAAAGGAAGAGGAGATTGAAGGGGCTGAACCTACAGACTCCACTGATCCAGAGAGTGAGGAATTTGGAGAAGGATCAGAAGAAGAAAATGAAGATCATGCCAAAATGGATAAAAAAGATAATTTTATTTTTGAAAAGCATGAGAATGTAGAAGGAGCTCTTGAGTCCAAGAGTGAGGACCTTGTAAATAGTGATACAGATTATCCTCAGGGAGACCAAATTTCACATCAGCCTTCAGAAGAAATACTGCCGGAAACATTAAAAGTGCCAAAACATGAAAATACCAAAAACTCTAGTGTATCTCAGGGCGAAGCAAAACAATCAGATTATGGAGGCAAAGATGATGGGGCTTACACACTTCTTCCCCAGGAAGTATCAGAGGACTTGAAAACAAAATTTGGCTCAACTGCAGATGCCTTTGTGTCTGATGATGAGACAACCAGTCTTGTTACATCACTTGATGGAGATTTCAGGGAAGATACTGAGACTGACTCTTATGACACAGAAAAGCTGGAAGATGCAAAGGAGCGGTCAGTAGAAATTCCTTTGCTGGCTTTTACAAAAGAAGAGATGGAATCTTCAAAAGACCTAGAAGCGGAGAACATTTCATCTGATGGTGCATTTCAGTCAGAAACAGGTGGTTTTGATGAGGAGGAGGGTGTTGCCAAATTCACTCATGAGGAGAAAGATGACTCTGACTTGTTCACACATTTAGGGGATAAGCTTTATGCAATTGTCAGTGGAGGTGAACAAACTGTTGATGAAATTGATAGAGACACAGTTGAGGAGGAGGAGGAGGAGGAGGATCTGACCCTAATTAGCCAAAAGGAAAGTGAAGAAGATGTTTCAGATTATTCAGAGTCTGCATCAGAAGATGAACCAGTTACATCAGAACATGACTTTACTGCAAAGAAGATGCATGATGCAGATTCTGAGGACCCTAAGGGGGGAAAATATAACAATCAAGACTATGAGGAAGAGCATGCACAAACTGAGGAGCAACTGACTGCCAAAGAAGAACTGCAAAGCTCTTCAGCATTTTCTAGTTACAGAGATAGCCTGCAACCCAAAACACCCATGGGGACAAAGGAAGAAACTTTGAAGCCACCCCAAAATGACATCAAAGATGACCCAGAAGAGCTCTCTTTTCATCCAATAAAACAAAATAAGGAAAGTAGAGAAGAGAAAAATGTGGAAGATGCATTGGAAAATGATACAAAATATACAACATTATGGGAAAAAATAGGCAAAAAAGATGGTGAGGATAAACAGCCAATGGACATGGTATCAAATTTGCTTGAAGAATTGGCAAATGAATCGCAAAATGATTTGGATGATGCTGATCTCCTGGGAGGCAAAACAAAGCAAGATGGAGAAGATTTTGAACTAAAAAAGAGACTCGTTATTAAGAAGCAGTCAAATGATTCTGAGATGGAAAACATTCCCACTAAGAAAGATAATGAAATGCCTATTGAACAGTCTCAGGAAGAAACTTCAATCCAGGATTTCAAAGAGGAGAAAATAGAAGATGAGGACAAGGACTTTACAAATAGCAAGAAGCAACAAAAAAAATCTTTTCTAGAAAAATCTGGGAGTGCTACACAACACAGAAACCTGACTCAGCAAAGCATTTTTAACAATGAAGCTGAACAATTGGGCAAATTTACTGGAATTGATAAAGATAGAAAGAAATTATCCACTGAAGAACTGCAGCCTACAGAGAAAGAAACTAGAGAAGATTATTTCCTAGAAGAACCAGAAGAGTTGCTGCAAGATGAAAATGCTATGAGTGCAAAATTGTCCAAAGAGAAGTTTACAGATGAACCAGGTTTCATATTAGATGTTGAACATGTACACCCTCCGTTGCAAATACCAAATGGTGCTATTTCAAGAGCTGCTAATCCTGTAGATGAAACAGAAGATGAAGCACTAAAAACACTTGAGGAGGTTAAGGAAAAAGATGGTGTGGTCAATTTGAATGAGGAATATGAAAGAATGCAGAAGAATAAGGATTCTCCGTTGAAGGAAGAGGAAAAAAACAAGGAAGTAGAACCAACAGTATTTCATGAGGTACAAAATCCTTTGCTCAAAGAAAAAAATCAAATAAAGAATATACATGATAAGATAATATCAAGCAATTTAAATATTTTTGAGTTAGAAGACAAGGATGACTTTAACCAAACAAAGGAGCATCTTGCTAATGATTTTTCACAGAAGGGCCTTAAAGATCTGCAGATGCCAACAGGAGAGACAGAGGGCAAACACCAGAATTCCCATGATTCTAAAGGTATCTCAGAAAACACAAATGAAGCTGTGGAGCCAGAATACAGTGCGTCTGTTAGGAAGCTCATTATAATGAAGGAATTTCTCGATGAAAGGCGTATTGCACGCTTAGAAAAGCATCTGGGGCAACAGCAAGTTTACAGGATAGAATCTCTGTTTCAAGACATGGAATTGGAGCTGCTGTTTGCTCAGAAACATAATGATAATCATGAAGACATTGAGAAGGCTTTGGACTTGATTCTTGAATCTTCAGAGTCTAATATTCTTGATGTTCTGAACAGGGCTTTAGAGTCAAGGGAGATAGAAAATAAAGAAGAAGTGATCAAGGAAATGGACTTGTTTGATGAAGAAGGTGCCATAATGGATGATGTTCAGGAATTAATGTATTCATTAAGGCAAAAATACTCCCCAGTTAGTGAGAGTGCGCCTCTTGCATCCTTAACAGTACCTGAGATAGCCTTCAGTGAACCCATCACAAGTAAGATTTTAAGGCATCAAATATTCAGTTATTTTGGAGTAAACTCTATGGCAGAAAATGAATAGATGTGTATAGAACTGTGATGTACATCATGTTAGTGCTGTGTCTGAAAAAAAATGCTAATATCCTCATCTCTTACTTGACATTGACTGGGGAAGTTATTCTAATGTTTCTCTGGTGCTAGATGGACAACTTATAGCCCTTCCAATGTTTTAATCTTAAATTCTCATCAGCTCTAGCCAGCATATTCAGTAGCAAAGGATCATGGGAGTTATAAAACCATCCAAAGGGCTACAAGTTTCCCACCCCTATGCAAATCCTTGACTAGGATAATTACATTGTAAGAAGGCTGTTGGACCAGAAATCAGAATGAAATGATTTATTGATCAGTGCATCTTAACAAATTCACTAATTCCAAATGTAAATCATGGAATTTTAATCAGAGTTGAACTGAGTGTGGCTTAAGCATGAAGCCTTGGTGCACAACAACAAGTAAGGATGTTGTTCATGATGTTCACTCCAATTCAAAAATATTTACTAAGAAGTAAATTCCACTGATATAAAATAGATTGTCCATACAACTACCCTTCAGGTTGCAACTTAACATAGAAAACTGGCTTCCTGGCATTTGTTTTTATTTTTCTATCTATTATATTTATATCCTGCCTTTTTTCATTTCAAGGAACTCAAGGTGGCTTACATAATCCTCCTCCTCCTCCTCTCTATTTTATCCTCACAACAACAACTCTGTGAGGTAGGTTAAGCTGAGAGTCTGTGACTGACCCAAAATCACCCAGTGACCACCATGGCTCAGTGGGGTTGAGAACGTGACACTTCCAGATCCCCAGTCCCACAGTCTAACCACTATGCTACACTGGCATAGTCTTAATTACTAAGCTGTTCCCATGCCTGCCCCCCCTCTACCCTCATTTTGTTCCCTGACCCCAGTGAGTACTAGTGTTGTTACACTGTAGTTTTAACTTTTATATTGTATTTCAATTTTTGTATTTTATGGTTTTGATTGTTGTGAAGTGCCCCAAGAGCTTCAGCTATTGAGCAGTATAGAAATGTAATAAACTATTGATTAAATCCTGCTTCTTACTGAAATGGTAAACCTGTGTCTGAACTGTTGTAGTTTAGATGACAACATGGTTTACATGATGGAATAGTTCTCCATTTAGGAAAACAACAAACTCCACCCACATAGGAAACGATCATATTGGAAAGCAGGCTAAGCTAAAATTCCTCAATCCGACATAGTTTCCTAGATGGAGTGAGTTATTTTTATTCATTCATGAGCCTCCTTAGTAAAAAGTAGATCTTAAATCTCCAGTTATTCTCTACACTACAGTTAGGGCCAAGGTCATTTTATCTATGAAGTCTAACGCAAAAGAATAATTGCCAACTTGATTGTTCTTGAGACATTCTATTTTCAAGATAGTGGTGGCTAGAAACATTTTGCCACACAATTTGACAGCTTTTTAGCTGGCACCATCTAACATTAAGAAGTTTATAGTTGTGGAACGTATACTCTCAGGCATAGTATTGCACTGACTTATGTATTAACCTGGTTTACATGTAACAACAACCCATGGGTTGTTAGAGCTTTACAGGTGTAAGTAAGTTAACTGGCTTGTTTCTGCCTTTCTCCCATTTACAAAACAATCCAGGAATGGTCCATCCTGGGTGGTTTGCTGTGAAATCTGAACCAAATACTCTGTGTTGTTGAGGGGGAAAGAACCCAGAGATTTGACCAATGGTTTGGAAGCATTTCTGACGGGAAAACAGTGGTAGTGGCAGCCATGAGGAAGCAGGCTTGCTCACTCCTGCATTGCCCTGACAACACATGAAATGTGGTTACTAGAAAAATGGAGCATTAGGATTGATCCAGACTTAATTGTTCTTAGAATAAACATATTAAAAATCAATGGACCTTAAGTTAGTCATTGATCTCAGTGAGTCTACTTTTACAGTGCATTCAATCCATTATATGTAACTTGTTACATACAAAATTAGAATCAGAGTTGTAAGCTCAAATTATGGGTCATCTTGATTTTTTACAACTTGAAACAGTCTTTTGTTAAAAAGGAACCTGTTGGCAAATGTTTTCCCATGCATTTTTAGGAATATTCTTGGTAATGCACAACCATAATTTATGCTGTATATTGCCGATACGGTAAGAAGAGAGTGGCAAATTTGACTAGCCTAGAAAGCCCACTAATATGTATAAGTAGCTGCAGTCTTCTGGGCTAAAATCTCTATATCATTTTCCAATACCATCCCACCCACTGGCAACCATACATTTATTAGCTACTTAGAGTCCAATGCTGGAAGTTCTAGGACTTTTTCTGCATAAACATACATAGGATTGTGTCTCCATTGTCTTTACTAACACCTGTGAAAATTTAGAGGCTTGAAAATACACAGCGCAGTAAGCTTGCTGAAGCTAAACAGGTCAGGGGATGGGGCAGAAGATCATCTAGGAACTTTACATAAGGCACCTTGAATTCCTTGATGGAAAACAAGCAGGATAAAGAAATACATTTTAAGAAAAAACGATGCCAATGCCCTTCCATTCTCACAAAGAAATGTGCTTTATTTTACGAGTATTTGTATGCCATAAATATGCCTACTTCGGGAATTTGGTAAGCAATATCTTATTCAAGAAGTAGGCATAGCGCTGGCAACTGTAAATTAACTAAAATACTTATTTCTCTCTTCACTGCAGCTAATGCAAAACAAACAGAACATGACAGACATACTGTAGAAAATCCAGCAGAGAGCACTGATCGATTACACAATGTAGAACAGATGTCGAAAAAAGAAATTCTTCAGCCAGAGCAGAGAAAAAAAGATGAAAACATTTTGGCAGAGATTGAAACTTTGGATAAAACAGAAATCGGGGATATTGTTGAAAATGACCAAAGAATGCCAAATGTGGATACAGCTCTTGGATCTGAAGATTCATCAACTGAGAGAGACTTCATGGCAGGTAACTTTCTTGATGGCTTTGTTCTTTAATTAGAGTCTTTGGACAAAGATCAAGGTAGTTAACAAATGAAGTTAAACTAGTTATTTTTTTTTTAAAGTAGGCAGATTATATTTATCTTACTGGTAGCACTATAACCTCATTTTTTAAAAATGCATTCAATACCCAAAGGGTTCACAATAAATGTGTATAACTTTTTACAAATAACATTAATGTTGAACTTCAGGCCAACCTACACCCCACCCCAACCTGCACCTTCTGTGGCATCTTTAAGGCTATCAGATGTAATATGGCATAAGCTTTCATGGACCGTAGTCTACTTCATTAGGTGTATGATGTGCTGTCTTCAGTTGATGCACATATATACACTCAGTTCTATAGGAAAACATTGTAAGCAGTGAAGCCAAATGTTTGCAATGTAAAAAAATTCTGACTCCCTCAAGAAATTTATCCCACTCTCTGTATGCATATATAGATATGGATATACATACATTCACATTCAGGCAGGTGTGTAATATAATACACACCCAGAACTGCCAACAGAAGATAATCCATCTGATGCACTCTAGTTTATGGAGGCTTATGTCACAGGATTTGCTGCAATGGATAACATCATTGCACTCTCTAAATCACTCCGTTAACCTTTAATGTGTCACAAAAATGTTTGTATGAAAATAGTTTGGTCAAAATGATTTGCAAAACTTGCCTTTTTAAATCCAAGGTTTAATTGTGGCTAAGGATAATACAATGGAAGAGGGTAGTATTCCATCTGAAATGGATGCTGTTTCATCCCGTATTCTTGCTTCGTTGGATGGTGCAGTCCTATCAGCCAAGAAAAATATGCGACCTTTCACAGAAATTGTAAGTACTTTCACCTATTTAAACTATGTTATAGTTAGAGTGGGTGTATATGTTTAATTTAAAAACAAACAGTATGGATTTGGGTACAAATATATGATTTCTTAACATGGGCATACATAGGATTGCAGCCTCAATTGCGTACGTGGCTATGTTTGCAGCCCAACCGAAACCACGTTTGCTCTTAAGCCTGCCAAGTGATTTCAATAGCACTTACTACCAAGTAAGCATGTTTACGATTTCAGCTTCCCTTAGAAGCTCGTAGAATATATTGTCCCATCGCTACATCAAAGCTGCTGCACCTGTCAGAACTGTGTAGCATAACGGCAGCAGAACCCCAAGCGCTGTGCTTTCCAAACCCGGCCTCGAGGAGCCGTTTTAAAGCGCAGCCCCACGCTCGCTCGTCCCCGCAGCCGGCTTCCGGTGGCGCCCGGCGCCGCCACTTCTCTTCCGGAATCTCCAACCGTCCCTCCCGAGTTACCGGCTCGGGCAGATGACGTCGCGGGGGTCACGGGGGGGTCAGCGTGAGGTGACGTGTCCCTGTGGGAACACGGGCAGGGGGGAGCCGCGAGCAGCACCACCAACCGGCAAGAGGAAGGAGGCAAAGTTCGCTGCCGCCGTCGCTCCTTGAGAAAACGAGAGGCGCTTCCCCGGGCCGGTCCGCCATGGAGCCCGCCTCCCCTTCCAGCGCCCCCGGCGGCAGCGACGGAGCCGCGTTGCTGTTGGGGCCGCTGTCCCGGGGCTACGCGTCCGTGACGGGCCGCTTCCTGCAGGTGAGAAGGAGGCAGGCGAGGCAGCGGATCCCCGTGGGATCGAGGGGGCGACAGTTTCTCCGCCGCCGTGGCAGCTGCAAATGCGCTCTCCCTCGGGGGGTTGGGTGGCTGCGTCCCGCGGTGGGCCGGATGTCCACGGCTTCGTCGGGCACCCGAGGGAGAAGCTGATCGGGGTGACTTGTGAGGGTGAGAGGAGGAGAGAGGTAGCCGGTAAGCCTCCAGAGGCCTCGTGAGGAGATGCTGCGGGGACTTCGTGCCAAGGCTGGTTAAAGGGACCGGGGCGAGTGGAGGGAATGGATTTCCCCTGTCCACGCATCCCATATGGAAGTTCAGGAAAGGGGGTTGTGTGCCCCCCGCCCCCGCAGTAGAGAGTCAGCGAATATTTGGCTTGATCTTGTACTGCTGTGGTGCTGCTTTAACTCCCAGACAAAAAAATTGTGCCCTGACAGAACCATTGCATAATAAAGGCTTGTTGCAAAATGGCATGTTTACATCACCTTTTGTCAGTATTGTTGGGCTTGTATTCATGCTGCTGCCTTTGTCATTAAAATAATGTTTAAGAGTTATGCTAATTGTCCCTGTAGTCGCTGCTTATATTGCTTATCCCCAAATGTTCTGGTGAGTTGCTTATGAAATGAATTGCATTATTTTTATCATTGTTACTGCGTTGCATTTATATCCTACATTTCTTTCTACTGGTTAGGAACCTGGAGTTACTTATATAGTTCTGCTCCGTGCCCTTTTTATCCTCACAACAACCTTGTGATGTAGGTTAGGTTGAAAGTTGGTGATTGCCCAAATCACCTAGTGAGCTTCATGGTTGAGCAGGAAATAGAACCTGGATCTCCCAGGTCACCTATCCAACAGTAACTACAGCTCTCTCAGTATGTATGTAACCCTGAAGTTGAAGTTTCCTAGGTTAAACAACCTTCACCTTTGGGAAGTTTACAGACCTCCTTTTTTGCTTTTTCCCAAAAACTTTGAGGAAGCAAAGGTACTAGCTAGTTCCAGTAAAGCCTTGATATTGTTGTCATTGGGGGAGAGAGGAAGAACTTTATTTTGTACATGATTTAATTGTGTTTTCAGAAATTAAATGGGAAGTTTGTGTAACTGAAAGCTTATGTTTTAATAAGCTGTTGTGATATATTAAATTTAATAGTAGATACTTTTTATGTTGGGATCTGGAGTTAAGGAAAAAAGTTTGTATTATTTGATCTGTGTTTTGCTGGATATAGATTAGACACAGCATTAACCTCATTTGTTCAAGTGCAAGGTTGCTTAGAGATATTTGCATCTTAATTTAATGCTCCTTTGCTCAAAATACTTGAAATTATTTCTATAGATTATACATGATTTCTGTGAGGTAATTTGACATCGTTTACGTAGCAAAAGGTTAATGTCAAGAAAACTAGATTTCTAGATGTCCTAGATTTCTTTTTGGGGTGGCATAAAAGTAACTCTTGCTTATGTCAAGCATGCTGAAACTAAGTTATTTTCTTCTAATAGAATTTCTGCATTTTAATGCCTATTTGCCATTCTCAAGTATTTAAAGCAGCCAGATTAGTGCATTGATTATACAGATAAATGATAAAGACATGTGAAATATGCCAGGTACATTTCATAATGCTGATTTGATTCTTTGAGTTTTAGGACACAGTGCGCTAGCCACATGACATTGTCTTGGCATAAGACAATGCCCCAGCTCCAAGGTCCTGCAGCCTCAGTGCCAGGTTTCTAAACCTGGAACCCCTGCCCCCAGCCAATGCAGGAAGAAATGCACAGCTGCCTCCCTGAGGTTGCAGATTAGCCTTGGAGAGGAGGAAAAGGGGGATGCCTGGGGAACAAAGCTGGGGGCAATGGCTTATGTTGCAACTAAGTGGCACGGCAGCCTCTTCTCATCTCTTCTGTGCTGCTTTATGTAGATGGTTGAAAAGGGCCATTAGATGAAATGCAGGGCATGTGGTTTTGCAGCAGCAGTGGTCACCACAGCCATGCCTGGCAACATGCCTCATGGATAGGGATTCCATCCTTAGAGCTTTTTAATATTGAAATTCTCATTTTATATTGTAGTTCTCATTTTTAAAAGTGTAAATTCATAGCAGATTCTGACCCAAGACTTTGGTTTAATTAGCTAAATTTGAACTTTAATACATTTTAAAAGAATAACGGTATCTGTAATTGGAAAAGGAAGAGGTTCTGTAAGGAAATCCAGATTTTCAAAATTGTTTGAGTTAATATTCCATAACTCTTGCTTTGGCTCAAGTTGTTTTTTCTTTGAAGAGAAAGCCCTCTTAATTATTCTTTTGGAATCTTTGCTGTGCTCAGTGTACTCTGATCATTGTGTACATACTAGACTCTGGTTTGTTGTTGTTTAGATGAGGCTTAGCAGACTTTGGATGTACACTTGGGAGCAACCTTGTTAAACTTGATAGACTTTCTTCTACTGAAGCTGTGTAAGGACTGGGAAGCATAGTCTAAATGTGTACTCTATTGATATGACAATATATATTTAAAACATTTTCAACTGTTGCCTTAGCTGGTTTCAACACTTCCTGAAGACATGCGGCCTGGCCCTGATTTCCATGGACTTCCTTGGGAGCCCATAGTCATCACTGTCCTTGTAGGAATTGCTACACTTCTTATTTTCTTTTGGAGAACCTGCCTATCTGTAAGTAAACTTTAACAGAAATACTAATTTTTAGTTGTCTCATCAGTCTGATAACACTTTATCAGATCAGTTGATGTAAAAGCATACCATACAGTTTTACATACTTTTAAAAATGGTTTGTTATAAAAGAAAATAAGGCTGAGTTGGGTATCTGTCCCATTTGTCTAAAAAGTGCTACATGATCTGCTGGTTCTTGGGGTACAGCAACTAAATCATGCATTAATATTATTATTATTATTAGAACATTTCTATGCCGCCCCTTGCCGAAGCCTCGGGGCGGCTTACAACACAATAAAATACAATAAAACACAAAAATAACAATATAAAATTAAAATTAACAATATAAAATAAATAAAAAATATAAAATAAGTCGCCCTGGCCAGATAAATAAGCAAATATTGTTAACAATTAAAATGATGTTTAAATATATTAGACTGTGAAAGGGTATTGGTAAAATTAATAATTCAGTTTTGATCTTTAAGACTACACTGTATGTTTCCCAAATAAAGGAGGAAGCTACTGTAATTTGTATGGAAAACTTATTCTCTCTGTTGTGACTAAAAACTGCTTTAAATCTAATAGAAACCAATTTTTTGAGGAGGAGGAAAGGTAATATTGGAGTATATGGAACACCATGACAATTATTCTAAAATATTTGAATGTAATGGAAGCAATATAAAGGCAAAACAAATGAAAACAATTTATCCAGATCATTCTGTAAAAAATACTTTTAAAATTTCTAGCGTCATTTTGATTGGTATATAATAGCTGGGACTATGTAAGTGGACACCTTTAGTTTCTCAGAATAAGATACAGTGCTGTGATCCTTTAAGTTTTTGGTACCTTGTTGAATCCTATTTCACTTGTCATCCTTTATTTAACTAAAATATGGGTCATAGCTCTGTGGTAGAGCAGCTGCTTTTCATTTAAAAGGCCCCAGGGTAGGTCTCTGGCACCTCCAAGTATGACAGGGAGTTTCCTCAGTCTAAAATTTTGGAGACTTGCTGCCTGGCAATATACATAATATTGTGTCAAATGAAGCAGTGCTCTGACTTAGACCTGGTTCTCAAGTAATAGTGGCAAATTTACTGTAACACATACTGGATATGTACCACCACCAATCTTTAGTAAATGACCTCTGATTAGTTTGATTGGAGGTTGCTTTGTGGTGTCTGATCTCAAACACAATAGGCTAGTTGTGAGTTAACCTACCCACACTTAGCCTATAATTGGCTTTATGGGCAGATTTACCCATAGTACACAGGTTCAGAGGTTCTGGAGTAATATCCAATTGGGTTGATTGCAGCTTGCATATTTATATTAGCAGTGTGCAGCCGTGCGCTGCAGCAGATCATGATTTGCTGCTGTTTCCTGTGAAGGGAACCTTTGTATAAGGTAGCTTCCTGTGTCCCTAGCACCAGATCACGGTTGCATGCTACTTTCTTGATTATGTACTGCATATTTCTTTCCTGGCACAGCATAAGAGGCATGTAGCTCATTTATTGTGCAATCATATAAGAAGTAAGGCTCAGTGAGTTCAGTGGGGCTTACTTCCAGGTAAGTGGGCATAATATTGTTCCGGAAGGCTTTTGCCTACTTGTCTGCGAATAAGCCCTGTTGCATTCAGTCAGACTTGCTTCTGAGTAGACATGCATATGAATTGTTGTGCTTGTCAGCTTGCAAATTGTTTTCTGAATCGTAGCAGAGGGTGTTAATCAAAGCACAGATTCTTTTTTATAATTCCAGAAAAGAAAAACAGCATCATAGGAAACGACATTAATAACCCTTAACCTGAATGATCTAGCAGTAACGTGCTAGTACAGTTTCAGTTTATTATGTCATTGGAAGCACTAAACCTGAAATTACAGCAATGATTTTGTGGGCACATAAAGTTCAAATTATTAGAGAAAAATTGTGGGCATCAACTCAATTTCTGCAAATGCACTTAAATTAATTGAAGAAGTAAGGTTAATAATAACTTCTGATCTCATTTACTTTACATATTTGTCAAATATTTATTTTGGTTTTGAAATAAAATGTTCTTGAGTTAATTGTACCCATATAGTAGTTGAGTAAACAAACCTTTGGCCTGACTTTGAAATTGGATACTGACCTTGAAGCTTTTATTAGCATCTGCTTCAAGCTTGCTTGTGTAATGTCACTTGACATTTAGATTGGAAGTAGAACATGTGTTTTTGTTTATAGAAAGTGAAACTAAAGTTGTTGATAAACATTTACATTTCATTCTTGGAAGGCATTCATAAAATGACCCAGGTTTCCTCACAACACTGTTTTTTCTCCTTTCTCTTCATAGGTGAAAAGTAGAATGTATCAAGGTAGGATTTTTTGATTGAGCATTACATTGGGTGTGTTCACATGTCATGCCAGCCAATCTGGCATTAAGACACTGAAACCCTCAGTGGTTCTGACAGATGACTATGTATGCTATGGATCGTTGTCCTCCTGCCCTCCACAGTGGCGATCCATTCTTTGCCCTCTGCAAATCACTGACAAACTTTCAAGAGCCAAAGCAATGCAGCTGGAAGATCTTTTTTAGTACAATATGTGCACAAATATGTGTATTATTTTTGTTTGAACTTATTTAGCTGTGCTAGTGTAACTTCAGGTATCCATGGTAGTGCAAGTGTGGAAATTTGAAGCCTCAGCTGCAGCAGTGCCTTAAGTGTAGCAGGTATCAACTCTGGACATTGTGCTGAAGTGGGTCCAAATAGCATTTTCCCCTTTGCTTTTTTTGACAGCTGTCACAAAGCGAGCTTTCAGGAAAAAGCAAAGGTTGAAGTGATACTTGCTTTCAAAAACAGGATGATGTGATTACATATTCACTGCAAGATGCTCCAGCTTTTTTCCTCTGATAGTCCATACATGTTGCACTCTTGCCCAGAACACTAGGTGCTCAGGAAAGTGTAAAAGGATATGCACATTTTTCTTACAGAATGGAATTTTCAAAGCTAATTAGCTGTCAAGACTCTGGGTCTCCCTTAAAAGTAGGTTTTGACAGGGTAATGGGGAATTTTTGACAGGGGCATAGGACTGTCTGTGCTCCGGTCAAAGGAAAACCTATTGGCATCCTTCACATTTCTGTACATGCACAACCACTATTGTCTGCAGTTGTGCATGTGCAGTTTTAAAAGATTAAGAAAAACAGTTATATACACCTGCTTGTGCACAGTTTTTAAAAGTTCTGACAGACCTTCTGGAGTGCCACTTGGGGACTTTAGAGGGGCTGTCAGTGGCTATCAAATTGGAGATTACAAAAACCAATTGTGAGCTTATGCAACCTCAGCTAAGCAAAATGGTAAAGGGTAAAAGAAAGGGCAGTGAAAAGCTGCAGCAAGCCAAAAATGGCTTACTGTTGGGGTCGTGGACATCTGCCTTGTATCAGTGGCTTCCAAGTGATGCTTGGGTATTTGTGGGGCAGCTGGCACTAGCAGGTGCCTAAGCTTGCTTTGTGGAGATGGCAAGGGGTTTTACCACTCTTAGCAAGTGAATCACTAGCCAGTTTCTGGTATTCAAAATTGGGTCAGCTTCCTGGGTTTGAACAACACAACAATCCATCATTGGTACAGCACCCCCTAGAAAAAGCTTTGGGTTGTCAGGGTGGCTTATTGCTCTCAAACAAGTCATCCTGCAGGAATTGGTCTGTATTTGCATGACATGACAAAGCATTGTGAGTTCTTGAGACATGCAAAGCCAGTCACTGTGAGTAGTTTTGGCTGAGATGTTAGTTACTATTGCTTAATATAATTTTGAGTACTGATAAAACAGAAATTTCCAATACTATTGCCTGTATAAAAGTGCTTGGAATTTTAATCATCTGGCCACTTTGAACTTCACGTGTGTAATGGGAAAGACCAGGATTTGGATCCAAGGAACTTGTTCACCTAGCCAAGGTTTATCCTTCATGAATCAGAAATGTCTCATCTGTCAGTGCACCTTTCTGTTGTGTTCATGGCACTTGGGAGTGGGGTCCTTCAACCTTCTGCAGAGCCTGTTGGAAGCCTGCAACAGGAAGGAAAAGCCTAAAACACCTGATATGCTTGCAGTCTTGTGTATTTCTGTAGCCACACCTGTGTTGCCTGCCTTACTTTTCACAAGCCAAGTCCTGAATATGTCAAGTTTTCATTACCTCAATAGAGTTTTGGCATGGTAATTTTCAGTATGGAACACCTTCCTCTTGACTTCCAAAGAAGATCAATAGTGTAATTTGGCTATCAGCATAAAACATAATTTCATTCTTTATTTGAAAGATTTCCTCACCCTGATCTTCAGTCAGAAAAAGCCTGAAAGGCTATGAGGAGGAAAGAGAGCCTTCTCTCTCTTTGGGACAGAGTGACACTTTATAACTAGGTTGCACCCATCAGAGTTGCCAACCCCAATTCAGTAATATTGAGATTGAATTCAATGAAATATCTGATATAACATGAACTCTGCACTAGCCAATCTCAGTGATGGTGGTGGGCACATTGGAAATTCATTGACTCATTGTTGAGGTACATGTTGACAGATAAAGTTGAAGTGACTCATTTTTACAAAAGACTGCTCCATGCTTATCTCTAAATACTCTTTTTTTCTAGTGACAGAAAAACAACTTGTTGAAAAAATTAAGACTCTCCTAAAAGAAAAGACAGAAATCTTAGAAAAGATGTCAAAGTATGATCAAAAGGTATTGCTCTGTCTGCATATATGTGCCTTATTCAATAGTAAAACATCAGTGTTACCTATAGTGGGGGAGATAATTATAATTTGTAACACCGAAAATGAAATTACAATGTTAACCATGTTTTATTTGCCATGTTTGTTTTTCCTTTGTAACTAGATAAAGGAAGCAAAAGAATCTGTGGAAGAAACCCAGAAACAAAACACAACCCTTTCAGATGAAGCCACAGGGCTTAAGGTAAGAAACAAGGATCTAATTTTTATGTTAAGCTATCACAGAAAAATAAACTTCTTTTCATTTCCATTATAGGATACAATCAGGGGCCTTGAAGAAACCAATCATCTTCTAGATGACAGGGTAAAAAACTTAAACACCATGCTAGAAATGGAGAGAGATCACAATGTGAAGAAACAGGAACAAGTAAGCAAGTCCTCCTATTTTGCCTTTGTATGTTTAGTTACTGAAGTTTGGTTAGTGCTTCCTGTACATGAGAAAGAGAAATAAATGTTGAATTGCTATGGCTTTTGGTTCTGCTCTGTGAAAGGTGTATAGTATTTGTAAGCTCCAGATTTTCCGTGGGTGAGAGATACACTACACAGGATTTTTTTGTGTTAATGTTGTGGCTATGCTAATTTTATTTAGACTCTTGTGAAGTTTTCTGTGGAAATTAGAATAGAAATCAAGTCTCTAGATGCTTTTTTCCTCTTTCTTGTTGAAGTATTGCAGTGAATCTCTGCAAGAATTCCAAAATGCATTTTGTGGAAGTATAATACTAATGTTTATATAGTTCATTTCATTGCTGAGGGTGCTTCTCAGGGCTTATCTCAGTCTGTACAATAGTTGTACACAGCAGGCCACTATTACCCTCAGTTACTGTAAGGATGTGGGGTGAGGCTGAGAGAGCAGTGTTTTGCTTCCATAATATCACTTATGAGTGTGCTGCTGAAGGAAGATGAATCAGAAATTTCCCTGCTCGTTCTGTAGCTGCTATGGTGTTAACTGTTCTAATGGTAGCAAATTTTTAGACACCACTGCCCAGATCCTTTTTTTCCTCCTTTCAGGGGCTAAGCAAGCTGTTTTTGAAGTAAACCACATTTTGGGCCTATGGTTGGATTTTATTTCTTGATCTAGATTGTAGAATATCATTGGGTTGTTATTCACCTGAGGGCCAGGTGTATGCCCAGTAGTTTTATGTACATAGGTAGTGGCAGATGAGACTTGGTTTAACTTTGAAGTTTTGAAGCCAATATGCTTGACAACTGTTCTCTATTTGTACAGATCACAGAAGCACAGAAGTCCTTAGAGAAACTCCAAGAAGTCATTGCATTGCATTCTGTAGAACTTTCTGAGGTAAAGCATTTGGTTCTTGAGTCTGTAGATCTGAGATATTAAAAGCAAGATCTAAATTGAGGGTTTCAGCAGAAGAAACTTTTGTGGTCTAGTTCCGAAATTATGTGATTGGATTTGTACTTGCACAAAGATAATTTTCTTCCCCGTTTTCTTCTGTGCATGACTCTCAAAGCATTTCAGAGGATTGAGAAACCATTCAGAGTAGATTGAGGTGGAAGTAAATTTCTTCTGCCAGCAACATCCATTCCACTGGTGTTAGAATGGTGTTTCAGACATGCTAACACACCCTATATTTTGCTGTATCTTGAGGATTTACATGATTTGCATCTCATACTTGAAATCATATTTTTAGGTGCAGATAGCGCTCAATGAAACTAAATTAAATGAAGAAAAAGTGAAGTCTGAGCTACATCGTATGCAAGAAGAGAATGCACGACTCAAGAAGAGTAAGGAGCAAGTAAGTGTGTTGTGTTTATTAAATAATGTAGTGTTCTTCTTTAATTAACTATTGCCCTGTGTACGTGTTAGACTGTATGTTAGATCTGCTGCAAATTTGTATTTTGCCTATTTAAAAATACTCTTGGGGGTACAAGTAACACCACAAGGGGGTTAAGGAGAAGAAAACTGGGGCAGAAGTTGAATGGTGCAGAGAAAGAATGTGTTGGTTCTGTTGTGAATGTGATGCATGCTGGAAAGTTGTGCGGAAAGGGTGACTCAAGAAGGTTGCAATCAAGAATGTTGAACTTGTTCAGAAATTTCCACCAAAGGTAGCATTGTTTTCCTATTTAAAATGGATACTTTATCCCACTGGCAGCTAACTTGTGGTTCTCCTGCTACTTCCATTCCCTCTGGCAATACTTAATTTTGCATGTAGTATTAGTGTCTGGAAGGTCATTTCTGGCCAGTTTCTTGAGTTGATCTGGTAAAGGATTGATCTAACATTTGCTGTATTGTGGAAAAAATAGAAAGCAAATAAGTCTGGTCAGCTTTGTTAATGCATATGGATGCAAAAATGGCTGTGGTTACAGAGAGACCTTTTATCTTTTCATAGCCTCTAGAAACAGCCATGCTTTGAAATGGTACTGGTGATATAATGTCCTTTGGTACACCTGAAACATGAATACAGAGCTTGCATGATGAATAAATGTTAGGAAATTCTATGTAGGAGCAGCCAAAAACAATACGCTATGGCTGCATTTGCACATAATGTTAAGTGTAAATATATATGCATTGTGGGTGGCTCATGGAAAATCCCATGAGCCACCCACAACTATAAAGGGCCCCCCAGCTCTAACACAGTACAGTTTCCTCAGGTAGATATGTTTGATTCTGAGGAAGAGGAGCAGGAAGGGTAAAAGTGGGCAGATGACTTGACAGTTTCAAAATTACCCAGTGAAGATTTTCTGCAGAGCATGAGAACCCACCTGGCTAAGAAAAGGAGGGAGACATTTCAGAACTGGGGTGGGGAGGCACTGGAGTTCCTTGACCCAGTCAGGAGATGATGGGAAGTGAGCAGACCAATTACAAAGTGTCTGGCATTCCCACCATCTAGCCCTCAAGCAGCAGGAGCCTCCCTGAGGGAGGAATCAGGAGCTTTTCTGAAAGGGGGGGAAGGAAGGGAATTTTCAGTTTCAATTCTGCTCTTTGCACATACTTTTCCCAATTATCAAGAAGAATGCAACTTTGATTTATACTATTCCGTAATCTGTAACGTTTTGAGACCTGTGCTTCAGAAGTTTCATCTGATTCTGCTAGAGAAGAAAAGCAGGAGGAAGAGAATAAGAGCTCACCATGGCTTGTTCTCCTTTCTTTCAACCTTGGCGTCCCAGTGTCCTTTATGGCAGAACCTATGTTGTCTCCCCTTCCCTGCTCTGATTGCCACCCATTTTTAAGTTATTTTTCAGAGTCTGAAATATGCAGTTGTTAAATTTTTTCAGCCCCAGAAAATTGTGCAGTCTTGTTGGTTGTATTTAATTATTGTTTTTGGGCTTTATGGGTTCTTACAGTAGTTTCTGTAGTCTCGCCTGATCAATTTCCTTGTATGTTTCAGCTGTCAAGGGGAGCAGTGTGGAGTAGGTAGTACACATGAAAGTTGCCGAAACAAGACTGCATAATAGGCTAATTTAGACACAGTTGCAAGGAGCCAGCACTTAGTGGGTTGTCATGTCATGTGAACTTAGTCCATACCTTTTGTAGGCTCTTCCTCAAAAAGTAATCTCTGTCTTGATTCCCCTTTGCACTTGTGGAACAAAGTGCAAGAAAAACTGGAGATGGTAGAATGTGTCATCAATGACATTTAAAGCAATATTAGAAACCAGACACTCTGAATGCTTACTAGGAATACAGACAGTCTAACAAATGTTCTTGTCTAGAGCAATGTCATAAAGAATTCAGCCTTTCAGTTTGAAAATAGTGCTGTTTTTACCACACTTTCCTCATCATTTCTCACAGAATACAGTACAATTAACATTTAATGCACATTACAGACTTCTTAATGTTTGGGATTGTGATCTTGGCATGTTTAAAATACCAGGGAATGCCCTAAGGCATTTTTAGGAGAATGCCCGAAGGAAAACATTAAAATTGTGTCCTGCATTCACCCCACCGTTGTAAGGCATTATTTTTATATGATTTTCATTTGAAGCCTTGTACACATCTAGATTGCTACAGCAGTTTATAAGTTTCCATCCTCTATACTCCACCTGTAAATGCTGTGACCCACCAAATATGTGCTCTTTGTTTTGTTGTTTAAAAGGAGGGGGGGTGTTGTGTGGGTGTCTTGTTCTGGAAAAATAGCTGTCTTAAATCCTTATCACCTTAAACCCTGATAAACATATTGTATATGGCACAAGCTTTTACACATCTTATCCATCTAGCTGCTAGAGTCCGGTTTGTACAACATGAAGCTCTGATTTTATTTTGTATTAATGTATTTGTATTAATGTATTTGTATTTATTAATGTATGCTCTGCTGGTAATACTGAGAGTATTGAACCTATTCTTGCAGCTGCTCAAAGAAGCAGAAGGCTGGAGCGAGAGACATGCTGAACTCAGTGAACAGATAACATTATATCAGAAGTCTCAGAAAGACATTGAAGAAGCACTTGCCTACAAAGACAATGAAATTGAAGTAAGTTTGTTTTGAACACAACGCTTTCCTGTGTTCTGCTGTGGTCCAACTGCTGTGGTCCTTTGGTTTAAGGTTTGACTTTTTACTGCTGCTTTAGGTTTTGACTAACTGCATTATGCAACTGAAGCAGCTTGATGCAGATTCTGAGTCAGAAGGCAAGAGGGATGAAGGAAATGATCTGGCCAATGGAGAGATCTCAGGTACCAAAATCTTAGATAACCCAATAGATTTGTGAATGTGATAACTGGGGTTGTGATAAAGCTCAGTGCAGTCCGTCCCTCTAATGTTGGCAGGCTCTCTCTCATGCTTGGCTCTGACTTAGAAAGCAAGCTGAGAGAGGAGGTCCATGGACATTCAGGGAAGGAAGATTATGTAACTGGAAACCTTCTTCCACAGCACATGGCACATAATAAGCAGCCCAAATGGGCTGCTGTGCATGATATGGAAGAGGGATGCTGCTTGCGCAGCATTCACATGGGGCTTCATTCTTGGTGAACACTGCATTAAATGCTTGGTGTGCTCACCAGGGCCGCAGAATCATGGCTGTGACAAGCTGGACTGGAGTCCCAGGGAGCTGAACCCAGGGAATGCACTGGATTCTTTACATATCCTTAGTGATAACTACTCAGCCCCTTATTTTTGGGAAACTGAAAGTTTATTGGCAGCAGAGGTACCCAGTAGTAAGTGATCAGCCTCTTTATGAGCATGGTTGATACAGTTGTTGACTCCATGGGCTTATGACATTACTCCAGAAACAAATAAAAATAAATACTCTTATTACAAGGTCTAGTTCTCATGTATAGAATAGATCTAGCATTATGCTAAGTATCTCTCTATGAAGTATTTTTTTAAATTCTAGATAACTATTATGTGAATAATTCACAAGTCAACTAGTTTGCTGTGATATTTCCTATCTTGAGTCATTCTCTTTTTAATGTCTGTTACAGTATTCTCTTCTTTCATGTTAAACCTAACTTCCATGATCTGCTCTCTTTATGAAATTAGTTAGGGCATGTGCTCTTGTCAAATTTGAAAAAGTGGAAATTGCTTTTCTTTCTCTTCTAGATACAAGGAATGAAAAGATGAAGAAACAGATTAAACAGATGATGGATGTTTCAAGGGTATGACACATTATTTTGTCTAACTAACATGGCCTAGATTTGTCTTATAGCAAAGTTGTTGACCTGCTATGTCACCCTTTTGCAGGTAAAAACAACATTATCTATCATTGAAGAAGAAAGAGATAACTTACGTTCCAAGCTAAATGATGAAGTAGCAGCAAGGCATGAATTAGAAGGTGTGTTTGGAATAGTTTAGAATGAGTTATTCTATAAAAAACCAACGCAGAAGTTCAGCATTGGTAGCCCCCATTTCCATTTTGTATGGACGAAAGGTTGGGAGGCAAGCAATTACTTGCTAGTTCAAATCAGTATGTGAATTCATCCCCCACCCCAGCCCTGTGACAGGAGAAACTACAACTGGCAGCTTAGACCTGTGTCGGGGTCATGATCACATTAACTCCATGTATTCTTATACTCTCAGGCTTACAGTTGCTTAGCTTTCAAAGTATCTCTTGTGTGTTTATTTCCGTTTTGCCAATAGAACTGGTGACCTAGGAAAAAAAGAGCTTTATAATGTATATCCCAGGTTACTTTTTCCTTCATTCATTTTCATATTATACCACCTCCCCCCCCCTTCTTTGTGACTGCCTTTCAGGCCATTGCCTACTTTGTCCTACTTCTTTAAGTCACCTGGCTTGACTAATCCCCCTTCTGTTCTTTTCTGCTTCATCCTGGAGCTTACATCTCTTGATCTCTTAGTTCCATATTGTTTAGCTTCCCTTTTTGGGTGGAGGTGGCTCTCCCACTCACTGGCCTATATGAGGCTTTAATACCAAGGAAATGTACAGCTTTCTCATCTGTCACAGAAGCTGGCCTGCACACCCTTTTGTTCTTTGAGCAGTTTGAATGTTCTTTGTTGCCATACCAGCTCAGCTAATGTGTCAAGAGATTGCATTGTCATAAATGTAATGCTATATTTTATTTGCTTTAGAGCAAATCAAGAAGCTGGAACATGAGACCTCTTCCTTACAGACTGCAAAATCTCAGCTAGAAGGTGAATGTAAAACCCTGCAACAAAAAGTAGAGATTCTCAATGAACTTTACCAGCAGAAGGAAATGGCCCTTCAGAAGTGAGTACTGGACTTCTGAAAATGAAAATCCTGAAATGTAGTGTAAGGTCATTGCGATTTTTTCTGTTTTGCTAATTAGACCCCATTTTAATGTAATTATAGTCTGTCCTTCCCTTCAGGGATTGCAGATAATGTATCTTGAGTCCTTATGTGAGATTATCTATTATGTATAAGCCAAATCCTAGCAATGGAGCTTCACTAAGTGCTTTTTAAGGCTCCGGCTAGGTACTTGGTGGCCTTGTTCAGGAAACAAGGGGGGGTCACTATTGTATTTCATGAAGAGTGCCATAGTCAAAACAAGTTAAGTATAATTATACACATATACAACTTTTTTCAGTAAAAATGCTGCTGTTTTAGGACCTTATCAGATGTGCCTCTAGCACTTTATCCCAAGGGGGAGTAGGATGAAAATCAATGCTTTACTGCTGATGCTGAATTGTTTCTATTACTATTTATAAGGGTGGAAACTTATTTTCTCAGTGTCACTTCATCAGATGCCTTTCAATAGTAAATGTATGATTAAGTCACAGCTCCTGCAAGAATTCAACCAAACTCCAGAAAATTTTGATATATTAAGATAATTCTTAATAAATGTGTAGGAATGGAGCTTTGATCCAGGCTGTTCTATTTCTACATCTAATGGTAGATCAAAATAATTCTAGGTGTTCAGACAAATGCAAATTATTTCCTGGAAGTGAGTAACTAACTTTCAGTACATGAAAGCATTGTATGAATGCTTTGGGGAAGGCATAAGTGGAACAATGTTTCCTAATGTGTCTCATTGCTCTGTCTTATAAAAACTAATGTTTTCTTCTTTTAGCTTTATTTCAAAATGTATTTCAAGAGAATTGAGCTAATAATAAGCAGCACCAAACATAATTAAACCAAAGCTCACTAACCTCTCTTAGTAACAGTCAAATGGAATAACAAGGCCAGTCAGGCAAACTACAAAAAACTTCAGAAGCTTTTTAAAGTCTGATTTCACATTTTTGCAGTGCACTGCAATGTAGGGATCTACTTAAAAGGCTTCTAAAAGCTCAATTCCTTCCATATTTCTAGGGTTATAGTACACAGTATAGTTGTGAAATAGCAAGTAGTCACACTAAAGAGAAGGGAAGTAGTGGGGAACTATTGCTGGATTTGTCCTTGATGTTTAATCAGTCTACCTGCCACTTATTGGAGCTGAAATCTAGTTTAAATGTGATACCAGGCATGTAAAGCCAAAACACTTCCACTGTAGGCTTCTGTGTACTTAGCACTGCATTTAAAATAGGCCTTTTTCCTAAATGTGGGGCATCTTGGGCAGATACATCATAGCTTTTTGAACTCATGAAAAGGCAATCACAGGTTTGAATGTCTCTTTTGAAGGTTTACAGTTTCTTAGAATGAAGTGAACTTCCCCCTCACCCTTCTTTAGGAATGCATTTGTGTTTTGAATGAGTGTTCTCTGTTGGCTGCTAGTGCATGGTTGGACAAGGAGACAGAGTGCAAGAGATCAATCCCTTCCCACAAATAGAAGGGGGATGCCATACTTCCTGTATATTATTATTGGCTACAAGGTCAGGATGCCTACATATGACCTCCAGTAATGGTGAAAGTACATTTCAATTGCTAGGAAGTCAAGGAGGATGGTGCTATTGCATTCATATTTTGCTTGTGGGCTTCCCAGAACTATTTGGCAACCCACTGTGTGAATGAAATGCTTTTAGTCTGATCCAGCATGGTCCCATATTAAGTACTGAGTGCAACCCTCTTGGATCTTTTTTCCAGGGATGCTGTGATCCTATCAAGCCCTCTCCTTTCCTGCCTGCCTCCCCCCACAAAATTGGCATCTGTGTTTAGCTTACTGACACCCTCCTTTTTTCTGTCCTAGGAAGTTGACACAAGAAGAGTATGAGCGTCAAGAGAAGGAGCAGAAGCTCTCTGCTGCAGATGAAAAGGCTCTCCTGGCTGTTGAAGAAGTGAAACTTTACAAGTAATGTTGACAAGAGGAAACAAAATAATGTCTTTCACTTTTGAAATGTGAGCAGAATTAATTTTTCAACTTGTTTTTGACAGACAAAGAATTCAGGAAATGGATGAAGAATTGCAAAAAACAGAGCGGTCTTACAAAAATCAGGTGTGATGCTTTCCCAAGAGATCATTCTGAAGAAGTAGATGTATAAGCTAGTTTGCAGACTAAAATAACTTCTTTTCTTTCTTTCCTAAATGCTTTAAGATTGCTGCCCATGAGAAGAAGGCCCATGACAACTGGGTAAGGTGTTGCTTCTCTTTAAACCATCGCCATAGGTTTTGCCACATTGTCTTTATTCAATGTGAGCAGGACCCAGTGCTGTCAGCAGAGCAGCAGGAATTTAGGCTTGAAGGTGGGTTTTCCTAGCAGTACCTGACTGGCTCACTTTGCCTTCTTGCAGCTTATAGCACGTTCTGCAGAGAGGGCTTTAATTGAAGAAAAAAGGGAAGCTGCCAACCTGCGGCAAAAGTAAGCATGTTCTCTGCCTGTGGCTACCAAATGTAATCTGTTTTAGGTAAATAGACAAAACTGAGGTAAATAGACAAAACTCTTCACAAAAGTATCTTTTCACATGGCAAATTCCCTCAACAGTGCTCAGTATAAACACTACAACTTTTCAAGTGTACCTCTTCCTCCCCTTCCCATTATTAGATTAATAGAGGTGAATCAAAAAATCGATGCGATTCAGAGACCAGTAATTGTGAAGCCAACTGCAGGCCGGCCTGACCATCAGGTCCCTCCTCGCAGAGGTAAATATGCTCTTCCCTGATCTTTTGTTAGTGATTTGAAATGTTTGAGCTAATCTGTTTGAAGAAACCATATTCTACAGCTGTGGCTATGCCTTGTTTTTACCTCACTGCAGGTCCATTGAGTCGAGATGGATCTTTTGGGCCTTCACCTGTGAGCGGTGGAGTTCCTTCACCACCCCTGATGATGGAACCCCCCGGACGACCCCTCTCTGCCAATCCAAGGGAAGGTTCAAGAGGTGAACTTAAGAAACCTTTTTTTCTTATTTTCCTAAAAGAAGTCTATATTAAAATATTGAGCACATCAAATATCATATGAATAGACTTCCATTTGTGCAACAGGACTTCCCCTTCCTTTCCTCCTTCCTGTGCCTTTCTAATTAGTTCCAGAAGATCCCCCAGTCCTCCAGAAGAGACCGGAGAGTACACGGAAAACTTCATGTGGAAAGGGAGTATGTTCTACCAGGCGTCTCTGTTCTTTTGGCAGATGGAAGCGGTTGATTGCAACCCACTGATTCCTTTTTGAATGGGTACTGCTATTTGGCACAGACAGTCACCACCACCTCTCTTTGTACCTGGGCCAAATGCATAAGGAGATGGGAGTGCCATTTGGCACTATTTGATATTGATCAGTGTCTCAGTACAAGTGACTGTTTTATCAATAGCAAATTACATTGTTCTTGATTCTGACCAGAAGAACTAAGGCAAATGACTCACACGCCAGGAAACAGAAATGACATTTTTTTGTAGTGTTTTCTAAGCACTTCATTAAGCATCTTAATATGTGTATACTTACATAGAGTGGCTCAGGAAAGAGGGTTAGTCAGGTTAGCTCATGCTACCTCCGAGAAGTAGTCTGCAACTTCCTGAGAGTTCTTTCAGTTGTGTCTGTTAATGTCAAAGATACACATTTACAAACAAGCTAATCAGTTGGTTTCCTATTTAGTTTTGATGCGTAAGCAGCTTCATATCCTGCTTTGAAGCCAATGAGAATTCTTATGTCAATTTTTAGAAATTCCATTATTATTCCAAGTAGTACTACTTGGTTTCTCTCTCAGCTCCACCTCTCCTTTTAATCATACTAAATAAGGCTATGAAGTAGCTTTGGCAAGAAAGGTCACTGGTCTTGTGAGCATCATGGTTGAACAGTGTTTCAACTAGCTTAACCCACAGACTACCTCTAAGATTGGAGCCTACATGTGGAATCCCCTGTCCAAGCATTGCATCAAATTCCCCTCTCTTTGTGTTTTGCTGGCAATTGAAGTAATTTCTCCTTTTAAAATGGTTTTAATTCTATTGTTTACCTTACAGTATTTTTGCTTGTTGATACTGTTTTTAGTCTGCTAATTCCGTTTTAAATGTCAGATTATTTTCATGCCTACTTTTATATTTGAAAGATGCTTTGAGTGATTCCTTTTTGAAGAGGACAAGTGGAATATGTATATTTGTGCATATATAAATGGAAAGAAAATGAATGCATAGACATATCAGAAATAGACCTGTTTCTAATTTATGATGCAAAATGGATGCTCACTGTATTTTCAACTTCTTTTAGATGCTGCTCCAGTAGAGGGCCCTCCAGTCCCAAGAAGGCATCCTGAGCTGTCTGGAAGAATGTCTGCTCCAGGTGAGAGGACCACCTGGATACAAGCACTTCTGGAAAGCATATTCAAGCAGCAATATAAAATATGGGTCTTTCTCTTCTTCCCAGATCTTGGTCCTGCTGTAGCAGCCCTACTCAACTGTGGCCCAAGAACATCATCTCCTTCCACAGTACCAGATGGAATGGTGAGAGGCATTTAGCTTTTTTGTTCTGCTGAGATTACATTCTGAGCAGAATCTTTGTTTTGTTACCCCACTGTATATGCAACATCACTTCTTTCTTATGTAATATACAAAATAGCACATGTTATCTCACTGTCCTTATGTTTTCTGGGGGGAACTTAAGCAATCCCCTCCCAAAGAGCATGAAGCCCCCAGCGTTTCTGCTGTTCCAACTTCAGCTGCTGAAGCAACTGCAGTGAGTACCAAGAGGCTGGGAGTGGTGCTTTTGCTTACTCTTGGTTTGATGGAGGATGAATTTAGGAGCATGATGCTGCGTATCTCAGCATGCAACATGTGCTGCACAAAGTGGACCTTTTGGACTTGTTGGCTTTATGGGTCATTTGTGTTGTTGGGGCCACTAACACACATAACACTGCATTTAAAAAGCTGTGCTCGTCAATATCTGATGTGGTGGTTCCTGACTCACCAGAAATGTTTAACCCTTGGGCATTTCCTGGATTCTCTGGGTTGAAATTATTTGCTTGGGTGTGCTAATATTTTAAATGACTGCACATGAAATACTGTCTCAGGTGACTAAAAGTTCAGGTTCGTTAACACAAGTCCAGGTTTTAGGACCATGCCTGTTTGATGCTTGAAGTCAGAGTATTTGAGAAGAGGAAAGTTTCCATGGTGTGCAGTGAAACCTGTTTTACAACTCCTGAAGTTTGATTTTAAAACTTCATTGCATCTAGTAGAGGACTAAAACTGCTGTCTTGCACAGGTTAACATAAGTTCTAAAGGTCCACCATCTTTCCCGGGGGCTCCCATGATGTCATCCCCAGCGTCTGGACCATTGCCACCTCCCGTTAGATTTGGGCCTCCACCCCGGGCACCCTATGGACCTCGGCCTCTTCCTCTCTCCTTAGGTATGCTTGATATATTTTACCTTCTATAAAACATTGTCATAATGATTGATTTGTATGGCTCTACAATTTCCAGAAACTTCGTGTTGCAGAACAGAGATCTTTTAAAGAAGCAACTTACAGAGCATTGAATTCTTTGCCCAGTTCATATAAATTTAAAAAAAACAACAAAACAAAAAAAACAACGGAATTTGTACCCTGAGTGACTTGGAATATTTTACTGAAATGTTACATCAGATTATTATTTTGAATATGCATTTCCAGCTGTGGAAAAGCACTGTTATAGTATGTCAGGGAAAAGTGTCAAGAAGTGGCAAGAGGCCATGAAAGATACAAAAGCGCCCATCTTCTGTGGGCTGAGGTCTGTTCTCATATACTACAGCTTCATGCATAAATGCTAGAAACATGCTTTTAAAAAAGTTGGGCTTCTATACCTCTGATGGATTTCTGCTGATGGTGGCAGGCAAGTCAATTCTTAAACATACCGGCTTCACTGTTTGTTTTTTTCCTTTCAGTGCGTGGAGCTCCTCCACCACCTATTCCTAGAGACTATCCACCTGGTCCTCCATTTGGAATAAGAGACTTTCCACCAGGTCCACGACTACCTCCCCCTGAACAGAGAGGATATCTCCGTGGACCACCACCTTTCCGACCTCCACCGCCCAGAGATTTTCCTCCTGGTCCGCGGCTACCTCCACAAGGATTAAGGGACTATCCCCCTCTTCCTGTCAGAGACTTGCCACCTTCAGGAGCCAGTGATTACCAAGGGGGGCCACCTTGCCCCCCATCTCCAGCTAGCTCACGGGACTCAACACATCATCCTGAACAGAAACCATGACTTGGGATTTCTGGACTGATCTCTATCACGTTTCATGTGGTGAGGATTTCGATGGCTTCAACAGAATCAAATCTGTTTCCTCCTTTAGACTTGGTTTCAGTGTAACTTCCCCTCCCCTCAAAATAATTTCTCTAGCTGTGCCCATTTCTATCACCTTTAAATCAGGACTTGTTCATCCTTTTGGGATGCAAGTATAATTTTCTGTGAAGTACCCTAAAGCCTCCTCCTACAGCTGTGGCTAACCTGCAGCTCTCAACGTGCAATATATGAAAGTACCTGTGTGCTTAGTTTTTAATTAATGTAACCTATGTAACAAATTGGTAAATGACTTCAAAATTATAATCTGAACATTTCCTGTGGAAATAGTTTTGGTAAGAAATGCAATCCCTTCATATATAAGCTACAGTGACTGTAGACAAGTGGTTTACACAGGATTCTAATGCAAATATTTTTAAAACACCTGGTATGCAAAGCCAGAAGCAAACTACACTGTACCGAAAGGACAAATCTACTAATAAAAAGCAAGATCCCTTTTTTTGGCTACATTTGAAGAATGCATTTTGTTAAACCGCGCGATTTTCCATTTTGGCTGTGAAAACAATTGATGGTTAGGTGTAAAGTGCTAACAGCTAGTAGATGACTGTAAGGAAAGTAGACAGTACCGTGCTCTCACTGAGCACAAAAAGCAACTTGTTCTTGCCTATGAAAATTCTGAATTCTTTGTATGTTAAACCTGACAAGTAAAGTGTTTCTGGGGAGTGAAGTGCAAATTCAAATGCAGATTATTTTTTTAACTGCAAGCTCAAAAATGCATGGGTTGAAACAGTGCCATTTTACAGTGGACCACTAAGTAATCACATGAGCTCAGTAGTAGGTTAGATCAGAAGACTGCAGGAGCCAGGAGGCTTCCCAGTGAAGAGTACAGTGTACTAATCTTTCAAACAGAATGTGCATTTGGGAGGTTGAAATCAAGCTGATGGTTCATCATTGATAAGAGCATGGTTAAGGTGAGTCATCAGGAAAAGCTTTGAGGAAGAAGGGGCATAATGGATAGAGGACTGAAGTGGAGTATACAGGAAATGCCCTGATCACCTAAGAAACCCACTTTTAAGATCCCCTATTTCACTCAAATCCCATTATGGGACCCTTTCATGAAACTTGGATACCCAGAACAGATAGTCCAGGTGCTGCTACTATATGTACATACATGACAGCACTGACTGTTCCTGAGATGGTTGTCCTCAACCAAAGCAGTGCCTTGCACAGACAGGACACACACTGCTCAGCTTGCACATGCAGAAGACTTAACTGCATGTGGTATACACATTACCCTCCTGGACCTTACACAGTCCTTGCAGCCTTGACTAAGTCTTCATAGAAACTGCTAAAGACCACCTTGCTAAGGTAAGGCTGGACAACTTGTGGCCCTTCGGATGTTTTGCCCTACAACTCCTATTAGCCCTAGCTAGGACAGCCAATAGTGATGACAAATTGTGGCCTTCCAGATATTTGGCTTACAAGATAGCTCACTCCTGTGCTGAGTGTTCTTCAACAAAGGGGACCTTTTTGTAATTACATAAGCCAGGAAGATTAGAATGGAACACAGCCTCATTATAGGCCACTTACATATGTTCCACACAAAAACAGCAATCTTCAGAAGCTTCTCAAAAGTAAATCCGAAGTACCCAATGTTAATAGGCCCACTTTATAAAAAAGTGAATTGTGATTTTATGACATTAAAACTCAAATGAAATTGCCTGGAAACAGATCCAGCAGGAGCACTTAACTGACCACTTTGTAGTCACAAGACATGATGGTGTTAGAACAGCAACAATTAGCTAAATGGAATCTTCACACAGAGAAATGGAGTGCTTTCATGTCTCATTTCTGAACTTTCTTCAAATAGCAGGTTGCACTAGATGCAGGTTTGTGTGGTAGTGTAACCCTCATTCTGTTAAGTTTTAATTAGAGGCAAGGAGGCAGCAATTTTAGGCAGAACATCAGTGTGTAGTTCTTCCCAGTTAAGAGAAGCAGGTGCCATTTCAGGAGGGAACAGAAAGCAGTGCTATACATATGATGAAGTAATTCTGCATTGGTTGTATGTGCTGCAGGCATATAGAAGTCTTAACTAGAACATGGTGCGGAGCACCAAAACAATTAGTGACCCACTGCTGTTAAACTGCTGTCCCCACTCTGTGCATCCACAGTTAGAACTAATTAGTTATACATAAAGGACATTAAGCAAGTTCCCAGTTTTTAGTTAAGGAGATTTATAAGCTGGTGCTCCCACACACATATTTTGGCAGCTTTTCCTTGTATAAAGGTTCAGGTAATTATTACCTATTTTAACAGCAATTTTATATGCAGATCTGGAAACCAAAAAAAAGGCTAATCAATTTCTCTAGAAACAGCAGCATTTTCTGTCCTGAAGACTAAGAGGGCGTCATTTCCTTTTGTGCACAAACTTGCAGGTTCCAGACAGTAGACAAATAGTCTGATTTAAAAAAAAATAATCAAGCTTCTTGCTCTTTGAGAAACCATTACTCCCAGGGGTCAAATTCTACCAAAAAAGATACTTTGTCTGGAATTAATAGTAAGTGCAGTGACCTTAGAATAGACACAACTTATTTGCAGCTGTTTCTATCTCCAAACTGAAGGGGAGGGGAAGGAAGGTTTTTACGTGCATCATTATCTGGAGTCTCCTCATGGCAATATGTTCCATACTAATTCAACTCAAATACTGTTTTTGACAATGCCTTCCACTTTATAAAACATATCCACTGAAGGAAGAGTTGGACTAGAAAAGCTGAACAATCAGTGTAAGAATAAAAGTTTGATACTGGCACATCTTTATTGCTGTATCAGGGTTAGCAGAAGAGGACTTCTCAACTGCTTTAAGGTTTCTGATATGGGTGTGTAAAAACTAAATTACAAAACTGAACTCACACAGCCAGTCCAATTAGGAAAAACTCACAACACACTTTGGAACATCTGTGATAAAAATATACATTCCAAAGAAATAGGACTTGGGTGGTGGGGCTTGGCTCCTGTTCCATTGTTGTACATGGTACATTGGTCCCATTTGACGAGCTCAATAAATGCAGCCTTTTTTCTCTGCCACCAGAAGGATTAGTGCTACATAGGCAGCTACTATGGTTTTGTGGCAAGTGGTTCAGTTCATAAAAGTCACTCTTTGTGCAGAGTTTGGTGAAGATGAAGATAAAGTGGCTTCTTGGTCAACAGTTGAAGTTTCTTCCTCTTGAAGTCAGTGGGTTTTTTGTACCTGTAACCATGAAAAGGAAATATGTCCATATTTTGGTTCTATCACTGCTTAAGAATTAGGACTCCCCCAAACAAACGTGCACACTTTACTACAAAACTTCCTTGGTGCTCCAACATCCAGTCTCTATGTATTGTGTCACCAAATGTAGATCAGTCTCTCCTGTCTGGTTTATTAACATTTAATACCTCTACTGAAAAATGTTTTCGGCCAAGTACCATGTCTGCACTGAACAGAAGACTAAGAATAGCTATGTAATTTCATCCCACCCATCCCCAAATCAATAATTGGGCCTAACTGAGCCCTGAATAGTAGTAGGGTTCAAGTCAATATACTTCAAATCAGTATGAGTACTCTATATTTAAATATTTATATACTGCCCCATTCCAATAGGCTCTGGGCAGTTTAGAAGAAGAAAAAAATCTTTGATACAAGTCTGCTATTTATATAAGAATTCAAGCAGGATTCCTAAGATGACTTACTCTCTAACAAGTCCCACTTAGCTCTTTGCACTGCTATGAATTATCAGTAGATATAAAAGCTGCACTTTTCTAAATGGCTAGTGTAGGTTGTTGTCTTGTATACTAAACAGGCCAAAAGATGTTTCAACTACATAAGCACACAAACTGCCTATAACTGTCTTCAACTTGGTACCTTCTAGATGATTTGAACGTCCACTCACTGAAGTCTAAAATTGGCATGGCCAGGGCTGGTCTATGAGAAAGTTTAATTGTTGTATTTTTAATTTAATATTTATATTTTTAATTTATAGTATAATTATTTTAACTTAATGATGTGAGCCGCCCCGAGGCTTCAGCAAATGGGGCGGCATAAAAATTGTTTTAATAAATAATAAATAAATAAAATAATTCCGGGACCCCCTATTCTCAGCTTTACATTTATGCAAGTCGAACCATTTTCAAGTATAACAGCCATGCAGGGTTTTTATTTGGTCTGCTGTTTAGGGGTCAATGCTAAGTACCAAGAAGGTTGCATCTACCTATCAGCCCTTCATAGATCAATCAACACAATTCACATTGCAGAGAAGAAAAAATGCATTCTGCTTTTACAAGAGATTCTAGGCTTCTGACGGCTGTCTCCAGTCCAACACAACACTACTAGACAGGTCCTTCAACATAAACTAGCCAACTTACAGTTCTATAACTATTGGTCCAGGTTTAATTTCATCCATCTCCATGAAGGCAAAGCACTTGGTGCTGGTGAACCTTTTCTTAGGCTTATAGTGTTTAAATTCAAAGAAAATAGCTGCACCTGAAGAAGGGGCAAAAAACAATCTAAGCAACACCTTTGTGATTTAACACTCTACCATCAGTGGCAGCACTTTCAACTGTATGCAATAAAAGTTACTGAGCTAGTCTTAGAAACTTCAGTCTGCCATGGACATTAAGAAATGTTCTGCCTGCAACAAGATAGTGAACCTTTGCAGAGGATCTATTGGATCTATCCCATGGCCTCCCTTCTTGCTGCTGTTCCTACACAGCAATTTACCTTAACTAAAAGATTGTATTCTACGATAGAAACCTTTCTTCTAAGGCTCATTGCCATGCATCTACCATCTCACAATCTTCAGGAGGTGACAGGGATCACTTCTCCCCTAGTAAGAAGCCTAAATTCAAAATGGCTTCCCATTCCCCTGGAAATTAGCTGAGAAAAGAGCAAACAGAAAGCAAATTGCTAGAGATGGGGGTGAGAGAGAATGCTGCTTTGGGTCTGCCCACTTTTGCCTTGCCCCCCACTCTTTTACTGACTAGAACCAATTCTTCACATCAGTCTAAATTCAGCTGGCCATATTTATTATATTGTGACCTCCACATAGCAAGTCTTACACACCTTTTGTTAACTTTTCAATGTGTTTCTGAATCTCAATGTCCACACTAAAATGAACATATGTATCTTCTTTCCTTGAAGCAACTGGGGTGTCCTGCACAGGGGTCAGGTCTATTCCATTCAGATCTGTTAGAAGAAAAAAGTGGATGTGGTCAGCAGAAAAAATTCTTGCAATTCTGAGAACAGTTAACAGTGATCACTCCATTGTACTTCTGAAAAGTGCAGGAGTGCTGCCTTTTAAAATGAAACAGCTCAATTTTGTGAAATTGTGTGTGCGTGTGTATTTACAAGAATTTTATTTCCAACTACACATATGATGGCCAACTAATATATCATATTGTATACACGCCAAAGTAGCCTATCACCTATCAAGACTTCCACTGCATATCACATCTGACAAAATATACAGGTAAGC